CCCTAACCCTAACCCTAACCCTAACCCTAACCCTAACCCTAACCCTAACCCTAACCCTAACCCTAACCCTAACCCTAACCCTAACCCTAACCCTAGTAGTAGCTATTCTTCTAGTTATTAGTCTAAGCTGTGTTAATTCCTCGAAATAGTTATTAGATTTATTAGTAAGATAATTATTATAACCTAGATAGAACTCCTTTTCTAGATTAAATTCTATATCTCTAGAGGTATAGCTTCTTTCTTTTATATCTATATACTTAAAATATAAGAGACGGAAGCAGTAGATTATATAAGAAGTATAATTCTTTATAATAGCTTCGTCTCTAAAGACTAAAGTATAAGAATTAATAGAGTAGAGAATAAAGAAGGTTATTATAGGGCTCTTTAGTAATCCCTTAGTCCTTAGATCTCTTTATATAGTATCTTGCTTTAAAAGCTCTATACTAATCTCTATTATAGTACTCTCTATAGTAGTAGTATTTTCTTTGTCTTTAATTAATTCTATAAGTAGTTTTAGCTTATCTTCTAAGCTACTCTCTATTATAGGTAGAGTATCTTCTATTATAGCTAGATTACTTTTTATATTAGAGGGTGTATCCTTATTTTTTAATAGATAAAGTCTTAATATATAGATTAAATCTCTGCAAAGAATTTATAGTAGGTAGCTTTAGAAGCTTTACTTAAAAGCTTAAAACTTCTAAAGCTATCTTCCTCTCTATTAGTATTTTCTATATATAGTTGCTGTAGATATCTTCTACTAAAACTAGTAACTATATTCTCTAAATTATAGATATATTTAATAGTAGACCTATAGGCTTTTTCTAGTATAATAAAGTCCTCTTTATCTTTATCTAGATCCGGTTCAGATATAAGTTTAGTATATATATTAAGGTCTCTATTATATAGATACTCGTGGAAGTACGTCTTTTCTAAGAAACTATTAATCTCTTTATCTCCTAAATTTAAATTGCTAATAGTTCTATTAGTAGCTCTTATATTCTCCTCTATATTATTATAATTATTAAGGACATCTTTTAGAGCTTTAGACCTTAGAACGGATTCTATATTAAGTATACTATTATCTATTTTAATAGCAAAATACTTTCTATTTCCTTAAGCTTTATAGAAGGTTTATAGAGGTTGATTTTCTAGATAATAGGGTTTTAATTCTATACGATTTTGATGCTTAGCCTTAATATTATGTATTTAGTTTAAATGTAGCTTAATACTTTTATAACTAGTACATGCATTTTTATTATATATTTTATATGTAAAACTAGTTATATCTCTTTCTAGCTCCTTAAAATTATACTTAAAGAATTTAGAAAGAGCTATATCTTTATATTCTTTAATATCTAGGTCTTTAATTAGGTAAAGTAAAGTTTTTATATCTTCTTTAGAGGCTTTTTTATTATCTTATTTTATATGCCGTTTAATATAGTTATCTTTATTACTTTCAAGACCTATTTAGTAGGTACTACAGATAAGAATACTAAATTCTAAATTATATTTAAATCTAAGAGGTAAACTATCTACTTTAGTGTAGATAGAATTATTTTTAGAGGTAATAGAGATAGAAGAGGATATTTTTTCTAGTCTATTTAGTATATTAGTATCTATTTAGCTTAAAGTAAGATAGATTTACTTACTAGATTTTTTTTTATCTAGTATCTTATACTTCTTTTATAAAAGATTATATAGAAGAGATCGAACTAGGAATCTTCTTCTAAATCTATTTTTTTAAGAGAATTATTCTTTATAGAGAGTATAGATAGACAGATAGATATATAGATAGAGAGAGAATATAGTAGTATTTAGTTATAGAATAGTAAGTAGTTTAGAGGCGTAGCTTAAGTAAGAGTATTTATCTTAGTAAGAGTATAGATAGTAGATTATTAACTAAAGCTTAGTAGATAAAGAAGAGAAGTAAAAGCAGAAGAGTAAAGAAAGAGTCTTATATAGATAATAAAGAGCGTGTTTAGCTAATTCTAGTTTCTTAAATAGTAATTATAATTACTTAACTTTTAGAATATCAATTAGCCTTTCTATCTTTAGAGTACTAATAATAATTAAGCTATTCTTACTTAGTCTAGTGTAGCTAATTTATATTAATATATATAGTTTTAGCTACTAGACTATTCTTCTTTAGTCTAGTATTACTAATTTATATTAATATATCTAATTTTAACTACTATACTACCTTTACTTAGTCTAGTGCTACTAATATATATTAAAGTAGGCTATTTTAGCTATTAAGCTACTCTTCTTTAATCTAGCGTCACTAATTTATATTAATATATATAGTTCTAGCTACTATACTACTCTTACTTAGCCTAGTATTACTAATATATATTAAATTAGACTAAGTCTAGTATTACTAATATATACTTCTAATTAGTATACTATTCTTATAAACTCTAGCGCTACTAAATTTAGATAGTTTCAATTAATATTCTATCCCATCTTAGTCTAGCTTTACTAATTATATAGTTATTATTACTATACCTCTACTTAGACTAGTATTACTTTTTATATATATTCTATAATTTTATACTATTCTCGCTTCGTCTAGTGCTTCTAATTAATATAATTTCAATTATTAAGCTATTTTTAGCTAAGTCTAGTGCTATTTCTATATATTAATATATACTTAGTCTAGTACTATAGACTATACTAATTTCATTAGCTTAACAGGATCTAATACTAGTATAATTTACTTTAGAATATTATATTAATATCTCTTAGCACTACTCTTAGGTACATAATTCTTATTATTCTCTCTTAATATTATTAATAGGTTATGTATTTTACTATACCTCCTAGTACTAATTAGATATACTACTATTTAATTAGGTTCTCTTATTACTATTCTTAGAAGTATCTTTTAGTTACTTTCTCTTAATATAATTAGAATAGTTAGTATATTTTAAAAAAGAAATATACTATTATTAAGGGTATCCTGCTATTAGTTCTAGGTAGTAGTATTAGTAAAATTAATAAAGATTATATAGATAAAAGACCACTATTCTAGTAGCTTAAAAGATTACACCATGTATTTTCCAAGTATAATAGCTTCTAAAATTAGTTTCTTTGTATTATATTTATTAATATAGTGTAGTTAGTATCTAGGATTAGTAAGCTATCTAAAACGCCCTCTAGATAGCCTATTTTCTAAGTAAAAAGGCTATTTTCTAAGTGTTTTCCATTTTCTAAGGGATTGAAACCTTGGAATTTAGACTTGGAAAACACCGATTTTCTGACTTCGGGGCGGTTTTCCGGGTTGTGGGCTAGCAGTAGTGCTCAATGGCCCTGTAGACATTGAGCAGCACCAGCCACCGACCAGCAACAGCGTTGTGAATGCGCGGGCGCATCACGATGAGAAATGTAAGCGCCCTTCCTGTCAAATTTTTGGTGAAGAAATGCTAATTGACTCTCGTAGTCACTTTTGTATATGTGGACGACCCATATTTCGACGAAATAGTTGAAGCAGAGTCCTCTATACCGCACACAGCAATTACACCACAGAGTATCGTCATTGCCCAGGATGACATTCACGAACATCCTCTATCATCATTTCTCTTCCCACCGAATGAATCAATCATCTGTACCTGCCGGAGAGCCAGCTCTTAGCTCTGAGCTTGGCCTCCATGCGGAACCAGAACCCGCAGTCCAACATGTAGCTTCGAATGCTACGATACCGCAAGTGAGGCCGAGCGATGCGACCCAGGGAGCTGGCCTTGATTCCGGGATCTCCTTCCACCAAGCTCACGAAGTCCAACTTGGAAGGGCACAAAGTCCGTCAGCTGATCCAGTTCTGTCTATTCAACTGATCTGGTATTTCATGGAAGGCCCTGGAAAATGGTCTGTCGTCTGCCACGCCCTTCTCTGGTTCTTACCGCCTTTTCGTTAAACAAGCAAGGCTGACCTGATTTCAAGGATGGACCTATACGACGTCACGGCATATTTCACCTTTTATGTGCCCAGATTAGCAGTCACACGACCACTGCTTCAAAGCGCTTGTTGTGCACTTGCTTCTAAACACATTCGTCATCTCCTCGAGTCTCAGCGTCCAGCGTCTAAATCACTTTTGCCATATCTTGGTAGCGAGTACTGGAAGACAAACCTCAGAAGTAGGAATTAGAACTATGAAAGCGCCGCGTACTACGATGATGCGATCCGCTTGTTGATGGACGAGATCACAAAGATCGACAACCCGATAGACACATCTGCCGATCGAAACCATCGGTCTGAAGAGGCTCTCGCGGCAATCGCTGTTCTTTGTGTGTATGAGCTCTTAGACGCACCAGGACCAGAATGGATAGCGCATATGAGTGCCCTACCTCTTCTCGGGACTGCTCCTGCGCAAATACTGGACACACTTTCTCCACAGCCTCCACCTCGAGAACTGTCCAAACGGTCTATATTCTGGAACTTTGTTAGGCAGGATTATCTCTACGCATGTAAGAAAGCTGTGGAAGGATTGATTCGCTTTCGCTAACGAAGATAGTTATCCACGAAACCCGTACTCGACTGAATCCGGATGATCCACAGTTCTGGCGCGAGAGCGGTCTCCTCGTGGGCGAGAATGGCTTCCTCGAACCACATTGCGCGACTGATGCCGGGAACTATACCTGTCTCACGACAGACGAGGATTTAGTGAGCCATTGTTTGTTTTGGATTCTTGGCAAAATTGCCAACTTCATAGTAGCCTTGGTTGAGCTCGACCCTGATGAGTCCAATGAGCCCAATGCGTCTTCTGGTAAACTGTCTCACGATGAGATCACCAGTCAGTGGGAACATCTTGATCTGGGGCTTCAACGTTGGAACATAGGTCTTCCTCCTTCATTCTCTTCATTCGTACGGACGCCACTGGTAGAATCTGGAACGGATGCACCATCCTTGAACGACCGCCAAAGCTTCGATAGGATCTCCTATACTATTCCAACTTGTGGGTCCACTATGCAGAACTACCATATGGCTCGTATACTCCTTCTCATGAACAGGCCACCCGAGCGGCACGTGCTTCGTTCAACTTTCACCGAACGTCTAAATTCGTACCGGCTTATCCAAAAAGAGATGGTTCACCATAGCCGAGAGATCTGTGGAATCAGCTTGTCGAGTCCACCAGAAAGTGTGCGGATCCAGTCTGTGCAACCTCTTTTTGTGGCTGGTCAATGCATGAGTGAGTTGAGAGAACGCGACATGGTACTCGACCTGCTGCGTGGTATCGAAGAGGATCTAGGGTGGGCCACCGGCTACAGAGTACAGAAGCTTATTACTGAGTGGGAAGCTTGTCCACCAAACTAGTTGACAGATTGCTACTTAGTCAACTACCGATAACAGTACCTGTGCACAGGTAAGGAAGTCGCTTCCAAATCTGACACGAACGGCAGGCGAGTGGCTGCACAACTCGTCAAAGTCCAAGCGCGACGCGAACATAGGAACAAAGTGCTGAAAAGGAATTACCTTAGCTCCCTCTCACCACGGATACTCCCCCTCCAGCGTAGTGAACCTCCCCGTTGGCCCCTCCTTCCCCATAATAATGACCCTACACGCTTCGATCGCGCCATCAGCCGGGTCCCCCGCCATCTCGCTATAGCCATTCAAATTCGTCTTTCTGAACCCCGGACAGACGACATTAACCTTGATCCCATCCTTCGCGTACTTGACTGCCTCGACCGCAGCGACCATATTCATCGCCGCCTTGGAGACCTTGTAGGCAGGTGCGTCGAGCCCGTAGTACGCGCGGGCGGGATCCAAAGTCATGCCCAAGGATCCCAGGCCCGAGGTCATCATCACGACACGTGGGGCCTCGGATTTCTTCAGCAGGGGGGCGAACTCCTCGGTCACGCACCACGCGCTGACGGCGTTGGTCTCGACGACTCTCATCATCTCTTCGCGCCGACTCGACTCATCTACGCGGCCGATGGCGGCGTTGTTGAGGAGGACGTCCAAGCGGCCGTGGCGAGCTTCCACTTCGCTGACGCAGCGCTGGATCGAGGCGTCGGAAAGGATGTCGATCTCGGTGGCTTGCACAGAGGTGTTTTCGGCAAGGTTGGTGATACATGAGGCTGCGTCTTGGCCCTTTTGGGGGTTACGCGAGCCAAGGAGAATGTGGTAGTTTGCTTGCTCCGCGGCCAGTTTCTTGGCGACCTCGAAGCCGAGACCTTGATTCGCACCTGTGATAAGAACGATGGTCTGGGGTGCCTTGGTAGCAGACATGTTGTTGAGCAGATACTGACGTTCGGGAGTTGTGCTGGGTTGGTGATGGAGATTGGCTTTGAGTTACTGCGGTGATGTCAAACACTCGGTCTGGAGGCCGGCCTGGTGCAAGCGACTCTCTGCTTCACGCACGCTCTAAGTCTACGACAAGGGCGGATTCCCTCTCCAAGGAGTACGAGCCAATCTACCCAATTAGCAGAACAACGATTACGCAGAACGAGGCGAGTCGAGTAAGATTCGGCTCTGTTGTACTTTTTATGCGTCCACTCAAAGCATACTACTTGAAGGGCAAGACATCGTGCCCTTTTAATTAAAGTGCCTGCATGTTGAGACCTGGAGATAGTAGTTAAAAACCGAGCAGACCAATCGGATTTAGAGCGGCTTTTTGAAATCTCCGAACCTGAGTCCGTTTTCATGGACTCTATTACAAAGGTAATCTACAAAGGCATTACAAAGGTAACCTGCTAAGGTATTACAAAATCTAGCACAGCTCGGAAGGTACACGAGCCGTGGCTCCCATCTTGGCCGCCGACCGCGAAGCAGTAAAATCATGAAAACCACAACGTATTTTCATAACATGCTATCGATTCCATAACGTAGCATGGTCGCGCAGCCCCATAGCTGTCTTCTATACTATCTTTGCTATAGAGCCTTATGCTGGCAGTTCATGATTGCTTGCGAGGCTGGTGATAGTGGTGGCGGACAAGGGTCTAGCGTAGTGTTCCTAGGGATTTACGATTGGGTCTTCTATGCGCCCGAGGTAGCTGCTAATGAATAATCGATTCGGCTATCGGGCAGATACCGTTCCGGAGTGAGATGATCTGTTACTCTAGCCGTAACCGCAACACCGCTGCTGATATCAGTCACGTGACAAAACACTACTTTTGGTCGCTCACCAACGTCGGAGGCACTTTACCCCGCTCGCGGAGCGCTCGGAGCGTTCCGGACGTTTTGGATATCTTGAACCAGAACCGATTCTGAACGATTTGCTAATGTCCATAGTATTAACTAATATTTGGGTTTTTTGGCCACGCAATATAAGAGAGCGAACCTAAGGAGCATTGAAAGGCACGTTGAGATAAGCCTCCTTACATAGCAGCACGTGATATAATACGTAATACTAACTTCCCGCTCCATTGCACATCCATACAGTCGTTCCAAGCAACATCATCTACTAACTACCTAAGGTATCTAGTATCATGTTATCTCTAGTCGTAATATACTTTATGAACTTGCTATAAGCGCCATCGTTTTCGCTCCCACGGCTGTACAATCTCAACATTATATTGACAGCTTACGGTTATAACTACTGCCTTTGCTCTTGCCGGCTTGTTTTCTAGACCCGGTGATCGCTTCCTTCTCTTACTTCCAGGCAATGCAGAATGCTACGAGTCGCGCTGTAAACAAAAGTACCAGGCGCACACATGCTAAGGTCAGATCTGGATGCATTACATGGTAAGTAGGGGAAGACTACTCGTATTATTGAACAACCTCACGAACTGACATCACTAACGCCCTTTCGCAGCAAGTCAGTAGTTGCGCTCATCTGTTCGTCGGCAAAGAACGTTCTGACGCATCTACACATTCTCTAGAATTAGGCACGTCAAATGCGACGAGACCAAGCCAAACTGCCTGACATGCTCGCGCACTGGCCGGAGATGTGACGGCTACAGATTTCAAGAGATACAGTTCTTCAACATCCTAACATCCGAGGTCGGCGGTGCCCGCGTTGGTGTGCAGCCCAGCGCGGCAGTCGATGGAACCTCAATCTCGCCACCTTGGGAGACATCCTCGACCAGCGAGGAAAGAAACAGGAATCTGTCCGATGCTGCTCTCATGCAACTCACCGCACGTCCTTACAGCCCGTTTCTGAACTTTTCAGGCAGTATCCAAGAGCACAGATCTCTCGACTTCTTCCATGCTCGGGTTGCCACGACACTGGCTGGCTACTTCGACACCACATTCTGGACACATATCATTCCGCGGGTTGGTGCTTCAGAACCCTCCGTAAAGCATGCTATGATCGCCCTCGCGTCCTTGTACGAAACTATCCGTACTCGCGACAGACAATTGGGTCGAGAGCAACAGCGCTGCACACTTCTCCAATACAACAAGGCTATCAAATCTCTGAAAGAACGCCTAGAGACTGGAGAGCAAGCCTTGGAGGTTACATTGCTAACTTGTGTTCTCTTCATCTGTCTGGAATTCATGCGTGGAAACCCGAATGTAGCGTTAGATCATCTACACAGCGGCCTACAGATCTTGGACAGCACTCAGCGGTCTACGCAGGACGCGCAATCAATAGAGGAAGAGCTTGTCAATATCTTCTCTCGACTCAGTATCCAGGCCTCTCTGTGGGGGCGGCGGCCACCTCAGATTAGTGCCAGCAAGGACGATGACCCGACGAGAGACTTCGATTCAGCTTGCACACCATTCGCTACTATTCGCGAGGCGAGGGTATCACTTGAACGCATACTCATACAGTGTTTACGACCCTCTGACCCTCATATCGAGCTTGACCCATCTATGCCGATGTCCGATGTTTGGAAAGCTGAGCGGGAGAGACTGACAGCACAACTGCGGTACTGGAACTCCAGACATGGCCTATCCATGGCAGTTTCGGTCCACACCAATGGTATCTATAGCTTGCGAATCCTCCAAATGATGGCTATCGTGGCTATCGTCTGGAACTCGATCCCATTGATTCCAGAGGAGACGGCGTTCGACCGACACCTCTCCGATTTCGAAACCATCGTCTCTCTCGCAGCAACCCTAGTCGACGGTAAAGCCCCATTCTCTCCGCAAGCAGCTTCAGTCGCGACATCGTTGCCGTCGGAAACCACGTCAGCGTCACATCGGCCAAACTTCCCGGCATTGTCGAACACTCCAATTCCTTTCACCTTCGAAATGGGCATCATTCCATGTCTCTACTTCACCGCCATTAAATGCAGAAGCCCGTCAGTCCGCCGAAAAGCTATTCGTCTCCTCTCAATCGTGATACCTGAACAAGAAGGCCTGTGGCACGCGCGAATGCTAGCGAAGGTCGCTAGTCGCATAGTGCAACTGGAGGAAGAAGGCTACACACCAACAGAGGTGACGAGCACTTGGCCACCTGAGGAAGGACGTATACATGCTGCGTACATATATTCCAACTACTCTTTGGAAGAGCGGACGCAGCAGGTAAACTTCATTTGGAAACCTGGCGGACTGCGCGGTGAATGGATGGATTGGGTGGAAACCATAGCTTACTAGGATCATTTTACAGGAGTTGATGAGTAAGATCAAACGCGCCAAAGAATATATTCACATTCCTGAGAAGCTTTCAAGCCCGCGTCGCGCATTCCTAGAATGACCCTCGCAAAGCCAATTGCTACGGCTGCAGGCCGAGATGAACCCACTATTCAGGAAAATGGTCTCACGGGTGCGTTCCGGTAGGAAAACATCAAAGTCTACGGCTACGCTATATAGGCTTCCGAATTGTTGGGACAGCTTTGATCTTAACACAGTGGTAACGCCTGACAAGCCTGACACGCCTGCCAAATCTGACGGAACAAGGTATGCCACAGGAAAAATGGGGATGTTCAGCTCAGCAGCCTTCGATCAGGAGCTGATCACCTCCCTCAAGCCTGCGTCGGAAAGCAGAAGTACTTCGAATCGAGCTTACCAACCACGATGTTGAAAAACCTCGTAATGATTCTCGTGCGCGACCCGTTGATAAAAGAATCCCATCCGACAAGAGTGTTGCAGGCGTCAAGGTAGACCGTCACGGGAATACTGCCTCCGTACATGATGCTCCACTATGTGGACATATCAGCGGTCCGTGACAACAGGCTCGTAGTGTATTCGAAGAGTAACTCACAGAAGCGACCTTTCCATTAAACTGATCCTTAACTATCCCACCAAAGACGGCGTTGCTTGTGACAAGGATGTCGGTACTGAAGAGCGGAAAAGTAGGATTGACGTAGCCTTGCCATAACTGTGGCGGCGCAGCAATGCACGGCTCGAGGTTGTACAGAGTATTGGAGACCAACCCCTCGGAGGAGACATCAGTGTAGTCGAAGAGCGAGGATGCGAAACCGGAGTCAGATGTCACGTCCGCTCTGACCTTTTTATTGCTTGGTGAGTTGTAGATATAGCCCGATGCGATGTGCGAGACATTTGGGTCCCTGGCCGATTTTGTCAGACCGCACGGACTTAGGGTTCTGAACGACATACCACTTGTGCTGGTTCCAGTTGGCTTTGAACTCGTCACTAATTAAAGGAGGCTCGGGCTGCTGAGAGGCCGAGGAGAAAGGATCCCACGACACAGGAAAAGCAGTCACTTCGTGGTCAGCACCGCACCTTGAAGCCGTTGGCGCTGCGGCCATCAAAGGCGCCATCATTGCGGTGAGTAGTAAATTTGGCATGCTTTGAGATAGGATGAAGTGGTTGTGTGGTTGGTGCGAAGCGAGTTGTCAGATCAAGCGACGAATGGAGATATTATGGGGTTTATCTATCCTGCGGGCGGTTTCTCGCTCAGAATCACCGCGTCGAAGGCCATTGGTTTGCTCGTAAGTCTTCCATCTTCGGACTGCAGGATTACTGTACAGATTGAGAACCCATCGGCACTGATATCCCAGGTGCGACGTAACAAAGGAGGCTTATCGGGAGCCGCGCGTGTCCCTTTCTATTGGTCACCTCGTATAACTCATCAAAGCGGAATGCTCTTACTGCGCGGTTTGTCGAAGGGACGCCATATGCCGTACGGATTGCACGTCCTGATTCTGGTTGTGGAAAACAAGTCAGTCGCGTGGAGAGCAGGGCATCTCAGCCCCATGTTGAGCGCTAAACCTCATCGGGATCAAAGTACGATAGAGCCAATCGGATCCCGGAGAGATGCGAGGGCTCGAGCAAGCACTTCTCGAATATCTTCCTTCTCTCAGCATTGCACTGCGAGGGTTCGAAAGAGTCGAACAATAGCACACGTACTCTCATACGTATGCCTCGCGCCACTTACACAACATGCCAGATAGAGTAGATGCCATGCGGCACGCAACGCGAGGCACCGGGCGGCTGAGCTGTGGACCAATGCTTCAGCCCAGAGCATAACACACTTCTTCACACGCCATATCAGCCAAGGATGCTCCAGCTGAGGGACCAAGTCTCACTAGGCGCGAGGGGCGGGGCTTTGCATGATTCATCATCGCGTATGCGTTCATGATAGCCTTGACCTCTAGAGTTCTTGTCGCAGCAGCCGGCTCGGAAACGCACATGCCAATTGCAGAGTATAGACCACCTTCAGCTACAAGCCAGAATGTATCTAGGAGCCAGCTACATTATGACACTCGCATCTCAATCCATCAGATATGCTCCGGACTCGCGAAATGCAACATGGGTGACAGAGGGTGGATCATCAGCACGCCATCACATCGAAGGCGAGGCCCCGAAAGGCCAGATTCAACAGATGGAGATTCTGTCCATCGGAAGTGGAGACGATAAATTAGCAACAGACCCGCCTCCTGCGTATGCGGCATCTCCACAAGGCCACGAGATAGACCGAGATGGTTTGCATGCAAATGCTAGACCTGCCTGTGAGTAATCTGGCATTGATGTAATACAGGAGTTTATAGAGGTCGTGGAGAACAAGCTGACATATCAGGCAGCAAATGGGCGAGTGGACATCAAAATTAACACAACTGCGGGACGAGTCAGCAAACTCTGGGCATCCTCGCTGGAAATCGACCCAGATACCGGGCATGATGCTTCTTCGCGAGCCTCAGACTCTGACACCGTCGCAGCGCCGAGAATGAACATTGTCATGCAAATCGTCGGCTCTCGGGGAGACGTTCAGCCTTTCATATCTCTAGGTCTTGCGCTCAGCCAGTACGGTCATCGAGTGCGTATAGCTACCCACCCGGTCTTCCGAGACCTTGTCGAGGGTCAGAAGCTGGAATTTTTCAGTATCGGTGGAGATCCCGCGGAACTCATGTCCTTTATGGTCAAGAACAGGGGGATCGTGCCCAACTTTGAGGCGATTCGCAAAGGCGAGGTGCAAAGAAGGAGGAAAGAAATTCGTGACGTCATGCAAAGATGCTATTCATCCTGCTTCGAAGCTGGAGATGGAATGAGTGCTGACAATCTTGCTACCGTCGAACCATCGGCAATACCGCGAGTAGAGCCAAGGCCGTTTGTTGCGGATGCAATCATAGCTAATCCACCCAGTTTCGCTCACGTACACTGCGCAGAGAAGCTGGGAATACCCCTCCACTTGATGTTTACGTGCGTACAACATCAACCCCGACCATTCACGGAGAGTTTTGCTGACTGTAGTTGTCGCAATCCAGCATGCCTTGGTCTCCTACACGGTCATTCCCCCACCCGCTCGCGAACATCACATCTTCGAATACCGATATCAGCATGACAAACTACTTGTCTTATGTGTTAATGGACACAATGACATGGCAAGGGCTCGGTGATGTTATAAACAGGTTTCGACATAAGATCTTGGGCCTTCGACCCGTGGATCCAAGTTGGGCGCCGGGAATGATCCCGCGCTTGAGGATTCCCTTCACCTACTGTTGGTGCGTTGAATTCGCTTTCCTATCATCATGGATTCTTTCACGACGAAATTGATCTAGATACAGGTCTCCAGCACTGATACCAAAGCCTCGAGACTGGGGCTCGAACATTTCCGTTGTCGGCTATTGTTTTCTACCCTTGCGTTCAAATTACACACCATCTCCCGACCTGGTGTCTTTCCTTGAGAACGGGCCTCCTCCAATCTACATTGGGTTTGGCTCCATCGTGGTTGAAGACCCAGAAGGTCTTACCGCAAAGCTTTTTGAGGCTATTCGCCTTGCGGGGGTTCGAGCAATTGTCTCCAAAGGCTGGGGCGACCTGGGATCGTCAGTAATCGCAACTCCACCCGACGCCTTCATGCTCGATAATTGTCCTCACGATTGGCTTTTCGAGCGTGTGAGCTGCGTTGTTCATCATGGCGGCGCCGGAACCACTGCTGCTGGTATCGCCGCAGGGAAACCAACGATCGTGGTACCTTTCTTCGGTGACCAACCCTTTTGGGGCGAGATGATTGCTCAAGCAGGTGCCGGCCCTCACCCTATCCCATTCAGACACCTTGGATCCTACAATCTGGCAGCTGCGATCAAATCGGCGTTGGCACCTGAAGTTTCCAAAAAAGCACAAGCGCTGGGATGTCGGATCAGCGAAGAGCAAGGACACATGGCGGGCGTCAGAAGTTTTCATCAGCGTTTGCCCTTGGAGACCATGCGATGCTCCTTGGCGCCTGACCGGGTCGCCGTGTGGCGCCTTGAAAGGACGGACGTCAGGCTCAGCGCTTTGGCTGCTACCGTGCTTAGGAAGAGGGGTTCGATCGACTTTAGCAAGTTGCAGCCGTACGTATCGGAATTCGTGCTTGTTCTCATCGCTAACATATCCAGAATGCGGACCTGCGAGATTAACCTCGACCACGGCCCCTGGGAGCCAGTCTCCGGGGGTGGGCTCGCTATCGCGCATCTCTTCTACGACGTTTTCAAAGGCATTGGAGAGATGGGGTCAGGATTCACCGGTACGCTCGGTAGGCCTTACACTCGTACCGCACAGCCATCAACGGAAGCCTACGGCGGAGCTGCAGAACCCTCAATCTCCCACACTCAGGTGCAGGTGCCGTTCCCGTCGGCTAAAGACGCGGTTCTGGGCTTTGGTCCAATCAAAGGAACAGGGCGGATGATGAAAGCCATAGCTCGTGCTCCTATGGCTTTCACTGTCGCTCTCGCGCAAGGGTCGCATAACGCTCCTAGGCTCTGGGGTGATACTACCGTTCGGCCTACCGAAAAGATCACAGGACTGGGTAGTGGATTGAAAGCTGCCGGTAAAGTACGTGTGTGCCGGAGCTTAGCCCGGACAAAGCTCTCGTGTCCCGCCACCCCGAAAATCCGGAAGATGGAATGCTGACCTGATAACGAACAGGAGTTTGTTCTAAGCACCTACGACGGCATCTCAGGGCTCGTCATGCAGCCCGTTATAGGTGGCCGTGAAGACGGCGTTTTAGGTGCCGCAGAGGGGTTCGCAAAGGGCATCATCGGTCTGCCTGTGAAATTTCTGGCTGGTAAGTAGTCTGACACTCTTATTTGTCAGTCCGTATCCTCTGGACTCAGTGGACTGTAACAAAGGTTTTGAGCTCTTCTAACATGCTCCCTTCTCACAGCTGCGAGTGCAGTGGTTGGATACCCGATGAAAGGAATCGATGCGGAAGTAAGCAAGCTCTTCCGCGCAACCGAATCAGAGGCCATCCGTGTTTCGAGGCTTGTGATGGGAGAGATGGATTATGAAGCAGCAGATGAGACTGAGAAAAAGCGTGTGATTGAGGTATGGGAAGCCAGGGCTCAGAATTCACGAAAGAGTAGTAAAGGCAAAGAGAGAGCAGTGATCTGAGACCTGGATGGTATTCGGCCACGTCTTGGTTGACGGCTTGCGTGAAGATTGTCGTATCTGATTCACACGGATAAAGTACAGCAGAAGGTTGTCTCATGTACCGGTACTTCTCATATATCTCTAGGGATTCGGCGGAGAGTAAGGTGAGTGCACATTGTAGCAGCTAGGAAGCCACCCTGTTGACACAAATGCGCGGACTCTATAGCCAGGAAGCAGTAAACCACAACGTAAATAATCATTTATATAGCTTTCGATATGTTAACTAGGGGCTATTATAGCTTCTCGTCTTAGTATTTTACAAGTGCCATTTTCCTAGCTAGTGAGCATGGCTCTTTTGCGAACCACGATACGAGACTGGCTACATAGACTCCCTATGCCTCGGCTTCTAAGTATGACAGCAAATACTTTGTGCTGTCATGGCCAGAAGCAACCGGCAGACAGACGAGCAGGCTTCCTGCAGCTGCTCAATCCTGCGACACTCGAAATCGCACCTCGTTACGTTTGAGCTTTCACGTGACTCCGTGGCGAGCGAGGCCTTACCAAAGATGCGGGGCATAACGCGCATCCAACCCTTCTCTCAGCTTTCTCATACGCGAGAACGGTCCTCCATCCTTAGCGACAGCCAGATATGGGTCCGAAGGCTGCGAAACCAAAGAAAACTGGCAGATCCAATGTGACAACAGCATGTACAGCGTGCAGATCGACCAAGGTAAAAGTACGACATAAATTTGCTTCGTGGCGAGCGACCTACTGAGGAGCCACAGTGCGACGGACGCAGGCCAAAGTGCGGGCACTGCCTGGCAAAAAACCTTGACTGTCAGTATGAAGCTGGGAAGGACAAACGAAAGTATGCACCATCGCTCCGATAGCAAGTTGCGAAGTTGCCAACGTTGCAGAATTCCTTTGCGGAAAGTTGTCGAGGTCTGCACCGAGCGCATCAGGCAGCTTGAAGACCACATTATCGCCCTAGGGGCGGAAGTTCCCCGCCCGCTATCGGTGCAAGATGAAACTCTCCTTGCTGAGATTCGCAACGGTATGGCACCGGGTCGATCCGGGGAAGTTGCGTCGCCAACCCAGGATCAGAACCTATTCCACTCTGCCCAAGAGGCAAATACAGCCGCGTCGCCTCTAGGAAACGCTTTGTCTGGGTCATTTGATAACGTCCCGCCAGCAACTCGAAATGACGAGGGCGTATGGGATAGCGGGCAGGACTCCAGTCCGCAATGGCCTCCCACCGCTGCTCGAGCTGAGGCACCGTTCAACGTCGACTTTGAGATGCCTTTTCTCGCAGACTATCCCATGTCAGTTACAGACGCTTTCGACTGGCCATGGAACGAATCTCAAGCAGATGCTTTTCTCCAAAGCGTGCCTGCCGCTGACCCAGCATTCGTGGAAATGCCTCAAGACGCGATCAACGCTTCGAGTTCTTCCTGGGATGTTCTCAATGATGACGTGAGAGCCTCTACGGACGATGACAGCGAGGATGAGATCATTGAACAGCTCTCATTGCGACTGGGAGACTTGTTCCTCGTTGATGACGACACATTTAGATATCTAGGCGCGACGTCGAATATGACTCTAGCTCAAAATTGGTCGTTCCGGGACGTTATGGCACAGCAGAGACCTCGAAAGCAGTCAACGGACTCGGCCACAGTCCCAGCGCTGGATGAAGTGCTCGACAATCACTTGGAACATCTCTACTTTCGCTGGCAAAATCCCTTTCTACACATAGTGGACCGGGAGGTCTTCGTAGATAGCCGGACGCGAGCAAACATGGGTCAGCCCAACAACTTCTACAGTGACGCTTTGAAATATGCCATGTACAGTCGCCGCCCAGTTTTGGTATGATCCTAAGCTTACAGCTCGTAGCGCGGCAATCGCCACTATTGTTGACGCCAGGACGTTCGCTGAGTCACCAGCCGCGGTGTCACAAAAATATGCAGACTACGCAATCTCTCTGTTAGAATCCGAATACGATTGCCCAAGTATCGCCACCGTGCAGACCCTCGCGATTCTCAGCTGCTACGAGGCAACCAGAACGCACGACACTCGGGGTTGGCTGTACGCCGGTGAGTGACAATCCGCTTGCCCGTATCCGGATCACATCCTGGACGCATCAACTAATAATCTCTGGACAGGAATGGCCTCAAGACTAGCTTTTGATCTCGGCCTCCACATCAACACAACAGCTCACGTAAATGCGGGAAAGATGACCAAGGAGGTTGCGAGAGCGCGAGAGGCCACCTTCCGGGGCACATATGTTGTCAATCAGTAAGACAACTTCTGCTACTTCTGAGTCCATGTGTTGACAGATCGTGTCCAACAGACTCTGGACATTCTATCTAGGGAGACCACTGCATGAGCCTACAGGCGGGCTGTTATCTCGGCCTGTGCAAAGTGTGCAGCAAGAAACGCCGCATCCCGTTTGGGCCCCCTACCGAAGAGCAACAAGAATGGCCGACGTACCGATACCTGATTGTCCATCGACTCTGTTCAGCCATTACTTGAGTACTCTCTGCTCTGAGATCTCATCGCTTGCGCTTACGCTGTTAGTCCCTAGCCGTGTTGATTGTACTCTCAGCTGACTCCAGTTGTATAGATATGGCGCAGGCGGAGTTTCCAATGACGAGCTGATGGAATCGGCGCAGAAAACCTTCCACGCATTGCAGCGATGGAAGTCAACCTTACCGCCGCAGCTGAGGTTCGACGCTTCGCATCATCAAGAAATTCCAACGCCGCATATACTGCTGCTTCAGTAAGGTGATTCTCCATGAGGCTATCTCCACGCTAATGCTCGTGAAAGTATTCAGTATCATGCCTTCATCATCATCCTGCATCGACCATTCGTCTCCAAGCACGAAAACCAACCGTACCCACCACGCGGGGAGGGCCCTTTCCACGCTCGGAACATGTGTGTTGAATCTGCAACCGAGATTGCGAAGATCATGATGATGTACGAGACACAATATTCGCTATCAATTGCTGCAACGCCAGTAGTCCACGCAGTGTTCACGGCTGCCCTTATCCTTGTGTACGCAACCATTTCGGAGACGAACCGTGAGCGTCACACGAAGCTATTGAACCACCTCTCAACATGCTGTCGCGCCCTCTCAGAATTGGGACACCGGTACAACAATGCCGCCCGGGCACTTGATGCTTTGCTGGCTATCAAACGCCACTGGCAAGGTATTTTGCTGGTCGGTGCTGGTCGTAAACGATCCTCCTCGGCACATACGAATCAGGAAGCTGCAGCATTGAGAAAGAAGTGGAAACGTGACGCGCATCCATTCAGCACACTCTCGCCGGGTGCTACTGCGGGCAATGTTCAGCATCATCTAACTGAAAACGCCTAGACGACATTTGTCTTACAGTAAGTCCTTCTATATTATCGTTACCGCCTTATGCTTTAAACGAGCTGCTAAGCTAAATAAAGGCATAGAACTATAGTAAAGTATACTTAGCGTAGTTTTAGCTATTTAGTAAGAAGCTTGTTAATTAAGAGAGAGTTAGAAGCTTAGTAGTTAGTTAATTAGAGTTTATAGGAGTTGAGACTACTACACTATATAATATTAACTACTAAATACTATAGTTAAAGCTCTATTACTTTCTTACTTACTAATCTCCTATTAAATTACTATAGTTAGCCTTTAAGATAGCTAATAGAAACTATATTTAGATCTAGACTTATAGAAGATCTAATCTTCTACTAGCTAAAAGACTTACTACTACTATATCTATATTATAATGCAGAAAGGCTTAGTATAAAAATTTAATTAATCAGATTTATATATAAGATATTATAAAAGATTTAGAGGGCTTAGTAAGCTTAATAGAAAGAAAACCCTTTATATAGAGCACGTAACCTCGGAATAATAGAAGATCTAAGCGCTAGGGAACATTAAGTTTAAACCGTGACACGGAGATCGATTGAAGACTAGAAGCTTGTACGTCTCTCAAATTCTTACCACTGTACTGTTCAGGATGCTACAGGCTATGTCTACATATGCTAGGACTAATGCTATCGGAAGGCAAACCTCTGCAAGAGCAATTTCGAACCGCCGGACAGAACGCAACGGCCCTGATACAGACTAGCACTCCCACCCCAAAGGCTTGAGAAAACGAAGGTCTGGCTCGGAGCGTGGTCTTGCTATTTCAAATGCGTTCTGCCAGCGTGCATCCCGCCTGTAATCAATAAATCTTCTCCTGTAACGTAACCGCTAGCATCACTCAACAGGTACACTGCAGCACCCTTCAAATCGCTCCTATCTCCCATGCGACGCATTGGTGGCTCGGTCACAAAGACCTGAGCCAGCGCCGGGCGTGTGTCAGATATCGATAAGGTCATGTCTGTCATCATGTACCTGGTATTCGTGAGTAGTTGCTTCGCTGATAAGCAAACTTGCTTGACTTACCCTGGAGATATCGAGTTCACTCGGATGCGTTTCTCTGCAAGTTCAACGCCCAATTCTCGCACTAGGGATAGTATAGCCCCCTTGCTCGAGCAATAGTCGCTGAGGTATTGCATCTTGCTCGCTTGATATGCCGTGATTGAGGCGATCATGAGGATAGACCCGCCCTGGGCATGGTTGTCGTCCGCCTGCTGCTTCACCATTTGCTCAGCAGCAAGTTGCGCCGCAAAGTAGCTCCCAAATACGTTGATACTGAAAGTGCGCTGGACTGCCTCGAGGCTGCGCTCGAGAAACGGCTGATCGGGACATATTCCAGCTGCGGTTATCCTCGTGGCAATCAGTGGACTTTCGCACAAACGAGTGGCGTAACTTACAAACCGTCAATGCGCCCAAAATCTTTCACGACGGCCTCGAAAGATGCTTTAAGGACATCATACTTGGTGATGTCAGTCCTGCATGAATCAATATCATCGATCGTCGAGCTTTTCGGACTGCGACGACTCACTTGTAGAATTTAGCTTTTACTCCGTAACCTCTTTGAAGAAGTGCAAAATGCTCATGTGGCTCGTCTAGGATGTCCAAAATAGCAACATCGCTGCCAGCTTCGGCAACCGCGAAAGCAAGTGCGAGCCCAATTCCCCGGGCACCTCCCGTAATGACGGTGACACGACCCTTCAACGAAAACAATTCGTGAATCGTTCTCTTAATGTATAAATCATTCGAGCGGTCGAGATTTTGTGCGTCGCTCAGGTTCGGCTTGCCTGTGGACTCCATGATTAAGGTGCTTTGACTTTTGGCGCATCCACGCCTGCGGAAGTTGGTTCGAAAAGCGCCTCCAACTTGGTGCGCTCTTATATACTTAGGTGGCCGGAAAATGATCAAACTGCCAAGATCGGCTTAACCGGTGATAGACCGCTTTAAAGAGAGTTCGGCTCAGTTAACTCCATAAGTTACTCTCAAATATTACCTTAAAACTATAAGGATTATCAGCGATTTAAATACGTTTTGTGTAAACGCTTTATATACGCTATATTACTATGTAACGGAATTAATTTTATTATTACGTGGTTACCATTTACAGCGTCTAAGAATAGCAATACCTCATTTTCTAGTGTTCTACACGTGAGTTCATGATTTTCCGGCGACATGAGTACATATATGCTGCCAAGAGGAGAGTTCATGGACCCGCATCTACCTCGGAAAACGACTTGCGACGAATGTATACAGTGCGCTTCTGCGGGCAACCATCTTGAGCTTTTCCTTCGCATCTTCCACACTGCTGTCAGACGACGACGACGACGATAACAACAGTTTGATCATGGTCCAGAATCACGCGCTTGTCCTCGGAGCGTCTGGGATTTCTGGCTGGTCCCTGCTCAACCAGCTTCGTTCATACCCGTCGGCAGACTCGTGGAAGAGAATCACAGGAACAACAAACCGGTCGTTCTCACTCGAGCAAGCGAGAATTCCTGCTGAAGACCGGATCAAGATTGTGAGCGGCATTGATCTGGTTGGACCAGTGAATCAGATTGTTCGAGACTTTAGAGAGAAGGTCCCCGATATCGACACTGTGACACATGTATTTTTTACAGGTAAAGTTAACCCTCGGGATATGCGACCCAGATGAAACTAATTTGGGCGCAGCCTACATTCAGAAAGACAGCTTTCAGCAGCTGAAGGAAACCAACACTCTCCTTCTCCAGAATTCAGTCAAAGCGATCGAGACCCTTTCTCCCAATCTCCAAGTAATCATTCTTCAGACCGGTGGGAAGGGATATGGTCTGGAATTTCCGAAAGAGGTTCAGATCAGCCCGCCGTTGCGCGAGGATATGCCACGGATCCCGAAGCCGTGGTACGACAATATTTTCTACTACACACAATACGACACCCTGAAAGAAATGGCTAAAGGCAAGCAATGGACGTTCTCGGAGATCCGACCGGACGGCATCGTCGGTTTTGTGCCCGGCAGCAACGCGATGAACATGGCTCAAGGTATTGCGATCTACCTCTCACTTTGCAGAAGGGTTTATGGCGAAAGGGCGCACATACCTTTCCCCGGGTACGAGCATGGATATCATTCCACGCACTCAGATACTTTCCAGGACTTATTGGCGAAGATGGAGATCTATGCGTCGCTCAACCCTGACCGTTGCGGGGACGGCGGTGTCTTCAACATTGCTGACAAGGACGAGCCAGACACGTGGGCGGAGGTATGGCCTGGGATTTGCAAATACTTTGGCCTCCAAGGCGTACCGCCACAGAAGGAAAGCAAAGGCATGCAAGAGTTTGTACAAGAGCATATGGGAGAATGGCAAGAGCTTTGCACTAGCCAAGGTCTAGACCGAAAGGCTGTGGAGTCGCAAAACTGGGGCCATGTTCACTTCATGCTTGTCGAATTCGACTTCGACAGACAGTACGACTTGTCACGCGCACGTGAGATTGGTTTTACTGAGTCAATCGACACTGTGCAGGGCTACCAGATTGCTTTTGATCGTATGGCAGCTGCGAAAATCATCCCGAAATTCTAAAGGGATGCGGGCTCGGTTCATAGAATGAAATCAATCAGTCATGGCGCATTCTCGGCCTGATATCGAAGCCACAGGTTTCTCATGCCTTCGTACAGTTTTCTGAGAGTTTTTCTAGTCCAGTTATCGTTTACTGATATGGCAGCGCCCGCAGACCCATTGCTGTGCCCTCTACTAGATACAGCTCAGCAGTGACAAAGCGGAAGAGGAACTGCCCAGTTGCCCGCGTACAGGTCTTGTACGCGGCTAGTCTTCCGGTAATAGCTGAGCTGCTGCGAGGCAAGAACAGTTCTAGACCAGACTGCCGGGAATTGATTTCCACCCGGAGATGACAGACAATGATTTCGCAGTCATGAGCTTCCGAAACATGATCTTTAATATCTGTATGCAAAACGGAGCGGATATGGAGGTTCCGCTGTTGGTATGGGCTGCAATCGGGGTCGCTTTGTGGAAGTATGTGATGCGCTTCAACCCTGCGGATCCCGAAGGGTTTGATCGCGAACGATTCGTGCTGTCCAACGGTATGTGGAAACATTCGCCTTGAACAGATGGTGTTTGACGAGGAGCCACCGGTGCATATGCTAGGTCACCGACTAGAGAGGAATTCTTGCACTACGCATGTCGTCGGGGCTGGGAAAAGAGGGTCCAGAACACAACATCATGCAGCACCAAGGATTGATGCGAATCTAGTATCAACTAAGAAGAAGAAGCCTGAGATTTTTGAACACATGTCAGTCCAAAACAGCTTAGCGTCTACAAAGTATTCCGCCCTGATGCAGTGAAGTTTAAGACTACTACGGGGTGCCTAGGTAACTACCTATATAGCTTGTTTTCCAAGCGACGACGTATCTTCAGCCTCAGCGCTTCCCTGGCCTGCATCCTGCAGACATGTCGCCTCCAAGAAAGGCATTATAGTAGCAAGGAAGTTAAGACCTACTTAAACGCTTTTATAAAAGAGTATTCACTAATTAGAGGCGTATAGAGAGTGGAAGTCAAGAGCACTGTAATAATGTGTAGTACTATCCACCCTATTAACAGAAGATCGCCCTGCACCTTGTTTATTCGCCATTGCTGATCTTTCCGTTTGACAAAATCAAGGTACCTCTTTCACATTCTCGTCGTGAGCTCCTTGTCTCGTCCCTTATCTACATCTCAAGATGCGTCAGTCATCGAGTGTAAGAGTAGAATACGGCACTTACTCAGTCTAGTAGACCTTGTAGCTCCTGACTGGTCTCGCGGGATTCATTGGATAATCCCCATTGTAGCCGCGTTGTGTGAGAAATTTGCAGTTCCTCTCGGTATAGAGCTCGAATGTTGTCTGGTCGGGCCAGTTGTTGGTGGCGCCGTTGAAGACGACACGGAAAACGTTCAACACTGGAGACCATGAGAGATTGATGCAGCCGCTGTTAGTGATGCCGGAGCTGGTGGCGAGACCACGGGTTGTGTCGTAGAGTTCCAGCCTCCAGGCCGAGGTGGTGCTTGCAAGAAGCGAAACGGCGAAAGCGGAAAGAGTAAGCTTCATATTGGAGATTGGAGATGGGACACCGATATGTGTAAGACGATTGTGCTTCAAGAGACTGGAGCTTGGTCACGGTGCTGAAGGATGATGGAAACACTCAACGAGGGATCAAGACCGATCTTTATACCTGTTAAGTGCACAATGGTACATCGCTGCGGTCTTCGCGTTGACTCAACTGATTCCTCGAACTAGGTTTTATCCCCGTCGCTGCTACTCGAACACGAGGCGGGGTACAGTAGATTCATGCTCTGCACCACATCATTTGGGAGCGGGATAGGATCCAGAACCTGTGATGTAGATGCGAGTCTGTCACGGACTACAGCACCTGAACGCAGCCGATGGGTAGTCTTCATTAGTCTAATTGTGGCTTTTCTACAGGCCGCAATCCCTGCTTGACATGACCTCTTTAGCCTAGAAGCCGAAACCATATTCCCTACACGTGCATGCCATTCCGATGCTTTCCCAGCGTTCCGAAGTCCCTGTGACAGGCGCTAAGCACCCATTGGATGTGCCCCGATGCTGTAGTAGAGCTCTGCTCTCGCTGGCTGTGGGCACATCGTCCAAAGGCAGCTGGAAATGCGGGCTCGCGGTCGTAGTGAGGACCAACACTAAGCACGGGTGGTCTATGATCTGGGGCGAGGAAATGCTGCTTATCGAGATACCCAGGTCGTTTGGCATCGAACACGCGGCTGGAGGCCCTCTGATTCACCTTTTTCATGCGGTTAGCTACCACGGCACTCCCGCACCGCCCTTGCCTGACGGGACGTTTCGAGACTCCCGCTTTGTGGGGCAAAGGGCGGCTCCATCGAGATGCCCTGGACCCCGCAAACCTGATATGCAGGGTAGAGCGGCACGCGGGTGACAAGAATGCGCGGACTCCATAAACAGCAAACCCAGAAGCTGCTGTAAAATGAAATCGATAACTAGGCTAAATCAATCCTATATAGCGTGCGCATATTCTCTAAAATAAGATACTAAGACGAGAAGCTATAATAGCCTCTAGTTAATATATCGAAAGCTATATAACTAATTATTTACGTTGTGGTTTGCTGCTTCCTGGTTATGGGGTTCGCGCATTCTTGTCACCCGCGTGAGCGGCTTCACAAGGGTCTTGCATAAGGTAAGCGAGCTGGATGCCGTCCGCACTCCAACAGTACATACCACGAACAGTAGAGCTTGCTGTGACTAAAAGCGACGGGCTAGGAGTAACGGAGGGTAGTCCGATCATGCATCGCCCTTGTAGCAATCAGCTAATAGTCGAGCGAACAACCTCAAGGCCTTGGTAGAGTACAGCATGCGTATTCCGACTCTTGGATCTGTAATAGACGGTCGGTAACTATCTCTCGAAGCAAACGGATCCAAGTATTCGAAGGTTAGCATGATTGACGTCTCGCTATGCAGCAGCACGTACGTCTTCCTCGGTGGCGTGATGGATTTCTTGAAATGTGACCATGCACCATGCATGCCATTGTGGCTAAGAAAAGTTCCAGTACACAATATCATGCAGCACGAAGGGGTCGAGGAGGAGATCTTGGAGCACGTTTGACTTCAGAGCAGCGTTAGCGTCTGCTCCACTTAGATGCAGATGAAAGTTAAGACTATTGCGGGGTACGTACATATATATCTACGCGACGATGCTCTTCAGCCTCGGCGCTTCCCTCACCTGCAGCCTGCAGCCAGATTGACTTCAAGAAGGCAGGCGCTAAGGCGCCAACATAGAGCCTGCCGTACGGAATTCCCCTCACTGAAATCTATTGCGCCTTCTCGAGGCGTCTCGGTAACCCTTGGTCGTACGGAGCCGTTGGCCCCACGGCCTCAGTCTCAAATTGAACATTTGCATACATGCTATCAAGCCATCAAAGCCACGCGCTCCACAAAGCGCTACTCTATCTACGCCTCAACAGCCTGCAGATGCGAAGTCTGGCCCCTTGGCGCCTCTGGCTTTGCACCCTCTTCTGGTTTCGCGACCGAACTCGACACCGCCCGCCTCTGCGCCGCATCCGTCTTCTCTCCACCTTGCCAAAACTTCTGCTCCTTGCCAGACTCGACCACCTTCGGTACGCTCGCCGGTTGCCCGTCAGAGGACAGCGCATGCATCTCCCTTGCATCAGCCGCCGGCGGCGGCTTCATTCTCGGTGACTGCTCTTCACCCATCGCACCACCGCCCGGTCCAATCGATATGACAGGGTCAACCTCCTCGTCCGTCGCAACCAACTCTGCCGTCCCCTTGTCCGTTTGCAGCGATTTGCCTTCGTCCACGGCCTGCTGCTTCCTAGCCACAAGTCTCTCCTCAGCGGACAGCTTGCCCCACTCCCCACCGAAGGTGATGACGGATGCTTTCTTGCCATGTACCGTAAACGGTCCCTTCCCGCGCTGGAGTCCCTCGTCGGGGCTGATGTGGAGACAGTCGTCCGCGGCAGCCGTCCCGTTACTTCCGACGGAGTCTTTGCCCTTGTGGGCGGAGCGGCGGTGGGAAGTTGAGCCGTGCGAGTCGCGGAGGGTACGGTGGAGGGATCGCCTGACCCTGGATCTAGACTCTGGGGAGCCGGCTACGGTGCTTTGGGGCGGGCGGTCCGTAATGGAGGAGATGGAGGAGGCGGTGCCAGGGCGGCCGCCGTCCATGGCGACACCGATACCGTTCTCTAGCGCTGCTCGAGCGGGGTCGTCTGGTGGTGCGGGGGTTGCGTAGCGGCTGGGTACGGAGGAGATGCTGGACTGGCTGACAGAGGAGACAGAAGGACGATGTTCGAGGACATCGGGCCGCGACGATTGCGCAGGGGAGCTGAGGTGGTCTGATGGCGGAGACTCGACGGTCAGAGGTGGTATCTTCCACCGAGCTTGTGGATGCTGTGGCGTCAAAGGCGAGGTGGCTTCTGGAGGTGTGCGGAAGACGTCGCTCGCGGCAGCCTCGCTCTCTAGTGAAGAGTTGGTGCCGGGGCGGAGGGTGAAGGCCTGCGGAGAATGCATGACGGGCGACGTCGGACTCTTCTGGCTTGAGATGACTGTGCTAGCTTTGGAGTTGAGTCGAGCTAGATGACCGCCTTTCAGGTGTCTCGGTGACAGTTCAACAGCGTTACCAGTTCGGGCCTGCTCAATCCGGGCTTGAGACTCGCCATTGAACCGCCTTTCTTCTTCGAGATCCAGCGCAAGAATGTCCCGGTGGCACTTCATACGGCATATCTCGATGCGGGTCCACTTGAGCTTCGCCGACATGCGCCCGGCTGCATGTACCACGTGCTCTCGAGTCTTGGGCTGGATAGGTGCCATTATCTGCAGGTGCCTCGCATCCCTCAGCTGCTCGTCCAGCTGCTTGATGGTGTTGCTTAGCCTCTCTTCAGCCTCACTGATCCTCTGCAAGACGTGGTCTCTCCGTGCAGCTGCGATCTGTTGTGCGAGCTGTGTGTCGATCCTTCCTCTCTGTATAGTTACTTCGCCGGTCGCAGTCTGTACCGAGGTTGTGGAATAGTCAGAATCTAGCCTGCGCAGACCGCGGTGCCGCTGCCCGTCGTAGTTACCTCCGATAAGCCCTCTTGGCCGTGTCCCGGACGTTTCGAACGCAGCTGTGTAATTGAGTTTACCGAGCCAGTCGTTCATGTCGCGTTCGCTATCTGCAAGGAAGACCTCTTCGGCACCGCCTTTCGCATAGATGAAAAACGAATGCTTGTGCTTCTTGTAAGTGGCATCGTGAACCGCGACAGCGCCGTCCATAGGTATGACGTGGTCTGGTTTGAAATCTTGAAGCGCCGGTTTGAAGATGACGGGAACTCCGCCATGGCCATGCTTCTCGTTGAGCTCGAGCTGATGCATCAGCGACTTCACCCACATCGCATTCTTGAAAAAGGACAGGCCTGACCGCGTCAGTATTGCTCCCCACTCTTGCCACGGTGAGCGCGCCGCCTTTCTTTTAGTGTCTTTCCGCCAAAGGATCCCGACTCTGGTGACTGGCATCTCGACAAGACCCGCTTGGGAGTCAAGGGGATTCTCGATTGTGGTTGGAGACATAAAGGCTTCAGGTCGAGAGCGTGCGGAAACTATCTGGATTACTCCACATCTGGCAAATGAATTATGCAGATACTTGATGTCCAGTCCGGGAGCGGTGCCAGCGTACGCGTAGGGATCGTCGAGGTTCATAACGTCCTTTATAGGCGGGCGCAGAACGTCCATCTTCCCGTCTAATATGATTGTGTAGGGGTCAATAGGCTCCTTGGTGGCTTTCTTAACGGGATCGGCTGCAGCACTCTTGATAAGGTCCTTCGTCTTCTTCCTGCGGGAGGCTGTGCCCTTGATCTCAAACTCGTCGTGGATGTGGATAAAAGGTGTATAGACGATGTTGTCGTAGATGCATGCGAGCACGTCATCCGCGGGGACACCGTCAGCGCGGCAATTTTTGATGTAATCTTGCCTCTGCATCTTCCGCTTGTTGTTCGGGTTGAATACATCGGTGTGCAACATAATGATTGAAAAAGTAATAAAATGTGCCTTGTCTACGTTGAGTCAGCGGAAGAAGGCAGACACGAGCGGTGGGGATTGCATACCTGCGGACACAAAGATGCCAGGATTGCACTCGCAGTACCTCTCGGCGAAGCTGCCCAACACTCTATCGATCTGCTGCGTCTCATGTGGTAACTCGACCTCCATTAGCATCTTTCGAATTGCCATGTCTATCGGATCACCGAAGAAGGTAAGTCTGCGCATGTAGCTTCGCATGACGGCCATAAGAAACGGATCGTCGGACTTGGCTAGGATGGTTCCGATCAAGCTGCGGTTCACGGTCTCCTCGAGTCTTTCCAGATATCTACCCGGCGACTCTCCATCCTCCCGCTCAGGTATGATCAAGTGCTCCCGGCTGATGTTGAGCGAGGTGGAGTGCGAGTTCCGGCCTGATGTGGGAGGAAAAGATCGACCGGGAGACCCGTGTCGAGGAGAGTCAGGACCAGAATCCTTTCGTAACCTGTGACCCAGCCCGAACAGATGGCTGAAACTATTCCGCCCAGCGGTCGAGGTGGAATTACGTCCACTTGGCGCGAAGGGCGGCGTAGGCGGTTGTCCAGGTTCAGGATGCTCGCTGGTCGATCCCATGGTAGAGGAACGCTCTCGGAGAGTGAGACGCATTGGAGGTGCTAGAGCGGGTGACGACCTAGAAGATCTCGCAGACGTGGTCGAATCATTACGCAGCAGTGCTGAGACGAAGCTTACAGTTGACGGCGCGAGTGCATTTTGGAAGGGCAACGGCAATGGCTGAGTCGCAAGAGGGGAGCTGTTTGCAGTGTTGGAGCGGCGTATTGCAGTCAAAGGAGGGCTGTAGTCTCCAAGCGAGCGGACAGGAGAGCCGGAACTCAGAGCGCTTGTGGAAGCACGAGGAGTGGCAGGAGCTGTGTTTGGCAGTTCCGGTGGAGGTATCTTAACTGGCAACGGGAATAATGAATTGCGGTTCTTCTTCTTTCGCGGCAGACTAAAGAGGGTCTTGTTGTGTGATGGATGCGTCGCAGGCGTAGCAAACGTAACATGGTCTGTGGATGTATTGGAGCTTGCATCTGACCGGGATGAGTCTGAGTATCTTGCGGCAGGCGGCACCAGTGGGGAGTTTGCCTCAGTTCCAGGATCGGAAGGCGCCTTGCGAGCGTGGTTAACGGACAGTCGACCAGGTTCGCCAGAAGCGTCCACAGCCTCCCTCAGAGACCCAGCTCCGCTTTCTATACCGTTCTCAACGTCCTCTCTTCTCCTCTCCGTTGACCTCCGCCCGAAAGATAGCCTTCCGGTGCTTGGTTCAGCCGAGTTCCGCCTTCTCGAAGACAGCAAGAACTTGGATTTCTTCCTCTGGGGTTTGTCACCAATCTCCATGGTCGGCGCCGTCATGATGATCGCAGGGGCTGGTGCTAATGTAGCGTCAGTAGGTGACCCAAGTGAGGCATGCGCCTACAGATTGTTTGGTGCGTACCTGCAGCCATGGCGGGCACCGGCGGGACGGGTTCTGCAGTTTGTGCCTGTGCCCGCGCCTGTGCCCGCGCCTGTGCTCGCACCTTTGCCGACAGCTGTGAGTCTGATGCATGGCGGTGCCTCAGCATGCTGAACCGCTTCGTGTTCGGGGTTGGTTCCTGGATAGGCGGAGACGGAGCTGGTGGTTCCACGGACGGCCTGGGCGACTCGGCCGCCAGATCGGGCGTGCTGCCATCCTGCGATGCGGCACCACGGTCTGGATGGAGGAATTCGGCAGACGCATTGGGGCGCGAGGCCTGCTCGCTGCGGCGGAGGAAGAAGCCGGTTGGGTCGAGGGTGCTACGCCGCTTCAGGTCTCTGTCGCTCCGTCTGGGTCGAACGCCTAACAAAGGCATCGCGGGGCATGAGGGCAGGCCGGCACATTCAGCTGGAGGACGGCAGCTTCAGGGCACGGCACTGGTAAGGCGGAGTAGACAGAAAAGTACGAGGACAGGGAGCTGGAGATTGGAGATTGGAGATGTCAGCCGCAAGAGATGGTGGGTGCGGTACGTAAGGCTGAGGGTGTCCAGGGCGTCAAGCCAGCGGGTGGTCAAAGTCGCTGCGGACAAGGGGATCCGCACTGCATGCTAGGGGGGGGAGTCCAGTACAGTAGGTACCTAGGTAGGGGAGCAGGGCAGTAGGGCAGTAGGGACTGCAGAAACGAGTGACTAGGGCGTCGAGTCTAGATGGTGCAGTGTCGAGTAGGGCCGGAAGTAGGAACAGCATCCAGCAGCGCAGAGCTGAGAGTCTCTAGTTGTTCTTTTGCTGCAGCGCTCCCCCTCCCCCCATGTGGATGCTTCGGCCTTTGACGCGACGCCCCTTGGCCCCATTCCTTGGCCTCAGGCCTGCTGCGGCTCCAGCCTTCCGCGCCTTCTCCGCTCCACCCGGGCAGGGTGGCAGGCCAGGTCAGGCACACGACTACCACGGCTGTCAACACAAATGCTGATGATGCTGCCGGCACTCGTTGCGAGCTAACATCAGCATGCGACTCCATCTACCCACCTTCGCAGCCCTGCTGCTGGCGGCTCCGGCATTGAGCGCGACTTCCCACCACCAACAAGCCTCGCAACAACAACCCATGCAGCTATGGCGGAAAGCACTGAACAAGATCGGTGCAATAGATTGGGCCCACCATGGAGGCAAGACGTCAATTGCTACGGCTGGTGGTAAGGAGAGGGAAGTCGAGCGACAGCAATTGCCCCCAGAGCTGCTCTCGCGCTATGGCACGGATGTCGTCTGGAGGTTCAACTTCACTTCGGCGGAGGACGCATTGGCTCTGGCAGAGGCCGCAGACCAGCTAAGACTCGATGTGTGGGAATTCAACGAGAACTGGGCCGACGTCAGACTGGCCAAAGATGCGGTGAGTGGGCTGTCGTGAGGTCTGCTGCGACCATTCTGATCGTCTCAGGTATCCACGCTCCTCGCCCTCTTGCCGCCATCCCTTCAACAGTCCCATACACCTCTCTTTGGTGACCTCGAGCTCGCCGAAGCCGTCTTCGCATCTTACCCGTCGTCCACAACCCCCATGACATTATCGCCACGTTCCTTCACTCCGTCCCTCCACCCCCCAAGCACCGACATCTTCTTCCAAGAGTACCGCCCTCTTTCCGTCATAGCACCCTGGATGCGCCTCATGTCCTCCATCTTCACTACGCACGTGCGCTTCCTCAGCATCGGCGTCAGCTACGAAGGGCGCGACATCCCCGCCCTCCGCCTCGGCGTACACCCCAAGAACAACAAAGGCAAGCCCAGCGGCCCACGCAAGACCATCCTCGTCACCGGCGGCAGCCACGCTCGAGAATGGATCAGCACCAGCACGGTCACGTACGTCGCCTGGAGCATCATAACCTCGTACGGCAAGTCCGCGCTCGTGACCAGCATGCTCGAGTCTTTTGACTGGGTCTTCATCCCGACGCTGAACCCGGATGGCTATGTGTATAGCTGGGAGACGGACCGCCTGTGGCGCAAGAGCCGGCAGCCGACCGGCAGCAAGCTCTGCGTGGGCATAGATCTGGATCGCTCGTATCCATTCCACTGGGACGGCAATGTCACGCGTGAGAACCCGTGCAGCGAGAGCTATGCTGGCAAAGAAGCATTCGAGGGCGTGGAGGCGAAGCGCTTTGCTGAGTGGGCCAAGAACGAGACGGAGCACAATAATGTCACGTTTGTCGGATTTCTGGACCTGCACTCTTACTCCCAGCAGGTGCTGTGGCCGTACAGCTACAGCTGCGAGGCGGAGCCGCCTGGATTGGAGAATCTGGAGGAGCTGGCGCTGGGACTGGCGAAGGCGATGAGGCTTGCAAGGGGCGGGGCTCATTATATGGCGGCCTCTGCCTGTGAAGGCAATGTCGGCTTCAGGAGGTCAGAATCTAGCGAAAAGAAAGGTGGGATATTACCGCGCTTCGAGAGCGGTGGAGGCAGTGCGCTGGACTGGTTCTACGAGGAACTCAAAGTCGAGTATGCGTACCAGATCAAGCTGCGCGATACGGGAAGTTATGGGTTCTTGTTGCCGAAGGGGAACATTGTACCTACGGGCAGGGAGGCCCTCGACGCTGTGTATTACTTGGGCAAGTACCTGATGGGCGAGGTGGGTTTCCAGGAGTCGGGCAACCTGGGAGGCAAGGCAGCATCTTGGGACGACGCGACGTCACAACCGCACGAGGAAGAGGAAGGGCCTTGGGAGCTGAGACGGCGCCGACTGTGATGACTTCTCCACAAAAGCAACTGTACATATAGCTCTATGGCACGTTCTGTGAACGTTGTAAAAGCTGGCAACAATCAATGATACGGGCTAGTTTACGAACTTTCTGTTGGAGATGGATTGAGAAGTTCTTCGTCTAGCTTCCAGCTGGTAGTGAACTCTATTTATGCAGTTGGGAAACTAAACCACACAGCGAGCTAGGAGGAAATACAGATCAATGATCATAACGGCACTCTTAGTTACTAGAACCTCTGAGCCCTCTACCGTCTAGGAGTCATGGCTGCCATTTTACTGCCTGCGCGGCAAGAAGCCTCCCGTGTCCGGATTGACGGTGAACGCGCCTAAGTCGCCGTCTGTTGGGTGTGGCATTGATCCCAAACGTAAGATGATGCTCCGTCATCTATACGGAAGCCCAAACCAAGGCTCTGTCATGGCGCCTGACCCTGGACATCTCCGGAGACGTCCACTGCCTGGAGAGGGCCTGCTTGGCTCACCCCCCAGCGCACAGCGCTGCCGATTCAGTGCCATTGCACAGCAGTCTCTATGACTAGTTGCGCATGCTCTTCAGCCCCTCTCGAACATGCAAAGCTCAAACTCAACATCCCCCTCCCTCATCCTAGTATCCTGAATCTCCTCGCCCACAAACTCCTGAAGCTTCGCCTTGCTCGCCCTAACCCAGCCTCGCCTCTTGCCCTCCTCGCCCTCCAAATCGAGCGGGAAGAAAGTGTCGCAGTCATAGTCCTTGTATATCTTCGTAAGCAGGACGCGTTTCGCTTGCGGTAGGTCCAGCGCCGCACGATAGAGGCTACTCCCGCCGATGATGAACATTTTGCCGATCGGCGGGAGGCTGGTAGAGGCATCTCCCGTGCCTGTATCTTCCTTCTCATCAGCTGGTCTTAAGCATCCCACCGCCTCCTCCAGACTCGTCGCCACCACAACAGCCTGCTCGCGCGCCTTCTCCGGCTCCACACCCGCCAGTCGCCCACTAGACGTGACAACGACGTTTACGCGGTCCCTGAGCGGGCGGAACTTGGGGGGTATGCTCTCCCACGTTTTGCGACCCATAATGACTGCGTTTTTTGTTCCTGGCGGCGAGGAGTGGGGCGGGCGCTTCGTGACGCGTGCGAAGTAGGCCATTTCGGACTTGAGGGATGGCCAAGGGAGGGTGCCATTCTTGCCGATGCCTAGGTTTTGTGTGGCTGCCACGATGAGGGTAAGTTGGGAGCGGTGGGGAGGCATTGGTGCATTTGCTGGTGCGGTGGTCATTGTTCGGGATGTCGATGCGGTTGGTTGATGGAGAGGGACACGATCAGTCGGGGTTGTCCTGAGTCGCCAGCACGCTTGCACGTGCCTACATTACTACTTGCTATGACAGAAGCCGGCTTTTTGTGATAATACAGATGTATCTACAATGCTACTATATATACGCAAACTGCTATACTGGTTCATAACGTCAGTCATGGCTTTCAAGTATCAGAAGGGTGTGTTGAAACCCCTCTGATTTAAATGTCCTAATTTGTGCATACGCAAGCTGGCATCTTCATCCTTGTTAATACCACTTCCGGTTCATCTCAGCTCGAAGTCCTGTTCCTGCATAAGTCCCATGGCCCTTTTTCGAACTTCGAACACTTCGCCGTCCATCATGGAATGAACATAGCATTCGCTGTACAGTCAGCAAGCAGCAGCATCTTGAAACGAACTCGTGCGCTCACCCTATGAACTCATAATATACGTGGGAATCTGGAACGTCACTGGTTGGCCTCGAAGTCGGAGCATTGTCCTGTGAATTCCCGTTGCTAGGACTGAGAGACCTGCAGCGCTCACACAATATCAATTTCTTGCTTGCAGGCTGGCCGTTGACAAACTTCCGGAGCACGACGGGGACGCTGCAGCCAAAGAGAATGCAGATCAAATCTCCCTTCTTGACTCTAGAAGGTGCCAGACCGAGAACCGGTTGTGGCGAGAGGCAACCGTGCCGACATGGTAGCTTATCCAGAACTATAAGCCTTCGAGACCAGACCATCCCTTGAACACGTTCTAGGAATTCCCTCGTAGCGGAAGGGCAATCGTACATAATGATTTCTCCGGTGTTAAGGTCTCCTCTTGCCGGCTTTCTGCTTAAGGCGTCCCGGCAGGCCATGTGCCAACGCGAAGGCGGCCTGTAACCGTTGGCGTCTCGGTTTCCGACCAGAAGCCGCCAGAAGTGATGCTCGGTGAGATCGTCTGATCTGCTCCAGCTGACAGCGTCGATCCATTCAGACGGAATTATTCCCGCTGTTGCAGGAGCCTTTTTCTCTTTGATTGTGCTTAAAACGAACCCTCTTACAAACAAGCTCTTGTCGTAACCCGCCTTCATCATCCACACCGCCGGATAAGACCCTGCCGCCTTGTAGTTCCACGTGTCCATGCCGGGTCTGCCAACAAGAGGGTCGGCGTTGATCCGCCGGTAGACTCCGTTTACACCAAGTCCAAAAGCGCTATTAGAGAGTTGCGGGATCCATGAAGGTAGACCCGGTAGATCAGGTGCCCATGGGCGACAGATCATATCCAGAGAACGGGATCGCGTGATGATGAACTCAAGAACACCTTTGAATACATGGAAGATGTCCTTAGTGTAGTCCACTGCGATTCTCCTACTTACCATAGCGCTGAGGAGCATGGTGACCGCTTTTCTTCTCTTCTCAGTGAGCTGTTCAGTCTCACCTCGGACAGTGTCATTGCTACGAAGATGCTTCCCCGGTCGATGCTCAGGTAGCATGCAATCACCAGTCACCGAATGGTGTTCCTGCAGTTTCATACAATCGGCGGCCTTTTCTATTCCCCCAGTCATAGCACCCATGGACTTAGTGGCACGGCTACCTATTTGATCCTCGTCATCGATAAGTATGGCTGGCGTCGACGTGATGAGGTCTCCTCCAGCTGGTACCAGATTTTCGGAAAGGGTGTGTAGAGATGCGGCTTCCGTGCATATGGAAGCCGCAGCACTTGAACGCCGATACAGCTGTGAGGCTGTGATCTTTGGTTCCAAGGACAACTTCTCTGAGGACACGTGACAGGTCGCGGAGGGCAGCCCGGCTACTGGAGCGGTACAGCCTGGCTGCTGTGCGGAGGCCTTTTCAGGATCCATTACCCAAGCATCCCTTGCGGCTGGACGGGCGTCATTCGCCAGCCACAGTATAGCATAGACCGTATCTCGCGGTTCGGATGCCTCAAAAGCTGACAGTGACGACATCAAGGCTTCGAGTGAGCGCACCTTCTCCATGATACGGCCATCTTCGGATTTGCGAAAGAGATTTTCGGCTGCGGATACGAGTCGCACGGCCCCTAGTTCGGTCAGATCGCCGAAGTAATCCGGATGGTTTCGGAAGGCTGTCGACTCGCGGAATAGTTGCCTGATCTCGTATTGGTTCCGTTCAAGGAGGGATATCACGTCTGCGAACTCTCTCCAAGGCACTGAGTCTTTGCCACAATGCAGAGTTGCTCTCTTAGCCAGAGCAATCTCCTGAATGATCCAGCGCCGGTTGAACCACGGTCGTCTCATGAGCGCAGAGAGGGCCGCCCATTCCTTTGATGCAAACGAATCCCGTACGAGCCGGTCGAAGTCATCCAGGTCTAAGCATTTCTTGACGAACTCCATCGCTTTTGCGCTGTCTCCCTCTTCCACGCCGAGCCATACGCGAACGTGCTCTGCGCCATTGTAGATTTGTGACATCTTTCCGATCTGAGAGCTCTTTTCGTTCTCATCTTCTTGATCTATACAGAGTGCGTCGACCCAGAGCAATCTGTAAGTCTGTTCGGACCGAAGCTGGCGCAGGGCCGCCTCCAGATTTGGCGTTATCGCAACGCGGTGCGCTTCACTGCCAGCAAGTATCTCAATGAAGAAACCCCCCCTCTTTGGTCCCCAATAATAAGATAGGGCATCGTAAGGCTCTGCCACCTTCAGTATCAGTCCGGGTTCTGGGTCATCAGCATACCGAGGGGTGCTAGCGGCGCGAATGATCAGAGTGCACCTCAGATCCATAGTGCCCGATCCAGGATGGAGTTTGAGGAGGCGGATTTGGTCATAGCCGAGACGATCTTGATTGAGGCCGAGTGGTGAGTGCTTCTTGTAATCGTACCCTTCCATCGCGCGCCTGGAGGTAGCCGCGCGAAGAGTTTAAAATACGTGTAAGCTAGCATCAGATGTAATGCAAGAAACCGCTAGAAGTACGGAATGAGTTTGGAGACGGAAAGCTTATTTGCAAGCGTGAATTATAAAGATAGGGTTGAAAGTACGGCGTAGAAGAGCGAAGCATAAGTGCAAAGGGATCTGGAGAGGGATCAATGTTCGTCAGGGCGTAGTGTCGTTCGGCGAGGGGATCTTTGATAAGAGACGACCAGTCATCTAGGATACTTAAGTCTACTAACATTCCTCCAGTCCCAAAGGCGTCCTCGGGGCGTATTGTCGCTCAGCTCAGATCTACAGTCATCCCCGCGTTCCGCCAAACCGCTAGGGAGCTATCTTCGGGGGCAGAGCGGCAGATCTAGGTCCATGCTTACCTGCTCCCCATTGAGATGATTTGCTCCACGCAGCCGCTATGATGTCTTGACCATGGAAGGCTATCAAGCGGAGAGAATTATATGCCACTGAACACGCTAAGGGAATCCTGTTTCTGAGGCATGAGTGTCGCATTGCGTGTCTGCCCTAATTCTAGACTTGACACCTCGCGCGGTACATTCGCCCCGGGTTTAGCCTCGTGGTTGCCTTGCGTCCCGTCCTTCTGCTTCGTTGCTGAAGCGAGAAGAGGAGACGCATCAGGGTGCTGGTGGCGTCCAGTTGCGGTTAGAGCTCTTGTGATGGTCTGAAGAACCTTGAACTTGCAGGCAAGGCGCAGAGCCACGATTGAACCACCACGCATCTTCCCGCCCATCTGAGCCTCGATGCTTAACCAATGCCGCTCATATTTGACAAAGCTAAATCGCAAGGCCACCTGGTGTATCTAGAAGGTGCAGCGCAGCGCCTTGCTACATGCTCAGCCACGACATACTTGCGAGGCCTGCACACATCGCTCTTGCTTGGTCTAAATATATAGAGGATCAGGATCCGCCGGGTCCGCCTCTCTTACAATGCAGCTCATGGATTACGTGGAGATGTATACACCGACAAAGGTTCGTCACGCGACCGGCTTTATTGCTATATGCGCAGAATAGCTAATGTGGAGGCAGAGGATCGCATCTGAGCCACAGCCTTGGTCAACTATCGCAATGCCACAGGTCTCTCTAGACGCTGCTGGTCTCGTCGCTTTGGCTGACCTTGCTACGACTGCGTACCGGACAGCACTTACTGGCACATCAGCCTTTCTGGATGTTTTCGTGCTCTGCCCCGGCCTGCATCGGCAACAGACGGCGCCAGGGCTCAACGGCGGCGAGTATCCAGCCGTTGCTGCCATGACCAGCGGCTACGTCTTCCGGATCGAGAATCCGGCAACAGTCGTTTATCTCCAGAAGGTCGGCCTGACAGGCCAACTAACGACGTTGTCCGTTACCAAAATCAGGCATCAGCACCGAAGGCTGGCGAGATTGCTATCCATGCTCTACACATTTGAAAACAGTACTTTCATCTCGTCCGTGTCGTACATGTGTGCCATCGCTGCGACAATCATCGTACTATCCCTCATGATCGTCTTAGAAGACTGGTGGGGCGTCTTTGTTATCCTTCTCCTCATGTTTGCCCGGCTCTGCAACAGCTTCGTAATCCGCAGACGCAGTCAACTTGGCTGGCAAGGTGCCAGCGAACCCGGTGAAAATGGCGATTTGCTTGTTCTTTTGAGCCAGGACCGATGGATCCGGATGCGTGGAGCCGTCGATGATCTGAAGGCTGTTACCTCCGGCCAGTGGCTCCGAGACCCAACTTTCATCGAGAGCTCAGTCAGCGCATTTGCGACTTTGCTGGTGTACCTAGATGCAGCGCTAGCCAGCAATGTCAGCCAGCTGGGCAAAGTGCTTCTACTGGTGCTGTTGGTCAGTTCGGCGGCGCTTTTATCCATCGCGAATGTGAGGACCGATGAGTTGCAGATGCATGGATACATCGTCGAAGTCAACGGTCCACGCAGGAAGTACGAGAGGAGGCTGCAGATGGCGGAAGAACTAATCCAGGAGTCAGGAAGAGATGATTGGGCAGTGCAGCTGGGCATGATCAGCCGGAACGTGGACGACACTACAAAAGCCAAGCCCGAAGGTGTGGTGACAATGTGAGATGGAAAGTCGGTCAGAAGAACGACTACTTCTACTAAGAAACCCTCGAGAACACCGAACCCCACAGATCACGAAGGCTGTGGCGACGCTCATGCCGACGGTCAAGTGATCCGTAGCCCGTGAACATGTCCGCGTCGCCAGCCAGTCCCACGCGTCCGCCCATCTCTGGTCCCTCATTGGTGAATTTCACTCTTTGCACTCTGGCTTTTCTTCCATTCCAACCATCATTATCGTTGTCCGTTGCGTGGAACACCGCCACCGTCTCCTCTCCTAGCTTCATGAACATCCCGTGACCTGGCGCATACGGTCCTCTCCCTGGTGCGTTTTCAATCAACGGTTTGTTGCTCTTTCGCCAACTTCTCGGGTCCATCGGGTCGCCGCCTGTGTACTGTAACGTCGCCATCTTGTAGTCTTTGGTCCAGGATCCGGCACACGAGTACACAAGTCCCCTCCACCGCCCATCGGCTGACTCGAACCACTGCGGCCCTTCATTGATTCCATGGTCTGCAGTCCATTCCCACGGATGCTCCGGCGTCGATATTCGCACCGGTTGGCGCGCTGCCGCAGTCACAGGATCACTCAGTGGCACGATGAAGAGCTCTTGCACAAGGTCTGAAAGGTCCGCATTATCGAACGGCCATCCTGAGTACACCAAGAAGAGCCGGTTGTCGATGCTGAAGACCGTTCCATCGATTTGCCATTGCTGCTGTGGCAGGCCTCGGATGAGTCCTAGGTTCTCCCAAGTCCCGGCGGTGGGATCTGTGTCTGCTGGCGGACCACCGAGAACGTACATTCGGTGTGATCTGTTTCCCTGAGCTGGGTGAGCACCGGCGACGTAGATGTACCAACGGCCGTCGATGCTGTGGAGTTCTGGTGCCCAGAGCTGGGCGGTGCAGTCGGTATCCGGGGGTGGGCGCCTAGATTTGGTTAGTCAATGTATTCAACTTAGAGTTGCGACTGAGCTAGAGTCACAGAAATCTATCGGTCATGCTGGTGTATGTGCAGTGGGTTCTCTGGGTACACTACCAAACTACAGTTTTTTCGGCGTTATCCTGAAAGCCTGTCAAGCTGTCGGCGGACCATACTTCCACTCGGTCTCCGGCAGTGAAAGACTGTCGTTGTTAGACCGGTGAATTGTAATGATTATGATGTTACTCACAAGATAGTATTTGCCATGAGCAGAGGTTATGAATGGATCGGGAGTTGAAGTCCGTGTTATAGTAAGGAGCGCGTTTTCATAGTCCGCCATGAATTGGACAACACTATAAGCTGTTGCCGTCGAGGACAGCATTAATAAGAGAGCGTACAGCAAGCGCATGATCAGCATTGTTTACTTACTGAACGCGGATTTTCTGCAGACTTTATATCAGTTGGCAAGACTCGCCAACACGGCGCTAATACTCAGATGTGCGGTTCAGTGAAAGTGTGATCCACAGATCAGGACACCATAAGCTGAGGTTGAAAAGGGGACCCAAGAGGGAGGCGGTGCCCAAATCCCAACACCTAGACGATAATAATATCTATTCCAGAGGAGCAAGATGTTGTAAGCACAAGCATCTGACCGCGCGTTGTGAAGTGGGGCTACACCTGAGAAACGGCGGTCCTCTCGAAAGGTTTCGCTGCGCACAACATATCTGGCAGCCAAGACTTGTAGACGCCAGAGAGCTCGAACTTTCCAACAATAAGTAGGCCCCTCATCATCATCAACGTCAATTGTTTTTATATAGCTGGTGATGCAATACCGCTCAATCATGCGGCGCAGCGTCGCCCAATGCTGAAATTGGGTATCAGGCACAACCCAGATCTTTTCTGAGATGACCAGTCCCTGAACGACGCCTATCCAGGACTGCTGAAGCCCGTCTCCAAGTGCCCGGATGCTTCCTCAACCACAGCGCCAGACGCCAAATCATGTGTGCCATTTCATGCCCACCGTTCCGCGCTCACGGCCTATCTGTTTCGCCCTCCACATCCTGCGCCTTGACTAACCGCCTCAACAGCTGCGCCACCGCCTTCGCATCCTCCTCCATCCTCACCTCACTCCCGCTCTTCTTAAGTGTCTCCAGCTGACCGAAAAGCCATAGCTCCTGCAGCTGGTGTATGAACGTGAGGGTTTCCTCGGTGGCTCGGACCTGTGCGCAGTGTCAGCGTCAGCAGACTGGAGGAATGGTTGCGTACGAGGGTCGGAGGTAGGAGATAGTACCAGAGATGTGGTATGCACCTGCATCTGCAGGCTGTTCTTCGCCGTAGAGTTGAGGTCCGTTTCTTCGGCCTGGGCAACTAATAAGCTCTCCGCTTTGCGCAGCAAGCAGCCCTCTCATGTAAAGCAGAACGCATACTTGAAGAAGCCCAACAGCAGCTTCAAACTGCGTGATCAGTGTACTCGTAAGCCGATCAATGCGCTCTGCCACACCAGCCATTAGCCCAAAACTTCATAGAAGAACAGCAGCGCCGCTCTTACTGTTCATCGAAGCGGTATTCCGCATAGAGGCCTCCATATTCCCAGTGCCTATGATGGGCCTGACTCCTGAAACCTTCTGAGCAGGAGCAGAGGGAGTGACCCGACCGCCGCCTGGCCGTTTATAGCTGGTGGGATTTTGGGTCATCGGCAGCTTCGGCGTCACTTTCGAGCTTTATCGATAAGGCGGGTCTATTTTCGGAGCTCGATCGGCTTGGCAGGCACCAAGGCAGATGTAGGGCTGAGATGCATGGTGAGCAGGCGGGCTGTGCGAAAGGCAGAAGGCACTTTCCGGACTTCGAATGGAGATACGGGCCGTCCGACGGTGTTATAGCAGCACGGAGAGGCATATTCTTTCGGGAGCTGGCAAGAAGTTTACACCCCTTACGTCACCCAAGCGGCATCGTACAGCTCACCGACAAACGGCGGAATGTTTGGAATATACCGCTCGAAGCCCGATGAGTTTGCCATATCCAGAATGCGGGTAACTCGGGCAAGTGCCGCTTCGCTGACTGACACGATATACAGGCAAGCTCAATGCATTGCAGAGCGCAATCAGATGGATGTGCTGGAGGAGGATATTGTGTAACACTAATAGAGTAAACTACAACGCAGCAGTGGAGATGACCAACACGCCCTGAAACATCAGAAAGACTGCAACAGGACACAGTGTATAGGAGCATTAATGACCACCAAAGATACCAAGAAGCAGAAGCACCAAGCATCGGCCACGATAGCTGGAACAAGTGGCCACAGTGCCCCGTTCACGCATCTAGTTTTCGGCGGGTAAAGATACATGCCATCCCGGGCCGAAAGCACGACGCGTTACGACAGCAGCAATCACTCATCGTCCGATTCATCCTCGCTCTCAGCCGTCTCGAGCCATTCGATGAACTTCTCGGCAGACTTGCGGACCTTCTTGCTGGTGGCGAGGTCGACATACTTCTTGCTGGCCTTGGAGCCCCAGGCCTTGAGAACGTCATCCGAGACGAGGTCGTGCTGGTAGTACTTTACGAGGATAGGCGAGACCAGAGGGATGAGGTTGGGCTTCTCATTGCCAACGAAGCGCTCGGTGCCGCCAAGAAAAGCTTTTTCATGCTTCTCGGAAGTGATCATCTGTAGCGGAAGGTCAGAGTAACATCCACATTGAGACCTTGCCATGCGGAACGTACCTTCTTAAGCATTCCAGCGCGAGAGTCGATCTGCTTGACAATGCTGTCATCGAAGATGGACTGGGCAAGCACAGTGAGTGTCCTGTGCTTTGTCTCGATGCCGAGTTCTTTGGCGCGGAGATAGATCTCGACGTCCTCAACTTTGGAAACGCCGCCTTTCTCCTCGGCAGTCTTCAGAACCCAGGAGCCGAGCTGTTCATAGGCGTTGGCCTCCCCTTCGCCGTCTTCTTCATCGTCGCCAAGGTTGAGACGCCTCATGTCGGCCGGAGCCTCCTGGGCACGAGCCCTGACAGCCTCCTCAGACATATCAACGGTCCACTCAACTTCCTTGGCGTCGATTGCATCGATATCCTTGGCTTCGGCGTTGATACGGCGTGTGAGCTCGTCATCACTTCCAGCCGCAATCTCCAGGTCACCGTTTTCTTCAGCATGGTCCGACCCGCTGCCACCGTTGGGACTTCCATCACGGGAATGGTCATCATCGTCTCCGTTAGCGGCGGCTTCAGCCTCTCTCTTAGCCTTGCGTTCAGCTTTCTTAGTTGACTTGTCTTTCTTGCCCTTCTTGGGCTGGTTCTTGAGAATGAACGAGCTGAGTTTTAGACGCAAGTCAACATCGGAGCGTTCGCCACAGGCCTTGCAGTCGAGCGTGATACGACCATCCTTGATGTGGACAGTTGTCTCTGGGTTTTTGCACTTCTTGCAGAGAACGAATTTGGAGATGAAGCCGTCGAGATAGTCCTGAAGCTTGGACGCCTCGTGAGCGCCATTAATGATCCAACGATCGTCGGCAGGGTTGGTGTTTGTTTGGGCGCCGAGCTCGAAGCCGAAGTACTTGATGACATAGGAAGGGGGGCGAGCCAGAGAGTTGGCGACGCTGCTCAGATTGACGATGACGGTCTTGATACCGTTGCCTTTGCCCTCAATCTTGGACTGGAGACGCTCCATCTTGTAGCGGTAGAAGGGATCGGTGACATCCTGATGCTTGTTAGCGAAAGTCTTGAGTAAAGAGGTGTGAGGACTACATACCCGGCGAATATTGATGTTGGCCATGTTGGCGGTTGGAAGAGAATCTGCTTAACGCGAAGTGCCGGGTAGGATATGCTTAGGGAAAGGTGAAATCTTGGCCGTAGGTGACAAAGACATGCAGTAAGTGCAGGACGCGGAATGTCTGCAAAAGCGAGAAGGGAGCTCTTAAGAAGCTAGCTGTCAGCCGTTGGTGCAATGGTAGTTACACTTCGGCTTTCTTGATATGCGAAATGTTTGCTGCTTGGGCGGCGGCTCGTTTCGAAATTTGTGGGCGTGGCGCGAAGACATAAAGCGACGGGCGGTCGTCTGTGAATCTCTTGGGTGGGTTTGGTGCGGGTTGTAGAGGCTTTGAATGCCGGCGGTAGGTTTGCAGAAGCCCGTCAAAGCTGACTTTGATGGGATGCGGTTTGCTGCTTGGATAGGAGCTGTTGGGTAGTGATGGGCTATTTGAAGGGGCTCGGGCGCTGGGAGGAAAGTAGTGTTAGAAACAGGCCGAAGAGGTTTTTCTTCGGCAGAGACTTTCAGTCTAGCGATCATGCTTTCCCACACTATGCCCAATCGGGCCGCAAGTTCATCGTCCATCAAGCACACAAAGCCCTCCTGGTTGCCAGATCACCACGAGCAAATGCCAGCAAGCGCAGCCATGCGTGTTTATTGTCCGCTCAGCAAGGCGGATGGAGAAGAGTGAAAGCTAGTCAAGTGGTTATCGCTGCTTGAGTCTCTGCTATGAGGGCCACATAACACGTGAAGATGACACCCTGGCCCTACTTTCGTCTACCTAGGTACTTTTCTACTGCTCCAGTAGCCCGAAAAGATCCCGCATATCACTTTTCCCACTGACTGTCCTATTGATTGCTGTCCTTCCATGCTGTTTGGTCGCTGCGCGGTGAATGTGTACCTGCATGATGAAAGTCAATTACTCTCTTTACCTGGTGACAGATAACACAACTGCTATACTGGGGGACCGAGACCTTTGCTGGGTGGTTGAAGAAGCCGTCAAGGGAGGTGAGTTGGTCAAATATATCCAGCAAGAGACTTTGCCTGATTTGGATCAGGTGTTACTGTAGTGCAGCTTCGTGATAAGACCAGTGAGACAGCGGGGCTGATCCGGATTGCCAAAAGGCTGCATAATATCACTAAAGGACATGATGTGCCTCTGTTGATAAACGACCGCGTCGATGTAGCCTTCGCTGCCGGTGCCGAAGGTGTACACTTGGGCCAGGATGATATGGATATCGAAACAGCGCGGAAGCTGCTCGGTCCCAATGCAATCATCGGTGTTACTGCGTCCTCACGAGAGGAAGCGAGGCAAGCCGTGGAGGGTGGAGCGGATTACCTGGGTATAGGGACACTTTTTACCACTCCCACGTCCGTAAATTGTTGCTAAAAGGGGTGATTCAACGCTGACTTCTCCCCACAGTAAAGAGAACACCAAGTTCATTATCGGAACTTCAGGCACACGCGATATTCTTGATTCATTAGCCTCCTTGGAACAGCAAGTCAGCACAGTGTGCATTGGTGGTATCAATGCAACTAACGCCCAGCGGGTGCTTTACCAATCACGCTCGCCATCTAAAGGTCTTGATGGGATTGCTGTCGTAAGTGCTATCATGGCAGCGCCAGATCCAAGGAAGGCTGCCCAAGACCTGCGCGAGCTTGTAATGAGGCCTCCGCGATTCGCCGCTGAGAGCGATGATAAGAGAACGCATGCAGTCGACGAGATTCTCAGCAAGGTGCCCGAGATTGTTGCAAAAGTCGGCGCGCAGGCACCCCTTTGCCACAACATGACGAACTTGGTTGTCCAGAACTTTGCTGCAAACGTGGCCTTATGCATGTAAGCCGTTTCTCCTTTCCCTACACCAAACCGCAAACAGGGTGTTGACTGTTGTTCCAGCGGTGCAAGTCCCATCATGGCCAATAATGGCGACGAAGCAGAAGACCTCTGCCAGCTAGGTGGAGCTCTGGTTATCAATATGGGTACCGTAACCCCAGACGGACTGCAGAACTATTTAAAAGCACTCCGCTCTTACAACGCTGTCGGTGGCCCGGTCTTATTCGACCCTGTCGGAGCCGGCGCCACAAAGCAGCGCCGCGAAGCAGTCAAGAGTTTGATGGCCGGCGGCTGGTTCGACCTGATCAAGGGTAACGAAGGCGAGATCAAGACTGTGTCCGGCGCAAGCGGCGTCCAACAACGCGGCGTCGACAGCGGAGCCAGCACGCTCAGCCTGCAGGAAAAAGCTACTCTGGTCGCGCGGACAGCTGCTCGCGAGCGGAACATCATCCTGATGACCGGCAAAACTGATCTTATCAGCGACGGGAGCCGAACATTCGCCATCAACAACGGACATGAGTACCTAGGAGAGATCACGGGCAGTGGATGCACGCTCGGCACGACTGTCGCTGCTTTCATGGCTGTCCACCGGGGGGACAAGCTCCTCGCAGCTATCGCCGGTATATTCATGTACGAGATCGCAGCGGAACAAGCCGCGAAACGTGATGATGTGCGCGGTCCAGGAACCTTTGTCCCAGCGTTTTTGGACGAAATATCGGCAATCAAGAAGCAAACAAGCAATGGTCAGACAGGGTGGCTCTCTGCAGCCAATATAGAGAGAGTCAACTTATGAAGACGCTTCATAACATAGCATACCAATATTGAGAAGCCATTGCTTTACGTCGCGCATGCCAGGCTGCCTTTGTCACAATTGTCATGGTTCTTCTTTCTCATAACCCTGGTTCACGCGGTGGCGTATTCGGAGCATCATTGTCGCTTGTTACGTGCTGAAGACTAAAAAAATGCCTTGTGTAGTGGCACCATCTTCCACAATGTCCACCAAGCTGCAGCATATATCCTCTTATCGTCTAGCCAACATCTATGTCATCCAACTCCACTTGTCCAACACGTAGCGTCTACCATATGAACACCCTACCACTGTGCTACTCGTCAAGGAGTCTGGCACTGATACCAACCTTAGCACCCAGCAACCTCTCCACATACTCCTCGCCCAAGGTAGCCGGCGTAACGATGCCGCCTCCCATCTTCCGCGCCTGATTCTCACCACCGCGCAGAATCACCATCGCCGCCTCCGCCATCAACAGTCCAGTCAAGTAGTACCCATTCCCCTGATACTTGAACTCCGCACCAGCACGGCGCCCTTTCTCCTCATCCGCAACCCCAATAGCGCGGTACTCCAGATAATCATTCTTCGAAGCCTCCTTGCTGGGGCCGTCACCAGGCTGGAAGACTAGCTTCTTGAGCAGCCACCTCACCGGCGGCAAAACCAGCAGCGTCATTCCGATGCTGAGCGCAAAGTGCCACAGCACGCCCGTGAAGGTGTTGCGAGCTCTCATCCACGCGTTGAAGCGGAAGCGGGGGCCGTAGTACCTGCCGCCGTCGTAGAGGCCCCAGGAGCGGTGCACGATGGTCGTGTCTGGGGCGCCTTGGGGGTTGTCGGTCAGGACGCCCAGATCAGGGACGGTGCGGATGCCTAGCAGCTTGGTAGTCCATGGCATGGGCCTTGCTGGACTGTCTGGTTGGACTGGCGAGAGCGAGAAAGGCTTGAGGGCTGACCCAATGGATTTGAGGGAGTAGTGGTCGAAGAGGGAGAAGACGGTAAGGAGGGTGCCGCCGCTGGGGCGCGTGCTGTGGGTACGAGGCGTCAATTCTTAGTACGTTTAAAGCGGAATGGATAAGGTAAAACCCACTTCATCACGTGTAGGCTGAGAATTACTTCGGCAGTGGCAACTGAAAGCTTTCTGCGGAGACATTCGACGAGCACCCAGGCAGTGATGTCGGCTGGGACGCTGTCGATGCCACATTGAGGGATCATCTGTAGTCGATTTTAGTGGCTGTGGAGATCAAACGGAAAGACTGGACAGATGTTTGACGGGAAGAAGCCTCCGAGATCAATGATCGATTTTGCCCTCATGCGCAAAACCTGCGAAACCACCTCTTCCATAAGCAGATCCTAAGGCTGCTTGGAGTCCTACGACGGTAAATAGTGATATAAAGAAACAGATCTTACGATAGTGCCGTTGGCCTTGGCTGTCTCGTGGTATTTTTGAACCATATCACGCACCCATGGCGTTTCACCAGTGCTGACGGAAGCGGTCAGTTGTTGTCCATAAATAAGATCTCAACAGCTTGCCAGTCAACATAATGAGTGCCATTGTTAGCGCAAGCCTTCACCGCAGGCTCGCCGTAGAACATATACGGGCCTACTGAGGTGATGAGTAACTGCGTCTTCTTAGCAAGGCTGTCGAGGTCTTCTTCGTTGAGTTCGGCAATCTCGATCGCTAGTAGCGGCGCATCAGCAATGTCGTTCTTCTTGTTAAAGATGATGGGCGTGACTCCGTACCTGGTGGGTTGCGGTTGGGGTTGAGTGACTTCAACTCCTCTACTACAGCGGCAAGCTTCTTGTGATTGCGACCTGCCACAGCCCATCGGAGGTCTGTCGGCAGGCATTGAGTGATGTGCTCTGCGCACAGCTTTCCCGTGTAGCCAGTTGCTCCTAAGAGGACAAGCTCATATTGGCGGTCGTTCGTAGACATTGCACGTTCTGTATAAAGCGGAGTCGGTGTATGATAGTGATGAACGGCAGTGCGAAAAAGATGCAGCTAAGCAAATGCAGACTTTCTAAAGGGATATCTATTGATGATATATGGCTACTAGCGATACAATCAAAGCACTTGAAGTACTCGAAGCACGGATGAAGTCATAACGACTACGCTCAAAGAGTCCGCTCTTCGCGGCGGGCGGTTTGGTCAGCAAGTACGCCCTCGACAACCACACCGCACGTTGTACAAAACTTATCGAGGTCTGCCATGTCGCCGGGTACGTCTCCAAGACCTTCTCGAACTGCAGTGAAGAAATCCTCGTATGCCGTGAGCGGCGAGTTTGCTAAACTTCGAAGGTGCGCAAGTGTGCTGACGACGCTAGTACCAACTCGGACTGGGAACCCTGCCAAGGCTTGTGCGAATCGCACATCGAAAATCAACGACGAGAGCCGACGAGCGAGGACGACAATCAACTTTCTCACACCCTCGACACCACCGTAACATCAACCCCCCAAACCCACGACAAGATGACGAAGCGCACCAAGAAGGTCGGCGTGACCGGCAAATACGGTAGGTCTCTCTCGTAGCAGGCTGCGCGGAATCAGTTTTAGAGCGCTGAATCACTAACACGACCGTTCACAGGCACACGGTACGTTATCCAACAGCGTTCGATTCTACAGCTCCCCCATCTCCTTTGCGACTGCCGAACCCTGCGAGCATCGAGATTGTGGGCATATACTGAGCATGCATAAACAGTTACGGCGCCTCGCTCCGTAAGCAGGTGAAGAAGATGGAAATCACACAGCACGCACGATACACCTGCAGTGAGTCGCCCCAGCTGGCTTAGAAGGTATGCTGTGGAGACTGATTCTTTGTGCAGCATTCTGTGGCAGGGAAACAGGTGAGACCTAACAACTACCTGGCGCGTAGCTTCTGGACAGGATATCTCACGCTGCGATTAGTCAAGCGAAAGTCTGTGGGTATCTGGGAGTGCAGCGGTAGGGTTTTCTCCGGTTGTTTCCTTAGAGTGTTACATGCTGACGCCGTGAACAGGATGCCGGAAGAAGATTGCTGGTGGTGGTGCGTTCTACGAGCCCCATGCGACAGGCGCAGGGTAGCTAACTCACTCTCCAGCTTGGACGGTCTCGACACCGGCTGCGGCGGCCACCAGATCTACGATTCGTCGTCTGCGGGAGATTGCGGAGGTGTGATCGGGGTTCGGCGTATGGCAACACGATATGAGAACCTCTACTTTACGAGGCACTGGAAGGGGGAAACACTCAGCCGTCAGCACTATGTTCTTCTATGCGCTTCTGGTCGATGCGGTGGCGGAAATTCGATTGATGTACCTTCGCAGCTCGAGTGGGTCCTGTCCTGTGTTTCGGATGGTCCGATCAAGATTGCATTAGCGAACGTCAGAGCAAATACACATGAAATACTCCAGCTCTCCTCCACTACATCGTCAGGTCGTCGAACAGGCATCACGCTGCATCGAGCACCTCGTTACCATACCGGAGTCTTTAGGATTGTGATTCACGTGAGATACTCTGCGATGCACGATTCAGCGTACGCAGCCAAGTTATCTATTCATTTCGGCAGCTGTTTATGCGACATGTCAGTTTGCTTGCCGTACACTCTAGTCAAGAGTAGGCTACAACATGGGTTGGTCCCCCATATATTTGATACTCCCCTCGCTCGTGCACCCTAGTCGTGCACATGGTGATTCTCCGCAGTGCTCCCGTGGCCCTGCAGGCGTTAGCGCGTCGCTTAGCGTCATCTCAAAAAGCCGTCCTCTCCGCCGCTTCCCTCCACCATCGGAACAACGACTCGGGATGAGAACACCTGCAGTTTCATGAACACCACCACTCTGCAGAAACAACGCCTCTGCTCATTCCTCTTCACTTTCAACCCTCCATCCCATGGCCGACACGTGTATCGTCTGCCTCGGTGACCTCGACGGCGGCAGCTCTGAGCTCTCACCTCCAGACGGCCAAGCTGTCAATCACGATGATGCGCTTGGATCCGCCACGGGTACTTCCGCCAATCATCATCTCGAAACGCAGGGCCACAACCACAACCACGCCCACGCCCACGCCCACGCCCACATCCCCGACGACGAGCTCATAGCCCATCTGCTACCCTGCGGCCACAACCTGCACAACGACTGCCTGAAGCCTTGGGTGGAGAGAGCAAACAGCTGCCCAATATGCAGAGCCAGCTTCAACATGGTCGAGCTCCGCGCCAAGCTGGATGGTAAGTTCGTGCAACACTTTTACTTCCGCGGCTTGCAATGCTAACTCTGCTGCAGGCCCGACCCTCTCTTCCTACGCCGTCTTGGACAAGCAGCAAGTGGCCGAAGTAGATCCCCTCATGATTATCGACGACGAAGATAACGACGATCTCTTTGATGAATACTCCGAGTCTTGGGAACCGTGCCTGGTATGCGAAGAGTACGGCGATGAGTCGCAACTCATGCAATGTGATGGTCCTGGCTGCACTTCCAGCTCTCATGTTTTTTGCGCTGGCCTAGACAGGGTTCCTTCCGGATTGTGGTTCTGCCACAACTGCTTAGAGCATCAACAGGCGGCTGCTGCAGCCGGTCGCGCATCTCCCGGAAGGCGTGCGGGTTCTGCGCGGCGTGGAAGACGTGGACATAGGACACCCAACGAGTGGGCGAGAGTTTGGCAATCTGTCCGGAACCGATTGCACTTGGATCTCGACTTCCCCTTTGACGACGAGTCCGCTGACGAGCAGCAAAGGGCCGCTGCTCAACGTCGGGAATTCAATGAGTGGCAGCGCAGATTCCAAGTTGCCGCTCGTCAGGGTAGTGGCGACAGGTTCAGACGAAACGCCGCCGCTGTACTCCGCCCTCATACCCATCGTGTGGCCCAGGAGCCCCCCAAGCCCGAGTCTCAAGAAGAGTTGCGGGCATGGAATGCTTTCGACAAAGCCAGAGAGGTTCAAGGAAGCGCGCCACCAACAAACCGGAGAAAGCGGAAGTCCACCCCATCCTCTCCCGCAGAAGGTCAACCTGGAGAGCCCGAGCGGAGACTGAAGAGGCCTTGCACTCGAGTTGAGCGGTACCAGGAAGGCAGCTCCACCGATTTTGCTCCTGAGTCTTCGACCGCTGGCCGGGCTGGATCTAGGAACACTACTGTGGCGCCGTCGCTTGCCTCCGAAAGAGCCAATGGTGCAAGCGCTCCCAGTTTCTTACAGTCGCTACTCAAGGAGGTAGAGACGTATCCGGCGTCCGTCCATTCCGGCACCGAAGGGCTGCAGAAGAATGCAGGCAATCTGTTTCTGAGTGACCAGTCGCTATCCCCGGGACTTACATCACCGGACGCCTCGCCTGGAGGCTCAAACGTCCCAACTCCGCGTGCCATGACGCCACCTCCATTATCACTCTCTCGACCAGCATCGCCACCACTAACTTCGATGATATCACCCGTCTACCCAGCTGTACTGCCGTATGCGCCTTTCTCACCCGCCGACGACGACCGTGTTCAAGACCACGACGAGAACGATCGTGCGAGGTCGCGACATCGCAAGCCGGACCATCCTTCCCCAGCCACGAGCCCCGTTCGTGCGAACGATGTCTCGTCACCGCCACGCACCACGATGTCGTATTCGACCAAGTCGGAGATACAGCGCATGGTGAAGGCGGCGCTGAAGCCGCGGTACCAGAAGCAGGAAGTCGACAAGAATCAGTACACAGAGATCAATATGAATGTCTCGCGGTTGATGTATGACAAGATTGGAGACGCGAACGGGTTGGTAGATCAGAAGTCTAGAGATGAGTGGCAGAAGGTTGCTGCTGACGAGGTCGAGAATGCCGTCAGGTTACTGCGTGCAGCCGATTCAGCGTCCGCGGCGTCGTAAGGGATTGTATTCTTCGGCATTGCGGGACCTTGCCTTTCTGGAAGGTGTACCGGACTCATACAGCGAGCGTGGGCGTCTTTATAAGTGGGGAAATCTATCTTCGAGATCACATCTGGCGCAATAGGAAGGTCTTGAGGGGGTCTTCGGCGAAACTCTAGATACCCTTGGTACCATTTCGGCTGGAGGCGCTGGTGACGATTGGGATACAGGTGTTTGCATAGGCACGCTCATTGCGTGCAGAGGGAGAAAATCGAACACTTCTACAAGGAGTCTAACGCTTTTGTATATCGGCCACGCCAACACACTGTAAAATGATCGCTTGTAGTATCTGGTTTAAGAGATTAACCCACCACGACGAGGTCGTACTAATCCCTAGCATCACGTGATTCCCACGCCGCACCGTCAGGTTTGAAGTATGAACGGGCACATATCTTTGGCTCCTGCTCATTGTGATTATGGCTGTTCTGTCATCGTCACTCGAAAGACAAAAGGTGTCAGCTCAAAGCATCCGGATACGTTGATGCAGAACAATCGCTTCAACTGCGGCAGCTATCGTGGAATACGCGAGCCGACTGAGAGCTGTCGATGCTGAACCTGGTCATGCTCCACGTCTCTCGTGGCGTGTGGAAGATCCGCGCATCGGACGAGACCAGCGGTCGTGCTGGATATTCTGGCTCGTCGGTACAAAGCTCCCAACGTTTTCCTTGTCCTTGATTCTTCCCCGTGTCTTTCCGACCGTATTCAGCGCCATCGTGGCGGCGGCAAGTCCACTCAACCGCTCACATCCAGCACTTTACGACCCAAGTCTCATTTAGCCCTCATTAGGTTGCCCTATAAATGTCGACAGTGTGCACGGAACTATCAGAGGACGCTGCCTCAACACCTTGTCAAGACTGGCGAGATCCACGGTTCGGAAGTCTCGGAGCTCACTTCCAAGCTTCACCGGCTCCTGGTGATAAATGATGGGTCGCCGATTCAAGTTTCTCCTCAGATACCGATGGCCTTAAAGAGACTAGTGTCAAGCAGTTGGCAATATTGCTAATAGCGCGGCCAAAATATACCAATCAACCGAGTTCACGTGACCACATAGTTGAACTTGAATTGGAGGACATTTGGCCGCTGAGCTGATGCCTAGAGATGCTGCGCCCATTGAAAAACACGTTTCATATAGGTAGGTTCGTTGACAGATCGCACAATCACGTTCTCGTAGTCGCTCTGCACCTTCAAGGAGCTCTGCTTGATCGCTCGGCAGACTCCATCTGACTCTAATGGTAGCCTGAGTGGCATCCCAAACTTCATCGTTGTCCTTCGATCTACGGCTTGTGCGTATCATCGTGGCCACTCGGTACTCGGGTCTTCCTCGCAGCTCGCATTACCACCCCCTTCTGTCACCAGACTTCGACCTCTCTTCTAGGGCAGCTTTACTAGTACTGGCCTCAGCGAGATCTGACGCAGTTTACTCAGTTCTTCTCATCGATGCCTACCCCACTCGGTCAATAGTTGGGGTTCATTACTCTAGGGCATTCTCCGTCCTGGCGAACCCTCCGCAGAGAAATCTCCGCGTCACTCTTCCCATGAAGCATCGCTGTCTGCACTTCGGGATCGGCTCTTCAGTACTCTGAGGAAGTGCTATGGTCGGCACGAAGAGGAGCGCAGGCTGCACCTGCACAACATTACGCACATTTCGCTCTACCGCCTCCCCGCGGAGCTTTTATTACGGCTTGAAGAGCACATGACTGGAGCTGATGCTCTCGCGCTGCGTGCCACCTCGAGGCGATCTCGCGGCGATCTCGGTGCTGTTTTACACGCACAAAAGGATGACCATCTCTCATTCTTACACACACTGCGGAAAGACCTGTACTATCACTGCTGCAAGCGTGAGCGCCAGGGTCAGCTACCCAAGACTCACGCCGTCTGCTCCGACTGCCTGATACCACACCCGAAAGAACTGTTTTCAGCGGAACAACTCGTGGCGCCACCGGAAACGTGACTGTGTCAAGGTGTCGTATGAGTTGTGCGAATGTGCTCCCATTACACCTTCGCACAGCGCCAGTTACTGGATCGCTTCAATGGCAGTTACCGAACGAACTCCAACTTGGTAGTCTCGGTTCCGAATTCAAATGCGAAGACCAGGATCATCTTGCGGGCTTCATCAGCATATACAACTCCAGAAGGGTTCAGCTCTATGGACCAACGTTTCAGCATTTCTGGCAGTCGACATACCGGGCTGTGTTCATGTCCTCTCAAATTGTTCTCGAGTGCCCACGTACTGCGATCGCAACCGAAGAGTTGAGCGTGAAAGCCCTCAGCAAGTACGAAGAATCGATATGCCCACACCTTCGCTTATGCGACCCATAGGTCATCAGAGCGGTCCGATCGCACTTTCCAATATACCCGGTAGATTCTCATTCCTACTCTAATGCCATGTCATGTAGCTCGGTAGAGTGCTTAGGATCTCCACCCCTCGACAGACCTGTTGCCGCATGGCAACGATGCAGCGCGCGAGACTGCAACACCACGTTCATATTCAGAAGAATCCGCAAATTCACCCCCGAGGGATTAGAACGGCTCAACGACAGCATCGTTCTGAGCATGGAGCGAGACTTCGGACCCTCAAGAAGGTTACGGACCCCAAGTGGCTGGCGCAAGTCATGCCGCCAGAGTTCACCGCCAGTGTCGAACAGAGCGGGAATGGCGATACTGGTACACCTGGCGGGGCCTCTTAAGTCTCTTGACCGTGTATAAATAGGACAGTGGGTGACAGCCTCCTTCGATCGTCTTCTCGCCTCCTCTTCCTTTGCATTCTCGCCTCTTCCATCCGGTAAAATTTCTCTCGTTCTTCTTGGGCCTCCTTCAGCATTCTCCGATATTCTACCCGCCGGTTTTCCTCCTCCCGCTGTCGTTCTTGTTCCCGCCGCCTTATGTTCGCTAGTCTCTCCTCCTGTACCCTTTCCCGTCTACTTTCCGTTTGTCTTCCTCTTTCCTCATGGTAGTCACCAGGATGGCGATCGTGGATTGCCTCGACTGTACGACGAGACGGTGGCGGTTCGAGCGCGGTACTGGCTAGGCTTCTGCGGAGCGCCTCCTCAATCGCACTACGCTCCATAGCATCAGCCATGTGTCGCTCGAACATGTCTTCGGTCGTAGAATCCTCGCCGTGCTGACCCGGAGATGCTTGCGTCGATCGCTCCTCTTGTGTTGTTCGAGAGGTAGATCTGGACCGCGCATCGACAGCTGGACGAGGGACAGACAGAACTGTAGGCGAGGGTCCGGACAAATGCCCAGGCGGAAGTGAAGGCAGCAACTGCTCCCCCGCAGTATAAAGTCGTCCGATTTCTCTCAGCTCGGCCGCTGTCTTTTTCTGTAATGGATGTGCGTCGAGATATGCCTCCGCCATAGAGGCAACCTGCCGATTCGGCACCGCCGCTTCAGCATTTGTCCGACATGTGGGACAAGTGGTGTTTTGGCCAAACCAGCGTTTGATACAGTGGCCACAGAAGGTGTGGTAGCAAGGGCAGAGAAGGAGAGGCTGGTGGAAGATCTCGGAACAGATCTGGCAGCTGAGCTCGGATTCTGGGCGCCAAGTTTCCGGTGTCCTAGACGCTGAGCCGCTTGAGCCCTGAGGCGGTACTGAGGTCAGAAACGGTCTTGATGCGGGTCTGTCCTGAACTGCGGTGCGTACCTGTGTTGGATTTGTTCCGAGTGGACCAAGGAGAGCACGGTTGTCTAGGTACTGGTAGAGCCTCTTCCTAAAGCCCATAATGGAGTTGTGTGGACAAATATTCTAATGCTGTCTGACTAGCAAAGCTTCGTGACAGCTGGAAGGTGACAGTGGATCTGAGTTGAGACCGGGCAGGCCGTTGTAAGGCTTGGGAGGCACTATATATACCACCTGGCCGTGTCCGATGCGTAGTCTGCATAGTGGCTTTCCTGTGCTACAAATAATGCCCTCCAGCAAGATGACGCGGTAAATGCGCTCTTAGCCTTTCAGCTCTGAATCCAGCAGCCTGACATACTTTGGCTTGGCGCTAGCTGCAGACGATATACCCATCGGACACGGCCGGGTGGTGTAGAGAGTCCCTGACAAAGTGGCTTGGAATCTCCATGAATACTGAGCAGCTAATGCGGACTACCCACCTGGGCATCGGACGTTGCAGGATGCTGTACGAGCAAGGCCACCAACATGCGCATCAGCTGTTAGTCTGCCTCGTCAGGCTGAAACCGCCTCGCATGCAGGCATCCCAGCTGCCAGCGTTCTTCGTTTTGTCGCTGCGGGATTAGAAAAGCAGCTCGACCAGGAGTGTCCGATGGATTGATTGATTGCTGGTGCTGTCTACTGACGGCTCCTGGTACTCGTAGAAGCAGGAATTGCAATATCGACCGTAAATGACGAAACACAGCCCGCGGTCGCCAAGGAAGCGAGTGGATGACTGCCGCCTGCAGCTGGGGAGGCTGAGGACTCGGTCAAAGAAAGAAATGCGCTCGAAGATGTGCCTGAGGGAATCGAGATTGTGGCCAAAAGACATGTATACACGCGCCTTGCATAAGGAAGACGGCTGTCAACTCTCTTATCACGTAACCGAAAGAGAGTTGCGACGCACAATTGATCTGGGCTACCGTGCACGCCGGACAGGAAGTAGGCCTCGCCGTGAACGTAACCGTTTAGAGCTGCGTCGATAACGAAGCTCCCTTTATAATTAATTCAATGCTTCACAACAACGCCTAAACAGCCCACTAAAGGCTTGTCCGTCTATCGGTCGCTCGTTAGATTCGCTACAGCAGCTGTTCGTGGATTACTCTATAAAATTGACGGTGAATGAGCGGTGGCCTGCTGTCGCGGTGAGGTCTACTTCCCGCCTAACGTGCCGTGTTATTCTCTTCACCGCTTGGTGAGTGGGATTGAGATAACTGTGATGGTGGTGAGGTTGCTGCCGGAAGTCAAGCCTGCAGAACATCAAACTATCACATGAGAGCCAAACGGTGCGAGAACTCTATCAAGTATGTTACAGCCAACATCCGCCAGCGCTTCCCGTCCCATTCACTACGGAGAGAGCTTATGTCACACCCAACCGCTTCCCGTAGCAACACAACGGCGTGCCACCAAACGTATCCAGGCCTAAAAGCATGCAAGACCCGTGACCAGAGTATCAAAATCGCCCCCCTGCATGTACCGGCTCGGAAGCGCCATATGATCTACTCGATCAAACCATCCCTGGAAACCCCGACCGTCCGCTCTCTGCGGGAAGCTCAACAAGGCAAGACCACACAGCCACTCCCACACCTCTGATGCTTACACTCTAGATTTGAACATACCGGATTCTCCCAGTGCGTCTCAAGGCGGCACACGCAACAGACCCACCGCTTCCAGCCCATGTTGAATGGCGTGTGCTGGAGGCCCAGTTTGCGGACATCGAGTGAGGAAGGCGGTTTCGAGTCCGGTGTTTCAGGCTGTTGAGCTGCCTCCGTTTGAGACAGCTCCATGCTGGGGACGTTGCCGAGTTGCTTGTGCGCTTCGGTGTTCCGGGTGTAACAGGGAGCGGGCTCGATGATTGGTTCGGGGACGACGAAGGTTGTTGTTGGCAGAGGTTCCATGCGGTCGGGTGGTGGTGAGGCTGGTGATGGTCTTGGTGAAGGGGATGAGGGCGGAGCAGTATGAGGCGTCGAGCTAGCTTTCGCTTTACCCTTTCCTCTGGCCGTGAGTGTGTCTCCTTCAGCCGGCGCGGAAGACGAGGTGCTGTGCGATGTTGGAGATGAGCTGTTTGTGGTCGTTGTGAGGGCGGTGGTGGGAGAAGATTTCAGTGTGAGTGCTGCGACGCCCTCGGCCGCGATACGCGTCGGCGTCACGGCCAGATCTTGAGGTGAGCGCTCAGTCGGCTTCGGCATAGCCGTAGGTGATTCAGGAACAACGGTGACCGTCGAGCATCCAGATCTTGAATCTATGTCTACGCTTTCTGAGTTGGACGAATGTGGTTTGCTGAGCCTCTTCGACCGCGTTCGAGATGATGGGGGAGTCGTCGCCTCAGGCGTGCAGGGTGTGAGCACGCTGGACGCGTCAGGTCCCTTCGATGAGGAATCATCAAGTGACGGCGTAGACGCTGCAGGCGACGCGCTTTCTTGGCCAGGTGCAGAAACATCGAGGACCGGGGCGGACGGAGACTGGTCGCGGCGTTTGAAGAACCGACTCATGGGAGCCTTTAGTTTTGCCATCAGCATGAATATCGCCTTCGGATGTGGAGTTGCGGGTTTGACTTCGTCTTATGATATGGCGGGAAAACGAGGCCGCCGCTTGTTCACTTCGGCCCGGGTGTACGTGCAGACAGTTTGGTGAAGCTGGATCGTAGTGTGTTTAAGTACTTATCTTCCTCTCCCGAGGAAGGATGCGTGAGACGACTGAAGCACAGAATGTTGGGTTGGATATGGTTTGACGGGGAGGAATGAAAGACTTATTACACGAGAGTCGTCACACCGCGTTTCCCAGACAGTCACACGACGGGCTTGGGTGAAGATTTGGAGGCAAAACACTATTGAGTGAAGCGGGGAGAGATGGATGGTCGTGAATCAATGTCTGTGGGGGAACAGCGGTCATCGTCAATGTGAGACACGATAGCAACTGGGAGACTCAAAGAAAACACTACAAGCTTTGGAGCATTAGTGAGTGATTTGGATAAAGATGAACATGGCTGTCCTATGCCTTTAACGTGACGGACCCTGAGCAAACTTCATGTCTCGATTGCCCATTTCGACGCCTTTCCCATAGATTCATCAATATCGCCGAACACCGATGAATACCTAGCCTCCTCGACGGGTATCGCGCGGGTAATTAAAGGAAAACTTTCACCTAGCATTCCTGAATTTCCCTCTCCGCATCTCCTCTTGAAGGCTTTCTTGCTGACTAGGCAGCGGCGCCCGCCGCCTTACCCCACCGCCTCCATTCGAAGCCCCAGCTACGCCCGGCAAAGGCGCTCCCACGTTCGGTGGCGGCACAAGCGGCAAGCCTTGGAAGCCTCCCGGCGGCGGCTGCAGTGGAAAGCCAACGGGGGGCGGAAACCCTGGAGGAGGTAGCGGTTTGCCGTCCGGGCCAAGAAGCGGTATCGGCGGCTTTCCGCCCCACAGCGCCGCCAGCTGTGAGAGATCCATCTTGGAAGGGTCGAAAGGGGGAAAGCCTGCAGCAGGCGGTGGAATTGGCGGTTGAGGCGCACTTCCCAGTCCTGGCATCTGAGCACCGCCTGTACTTGTGCCGTCCCTGCCGAGAGATATTCCAGGTAAGCCAGGCAACGCCGCAGCTTGCGTCCGCGGTGGCATGCTTTGATCGACCAGCCCCTTTGCTTCGTCTTCCGCTTCCATTTCTTCTTCCTCGCGCATCTGTCTCTTGCCTTCTCTGCGATCATACGTGCCCTGCGCTTCAGCAGCAGCTTGGCCAATGTGAAACCGATCGTTGACGTATGCGCTCTCTCCAGGACGTGCTCGGGTCCAGAAGCGGGTTATCCGGTCGTTCGACCCGGATGCCAGGATGTGACCTACCGGGTGCCAGTCAAGGGCATATATTTGCAGCTCATGAGCGTATGGAATGCGGTGAGCTGGGTATATCGATTGACTTGGAGCATTGGCAGGGTCAGAACTGTCATACGGCGAGAGAGTCTCCGAAATTCCAGGCGGAGGATTCGGCTCGTCGAGAAGATAATGCATGATGCTGCCATCGGATCCGGCGGTAGTCAGCAGATTCCGGTGGATCGGATGCCACGTCAGAGTCGTCACGTCTTTCTCATGACCACGAAGCAGAAGCATGTCGCGCATCATGCGCAAGTCAAAAATCCTCGGCGTGTGATCTCTAGCGCACGTTGCAAGCAGCTGTCCCTGAGTCGGCTCGAACAAGGTCTTGGCAATCTGGTTCTTATGTCCATACAGAGTAGTCAAGCACCGGCCAGTTCTCGGGTCCCATAGCTTGACCTTGGAGTCTTTGGAGCCAGAGACGAGTAGACCCTTATGCGGATGCCAATCCACCGCCTTCACCTCCCACTCGTGTCCCCTGAGAGTACTCTCCGCTGTCCCTCCAGCGAAGTCCCAAATTTTGAGAGTGCCATCGTCAGACGCACTGACGAACTTCGAGTCTGTCGGAGAAAAGGCAAGATCTCTGACAGGCAGATCATGTGCCTGCATCTTCCTTACGAGGTTGAAGTTTGGCTGCCAATACTTGATCATACCGATTTGGTCCGCCGATATCAGCCAATCGTCGCTATGAGAGTATTTTGCCGCGCGGACCGCCCCGTCGTGAGCCTGCGATATCGTCTCAAAATTGAAGCCCGTGCCGTTCCACACAGTGAACTCTCCACTTGTCGCACCCGTGAGTACGCGCCTGCCCTCGGGCGTCCACCTCACGACTTGTATTGGATGTCTCTGTTTGTTGAGCGACTGGTGCAGGTGCTTGACTGGAACGGTGTCGGCTGCGTTTGAAAGCCTGGCGGCGGGAGGTAACATCTGGGAACGGCCCCGCTCGTCAGTACACGAGTTTGGGGAAATGAACGTCTGGCATAGTGACTCACGTCTACGACGTAGCTCGGGCTCGGCCTTTCAAATTCGGCAGCTGGAGTGCCCCTGTAGCGCGGTCTTCGATTGCGCATCCACTGCACGTATGTCGAGCTGTAATCTGTTACCGGTCCTGCGAGGCGCAAACGGTGAGCTTGTGCCTTACTCTGGGAAAGCCACGCTGGCAGTGGCGGCCGGGAGCTCTATTTTCTCGAATCACGGTGGGCATCGGCGACACGTACTTCTTGCTCGACTTCGCGGCCCGTCATGGCCGCCATAGGGTTGGAAGTCGCGGTCCATGGCAGCGGCACTGGAATTACCAAGTGTGAAGATTTACTTCTGCAGGCTTGATTGTACTTGTAGCGCAGACGTGCAGAACAGAAGAAACACCTTCGAGTATCTGGCTATCAAATATATTTTCAAATGGCGCATGTTAAACGGAAGGCGGATCAGATCGAAGCGGAGCTCGACGTTGCAGGTGAACGGAGCTCGAGCACGGACCGGGAGCTTCAACTTCAACCCGAAAACACCCAGCCATTTACTCTCGAGTATGGAGTACCTCAGGTGTAATCCAACTACATTCACCACTGGACTGGACTCTGCAGACACTTGGGGAATAGCCAGGCTAAGTCCAGGCGAGAACGTTTGTGAGTTACTGAGCAACTTCTAGCGCTTAAGCATCAGTCACTCAATATATCCTTGATTGACGAAGCGTTTTTGGGTGTCCAGTCCTGTGTCTAGGAGTAGATCACGACGCAGCGACGCACCTCTGCAAGGCGCACGTTGCCGGCAGCAGGTCATTTGCAGCGAATCGGCCCGGCTTTACAGATCGTCTTAGGGCTCTTTACAGAGTACGTTGTGGGCCCTAATTCAGACGTATCTGACTGGGGGCGCTGGAATTAAAATACTAGTATCGTCTCAGGACGTCGAAGCTGTTGGGTACGACAAGCATCAAACAGCTGAAATACAATCTAGATCGCAAACGCTCTGGCTCCGCGACATATAGAAGACAGATGCAGTGAGACCAGTGTCAAGTCTATTGCATCACGCTTCACCGCGCGGCTGCTACGTCCGGACTTGCACTGGACATGCATTCCAAGCTTCTACCGAGCATCGTTTGGGCGATATTCCGCGCCATGCGTGATCTTGGGACTTTCTTAATGAGTATCAGCTACTTGCGGGCTCTCCAGTACCTAGTGATGTTTGACGGATTCCTCTCATCATGAAGCTGCTCCGCTACCATCAGTCGACGGGATAGTCCATCATCCGCACGCGGAATCTCAGCGTCCGCGAAGCGTCCAACATGCTCGACAGGACCTTGATCAGAAGCTCGCAGCTATGCGTTGGGACTGTGAGAGGAGCACTTGATGGCATTCAAAGGCCTAGGAAAGAACGCGTGAAGTCGGCGGTCGGTGGCTTGCCGGTCCGCTACGAAACACCATGCCGAGCATCACGAAATTGCGAGGATATGATTGGCTCGGCGATAACGGCTAAGCAGCTGCACATTTCCAGGCGAGGCTGGGCTGCGAGCGGATGAATAGTTACAACATCCCGACGACACTGGGTGACCTGAATATCGTATATAGTCCTCCTTCCCCAGACATCCAAGAAGCATTCTGTCCGTACACCCAAAACCCGTCCACCTTCCAAACCCTGTCCACCTTCCAAAATCATCGCAACGAAAAGCTTCCAGAAACCAGCGCCATGATTGCGTACTCAGTCACCGTGCCCAAGGAGTACGGGTAAGAAGCCTCCCAATTGTTCCCCCACCTCCACCACGCACTCCGTACCCACAGCTACGCCATTCCTTTCGTCCGCCCAGACGAGCAATCCTCTTCCTTCGGCGCTGCTCCACCCTCCCCAAACCCTTCATCAGCCGTCAACCGCTGACCCTTGCACACAGCTATGTCGTCCTCGCCGCGACCTCGACCTTCTTCCTCAACTTCTGGCACGGCATCCGCGTCGGCGCCTTCCGGCGCGCCGCCCAGATCCCCTACCCGCACCCGTACGCGACCGCCGAGCAGATCTCCTCCGCCTCGGCCGACAAGAAGCAGGCCATGTACCTCTTCAACTGCGCGCAGCGCGCACACGGCAACTACCTCGAGAACCATACCAGCATGGTGATCGCGATGTTGGTCGCGGGGCTGCAGTATCCGAGGACGGCCGCGGTGCTGGGAGCCGCGTGGGCGGTTTGCAGGATCCTCTTCGCGACGGGGTATACGAAGGCGGATAAGCAGGAGGGGAAGGGGAGGCTGGCGGGGGGTGGGTTCTGGTTTGCGCAGTTGGCGGCGTTTGGGCTGGCGGGCTGGGTGGGTGTGCAGATGATCACAGGACAGGCGTGATTGAGTGACAGAAGGTTAGAAGGGGGTTGGTGGCCGCAGCATCTACAAATGATAGGTATCGCTACAGATACACCGGAAGCCTACATCCGACATAAGTTATAAGAGGGTAAGTAGTTGGCAGCATCTTGAAAGATTACACGCGATACAACAACTCCGACTTCTACTTCCACATGCTACGCGTGAGTTGATATCGGGCCCGCCCTCCGCAACACGATTGGGTGCGTGTTGACGCAGAAGCGGCCGAACAGAGAGGTAGACTCATCTCATAGCACATATTACAAGCTCAAGGTCTCTAACGTTACGGTTAGGCGAACGGCTATGTCCAAGCCGTGCCCATTGTTACGGAGAGGGGTCGGGCCCGTAAGGGCGAGGAGAAGAAGGAGAAGGGGAAGCCGCAGAACGCGCACCGCCTGGTGGTGGTGGCGTATAAGTTGGACGAAGAGGTGGGAAGAATGCTGGCCGGGGACCAGGCATCCCACCTCTGCCACCACCCCGTCTGCATCAACCCGGACCACATAGTGGTCGAGAGCAAGGCTCTCAATGAGGCGCGGAAGCCCTGCCGTGAGATGGTACGTAACTCACCCACCTACCCATTCTGGAATACAAGGAGATACTAACATTAAATGTATAGGGCCTCATCATCTTCACGGAGTGGGAGGGGGTGGAGCTGCGGCTTCCCCAACAACATGCCTGTCCGCACCTCCCGCCATGTATTCGGTGTTCTCATCATCAAGCAGCAGTAGCACCGCGATGTTTCTATCGAGCCCTTACATATGGGCACGGATAACAGGAAGCTCCACCCTCAAGCCGACGAACAGCATCGTGAAGCATCACTGCGCGCGCCGTAAAGCGGCATGACGACTGGAACGCGGACTGTGGCTTGGAATCGTTTTCCTTTTTCCCTCTACGTTGATCAGGGAGGCTTCTTAATGCTGGTGGCGGCTGGCAGGTTGAAGATCTCTGAGCAAAAGCTGATTTGAGGTTGGTAGCAGAAAACGAATTCACTGCGTTGGAAGCTCGCAATCTTCAAGGAGTCAAAGCAGTTCCGAAAGGGAGCCGCGAAAAGGCGCTGAGCAAGGACGTATTGAGGCATTACCTCATCGTCGACCGCCGGGCGGCCGGAGCTACTCGTGCGCGTGGGGGCCGACGCGGTCGTGGTGGTGGTGGATATGCTGGAAGGGAGCCCAAGGAAGGGCCGGAGGGTAGCTAGTCGGACAATAGCCGAGAGTAGAGTTGTGTGGCGCCATGCCGGGCATTGGCTCTTCTCTCATGCCTATACTCACAATCACAAATCAGCATCTACAGACTCCGCCATGAGAACCTGACTTGAAATTAATGATACTCACCTATGGCTCCAAATAGCAGAAAAAGCATACAACGGCGAAGACTCTGTCAACTCTCGTTTTGTCTGTCTTCAAAAGCACACAGAAGATACAAGACAAGACAAGAACTCAAACAACACAAGAGGGGACGAGGGAGCGGCGCAGATATTCCGAGCGGCAACATCAGGAGGACAAAGGGGAAATCACCCTTGCGGTGGTGATGGCGTGGAGCAAGGCGGCTGGTATGCTGATGGCGGCAGCGGTAGCTCGGCTCTGGCTTGCATCGACATCACCTTATCTATCTCCATACACTCATCAGCATCTTACTGGCTCAAAACAAACAATGCAGGAGAGACTCACAGGCTGCTGCAAAGAGCGGGAACACGCAACCCCCAATAGGAACATAGGAAATCCTCGTCTTCGTCCGTCTAGAAGCATAACAAAAGGGCGGAGAGTCTGCATTGGCTAGGCGCGGACGGGCGGGAGAGGTCGTGGTACTGGCGACGGCGCGGCGGTTTGGAACGTTTGTGCAAAAGGACGTATGGCGGCGTTGCGAACAGGGAGTACGCCGCAGAAGTTCGTCACGGTGTTGCGGAGGTGAGAGGTTCGCATATGTGTAGACAAACTACTGTGAACGGTTAGAAACAGCGTTATCTGGGAAGATATGATGCGTCTCACATGCTGCTGGGACGAGGCCGAAGCGAGAAACGTGGGAAACGTTGTGGGAAGATTTCGAATGAGAGATCGGTAAACAGTATGGACGGAGGGCAGCTGGTCGGACAATGGCCGAGGAAGGAGTAGTGCGCCGTCTTGCCGTACATATGCCGACCACCCAGTCCTGTGCAATGGTATAGGTACCAAGGAGAGAGCCATTGAATCAGCCCTATCTCTAAGGCGGGAGGCTTCGGAGTGGGGCAGCGGGGAGTGAGGCGGGCTGCGGCGGCTGTGGCCGTGGTGAGTGCGGCGGGAGCAGTGGCTGTGGGGCGGGAGAGGGTGTACGTCTACGCGGCTATGGCGGCGGCAGCGGTGGTCTCTGAGGTGGTGGGCAGGAGACTTCGTGGTATTGGCGGCAGGCGGCGGTATGGAAAGCTTCGAAGAAAGGACCGGATAGCACCCTGGAGTTTTATCAGCGGCCAGGCACAGAACAGCCTAGGACAGTTTTATATGACTTACGTATTGGGCCGAAGAGGACTTAAACTGTCACTTAAAGCTTGATCGCATAAAGGTGTGAAGAGTAAACAAATTCCAATTCGATAGTTGCTTCTAGGTGAGTTCATGTTGGGGTACCGTTGAGCAGTATATAGAATGAAGGGTAGAAGATTTTCTTTGGGAACAATTGTGGGTGCTGTTAAAGAAAAGGCACCTGCAAAGCAGAAACGTTTGCAGGCTCTACCGGTCAAGGGTCTCATCCCAGGCTTCTTCCCGTCTTTGAGCCGCATTAAGCCCGGATTCGAATTATGTACGACAAGCACGAAAGGCATATCCGAGCGTATACAGGCCTCATCATTCTTCATTACCCTCAACGTGCACATACATAGGCATCGTCTGCAAGCAGGAATGCTCAAATCGTCATGGCACTTAGTACGATGTGAGCAAGGAAGCATCATCATCTACGACCTTTAAGGGAGGCACGCATCACGAACTGTTATCAAAATGGTCGGTAGATGAAACTACCGTGCTTCGCCATAGCAACATAAGAGGTTCACGGAAAGGAGAAATAATTGGAATTGATGTACAGGAATAGCTTCCTAGAATCGACGGGCTTCACATTCTAGTATGCATGCGGAAGGTGTATGGGACTGTGCTGCTACATGCATACTCGGTAAGGCAACGAATTGTTGGTCTTGAGATCTACGGCCTAGGAGCTGGAATACTGATTTGAGTAAGCTTTTACCTATGGATGCCCGATTTGATGTCCACGTGCGAGGATCTAAGGAAGATTTTCGCAAAGGGTTGTACCAGCCTGGACAATGATCGGCGTATAAGGAAGTGAAAAGGGATCAACCGAATTTCCGAGTGTACTCCAGTCAAAATGCTGACAACGGAAGGACGATTGAGAAATCTCCAGCTCCAATCGTAACACGTCCTATAGCGTGCTTGCATGACATGATTGTTGTGATAAGGCGTCGCCCAAAAACCTGATTCCACAAATTGGGAGAGCGGACAGATGTAAGAACAGCCGGAGAGTCCGTAAGAATAAAGCCACAAAGGGCTGCAACAAACTGAGCATTGAAGGGTATGTCAGAAGAGGCAAAAATTTGGCGACACCTGTGAGGAAGCTCTATCCCGCTACGCGGGTGCATTGCATCATGAGCCATGTGCGACCGAAGAGTTAATCGCACGGAGGTATGTGACCCCGCCGGTAATGAATGCGATGTGCAGAGGTTTTGATTTCGTGCAGATCGTAAGTTTTAGGTATACGGAGCGTTATGCTTGATGCGTAGTAGTCCGGATGTCCAATGGCCAGTGCGTCGTCCCTCACCAGCGTCGTCCTCTAGTCTTGCGTTCCAGTAGACCGTCGGAACCAACGAAAGAATGTCCGCCGTTCTGGCGTTGGTGCTTGACGATCGCTGGCGGATGGACTACTGTTGGAAGCTGGATCACTATCAGAGGCTTGATCCATGTCCGAAGCTTGACGAATGCTTAGAGTCTGGTCACCTTCAGGGGCTTGGGAACCTCCTGAAGCTTTGCTCTCTTCGCGGCCTTTACTGATTTTCGGAGCTGGATTACCATTCGGAGCTTGGTTGGTGTCTAAACTCTGAGTGCCAGTGGTTAACCGAGAGTGACTAGGAGCCCGATGAGCGCTGGGAGCTTGACTATCATTTGGATTTGGGTTGTGATCTGAGGCTTGAGGGCCATGAGGAACATGTGCACCTTGCGAGGGTTGATGATTCGCGGGCGGCTGGATATATTCTGCTTCGACCGGCGAATAGGCAACGGGCGTTGAAGTAACCAGGGCAAGCATGATACTCCTTCGGACAACCTCTCTCAAGTAACTCAGCACTTTGACGCCGATTTCCTCGCTACTCATAAGACACCTTGGAAGTGACGGACTTCCTCGTTTAGCGCAAAGACAGGTTGGAAAGGTGAACATATTATGCGCACCATACCACAAACGATGGTGTAGTTCATCCATCGTGGGAGCCTCCGCGGTTTGTTCAGCTATCTTCATGAATAGCGTGTGCAGTTGCTTCCACCTTGTGTTCGTGTCCAGGATATCCGGAATATCGCCTACTTTGACTAGTATGACATACACGAATGTAGCAACATATAGTTCGGCATGCCCCAGCGCGATACGTCGACCACCCTCCCAGGTTACGGTCTCAGGCAAGCCAAGCTCATGGAAGTGTTTTGCGCGCGCGCATGCATAGCGGAAGCCAAATCGAGGATCATCGGACAAACAACGCGCTCCATAATATTCAGGGAAGATGACTGGTGTGAGATGCGCCGAACAACGGGGGCACCTGAGTGCTCGTCTGCGGTTGATTTGGCCCCAATCATGAATGCAGAGGTAGCAAAAAAAGTGGCCACAATTTAGCTGGATGATAGCCTGATGTGGTTGTGTGCCATCAATAGGGACGTCGTTCAAACAGCGAGCGCAAGTCCGATCTTCAGGCCGAACAACAATCGGTGGCACAGGATGGCCGATGGCGTATATAACGTTATCGTGAGTCATGCGGACTGCACCATGGCGTTGAGAGTAGGAGTATGTAAAATTCATGAAGCTGCGGAGCAAGCATACGCGCCCTGAGCGTTCGAATTAACCTGCGAGAGGCGTCGGTGGAGAGGAGAATATAAAATATCGCGAGGCGCGTTTGGTAATCGCAGCACAATGTGAAATATAGGTAGTTTGACGAAAAGATTGGCGGCAAGGGGTCTTAGATACTGTTTGTGAGGCGTCGCGGGGTAGGACGACTCAATCCAGGGTTGATGGCTGCGCTAGCTTCTCATGGCTAGCTCACTTGGTGGTAAGCAAAAAGGGAAAAGGGGCGCGCCGCTTTTCGGAATGGCGTTACCGGACATCCCGAAGGAGCGAAAATCTTCGGGTCCCTGCAGAGAGACACCAACCTTAATTTCAGTTCACAAAGGTCCCTCCGTCGAATGCTGTCGCTCCGCTATCATCATTGTAACGGCTGCTTCATATATTCCACGTTGCACGGGCAGGGAGGCATCAAGGGAAGAACTCAACGACGAGTTCTTACGTCAGGGCCTGATCGCCTGCCGAGGATGATTCGAGTCGCGCTTTGACGACCGACGTCTGGAATCAATATCAGCACAGGATTCTCTATGCTGACGAGCCGCGTGAGATTCGCGCTCAGATTACGCTTACATATTGCCCTCAGTGGCTTGTATATAGAATAAGGGGACATAAACCTCCATCGAGTGTGTCGCCATTGTGTCTCTGAGTGTGCGTTTCGAACGGGGCCTTCAAATCGGATGTGGCTTCGGACGTGGCTTGATGCGTGGCCTCACATGTACTGTCAACACCAAAAGCGCGTTGAGCATTTCATCTATCATCCATATTCTTGCCACTTCTGCACGGCTTCTCCTGCTGCTGTGTTGGTGCGCGATGGAATCCCGTTTCCCTAGAGCTCTAAGTGTGTCTCCAAGTGCATCTCCAAGTGTATCTCAGCATGTGTGTTCAGGTTCAGTATGACTTCGGATGTGTTTTCAACTATGGAACCACAAGCGCGGCCACGACCAAAAGCCCGTTGAGCGTTTTATACATTATCTCTACTCTCAATGCTCTTGCACGGCTTCTCGTGTTGATGTATCGGCGCTTGGTGGCATTCCGCTTACCGAGCGCTCCGATAAGCCTTCCCTCCATCCTCGGAGGCTTGCATGGTATGGCGTTTCTAGCGACCAGAGTCTACGGCCAGACGCTGCAGGCTCGGGAATGTCATAATCGTATAGCCGACGATCTTTGAGGCTTAGAATCATCTTCTGTTCTTCAGGACTCGTGAGGTTCTCAACGGAGTCTTTTGCATGCATGTAATGTAGCGAGACACTTGTAGCAATCGTACCTCCCAGTCATGCGCGGCGCAGATATGTAGATTTTCTCTGATTCGATAACAAGTTGATCTCTCTCAACCTTCTGATGACTACGGATTTTGCAGGTGCCTCATTACGTTGTTTCTCGGTACCTTTTCGTGGTTTTCCGCTGGAGCAGCTTCGGCCCCCGAATCGACGCCGCTCCTTCCTCGAGAGTGTCGTCCCTTCCTGCTTGGCACGCACGGGGTCCGTGAGCGACTGATGCATTAAAAACTTTTCCTGCTTCCTGTCGGCCTTCACTCTTCGAACCAAGTTCTTTCGAGTTGCTAGACCCTACCACTGCAACAAAGTTTTCGTGCACTTCTCGATTCAAAAAATCGATATGAAATTCTTCACCGTGTTTGCCGTTATGGCATTGGCGCTGCTCTGCTGCGCAAAAGGTATGTGTCTTTAACTCCACCTATCGCCTCGAGCAAGGAGCTACGAATTGCTAGTTCCAGCTTCTCTAGTCGAGTATAGCCTTTGAGCTTGTTGCTGGAAAAGCGATTCTTGCCGCAGTAGAATTTCGGGATATTGATAATGAATACAGACTACGATGATAAGCATCAGCACCAAGTTCGCCGCTATAGGCCAGCCACAATGCCTTGTCTTTAAGTTTCCCTTCGGCACCCTCGCGATGATGAAGCCATTTCTCATCCCCTGCCCCTCCTCCGCGATCTTCACTACCGCCTCCTCCACGACCTCCACCACCGCATCCGCTCCGACAACCACCACCTGCCCGCCCTGCCCCTGCGCTCCGCTCGCCGTTTCGTCCGCCCTCGCCTCCGCCACCACCGCTGCCGCCGCCGCACCCACGCCGACGATGATGACGACGACCACCACCACCAACGCCGCAGCCGCCACAGTATCCCCCTCGGCCGACGATGAGAAGCCTTATGGCCCTTCGTTTTTGTGGCCTCTGGTCGCCATAGTATCGGTCGCCCGTGCCTCCACGGCGGAGATGACGCGCTGGCAAGGATGGGTTGTGCGGTTTGCCCGTTTCGTGCGTGGGTACCGAATACATGGGGTGCGGCGCTTCCGCTACGTCGTTCCGGAGCTCATCTATGTTCTCCTCGGTCTTGGCGTGCTGCTTCTTTGGCTGTCCCCGTTTCTTGTCGTGGTGCAAGTTGGCAGGTCTTTTTGGGTGGACGTCCTGAAGCCGAGCTATGGCGAGGAGGAGCCGGCGCTGGAAGAAGAGGAGGAGGAGACACTCTTCTAGAGATTTGAACTAGAGTCGCTGTATCACGTGTAGTCTTCCGAGATGATGACAAACTATTCTCCTTGCTAAGACATGTGCTGGCCATCAGACTATCGTGTATCTGCGCTGATGTTAACTGATGTAAGGTACTCTAAGCAAACCAGTTGTAATCTCGTACGGTCCAAGGCACAGAAGCCTAAAGCTTAGCTGCCCGAACGCCAGTTCCATATCCAGGATACTTCAGGTAATTGATATGTGAAAGCGCGAGACTGCAGCATGACCGCAACTTCAGCTCGGTTGCATCTCTATGCACGGATATCTCAGGTCAAACGCCCACCCCGCCTCATGTGTATCCAAACACAAGCAATCCACCATCACACCCAATCGCCCAAAGCACCCAGGTCCTAGCTTCCCCACCCGGCCATCCTAAACTGCGGCTTACTCACGCTCCCGTACTTTGCCTGCCAGGCAAAGAAATACAACAGCGCCGCAAGCGGCTGTCCCACAAGACAGAAACTGACCCAGAAGATGATGTTGCCCGTCACTTTCCCGCGGATACCCTTCATGCGCCGCAGCGGGTCCGTGAGGGCGATGAGGGGGAGCTGGAACATCATGCCTGCAAAGGCGACGCCTGATTTTCACATCAGCACTCCGGCGAATGTGACGCTACGGAGAGGGAGAAGACCTACCAAGGATATTATGCGTCGGGACGCCAACCAGCAGCTCATGCAGCACGCCCGAGAAGATGAAGACGATGATCTGCGCCACCTGTTTCGGGCATCCGCGGCCCACGAGCGGCGAGTACACATGCCTTCGCATGAAGTGGTACACGGGCTTGTTCCACGTAGTCCAGTATGTGCGAATACTGCTCGTGTTCCACCAGTCGGTGTAGAACTCCCTGTCGCCGAACCTCAGCACCTCGGCCAGCGCGTTCAGGAAGCTCTGAAAGAGCGCGAAGAAGCCCGCGAGCCAGCAGAAGAGGCTGATGGTCGAGAGCTTCATCAGCCGCTCGAGGATGGACGTCAGATCCAGCGTCGAGATCTTGTCCAGCGAGTTCTGCAGCAGCGGCGCCGCGTACTGCGCCGAGGCGATCCAGATGACGATGCTCAGCCCTACGAACTCGAGCACGCGCCGGAAGACAAAGGGCCAGCGGATCCTCTCGGTTCGCGGATATACGGGCTGGTAGCACAGCGTCGGTGCCCACCAGAAGTACGCCAGGTTCTTGAGCGTGACGTTACGCGGGTACGGGCAACTCTTGTATAGGTCAGGCAGCGCGCCGGTGGAGGATGGCGAGAGCAGTGCATGGCGCAGATCCCGATTTGTAAAGGCGTACGAACATGTCTTGAGCCAGACAATGACGGCGTGCATCTCGCAGAGCGTGCCGATGCCGGGGTGGTGGATGTAGTAATAAACGACCGTCGTCGCGATGATGAGGTTCAGCGTGGCATTCACGCCGTGGGCGAGTGCAATTAGCTTCCACGTCGACAGGAAGCTGCGCCGCTGCTTCTCTCGGCTGTCTGCGGTGTTGGGGTCTTCCTCTGCTTTCTTCATGCGCGCTAGGGCGCCCTTGGCTTGCTGTGCGGCCGCTAGCTCGATGATGTAGGCGACGAATAGGTGGCAGGGCACCGAGAAGTATAGGATCGACCCATAGATTACGTCTTGTCGGCTGTAGTCGTGGCATCGGATGCAGATCAGCACACCGTACTAAGCCCGTTAGCCAAGCCGTCGGAGCATTGGGGGGAGCTTTACTTTTCGGAAGTTCTCTATCATCAAGCGGACGTTCGAAACGACTAGCGGTACGCGACGTCAGTCCGTATCTTGACTCCCACTCGGGCCTATATCCGCATGTTGGGCTTACTCAAAACAAGCGCCATCAGATTCCTGAAGCCCGCAAAATTGTGCGGCCTATCGGCATCCTCGCTCAGGTAGGACGTCTTTCGATCGGCGTGCACTGCGAAAACATGCTTGTATTTGCTTTCTAGCCCTCGCGAGGACGGGCGTGAGGTGACACCGTTGGCGTGCCCGTCCTGCGTCTTGCTCTCTACAGGGCTCTCAAGTCCCGCGTTGCTCGGGGCTTCGTGGCTGGTGTGAATTGCCGTCTCTGCTGTGTCAATGAATGTGGACATGGCTCATAGTGGTGCGTTGTTCGGCGGGCTGTCAATTCCTCGTAGGTCCGTTGGGCGTGGATAAGAATGTTCGAGGAATGCGATGTCGGGGAGGTTCTGGGGGACACAAAGCTAGCAAGGCGACGAGGATGCTCGAGAGACGGGCTCAGTGTCGAACTGCGGCGAGACAATGCTGCACCATGGCAGAGGACGGGTGGATGAGAGATTCGCCATCGTTCCTAAAAATGCTTGGGGCATTCCCTTTGGAGCTACGACTAAGGTTTGGCATGTGGAGCGGGGAGTCGCACACCCGTTGGGACTTTTCCCGCGTTGGCTCCCGCCGCTAGTGGCTGCCCCTCGTGGCGTCAACGAAAGCTGCGAGCAGTCCCTACGGTACCACTTCTTCCCTTATCATGCCTGTAACACATGGGCGATCTTGTAGTCTGGCGATATTTGCTACCTCAGGGAATAGACACTGAACCTCGATGCCAACACATTCAATGTCTCATATGGCTAGGGAGGGCTACATGCTGGCGTGCTAGACGTGTGTGCAACATCACTTCAAGCGCCGTTAGAGAATCGCGTATTGTCCGCAGCAGAGGGTGCCAATTGCTTGGGTATCAACTTTTGGATTCTTCTTCTCTAGAACGACCCCACCGACAACCCACTCAAAGTCATCTCCAACCCGTATCGTGCCGCTGCAAAGGCACCGCCCTGTGTGGAGAGGAAGAAAGGCAAGAACAAGAAGGTGTTTGATAGCTCTGCCATGTGGACGAAGCCGAGCGACACATCAGATACAGAACCGCTCCTACACTGGAAACGCCATCCTTACTTACAACGCCGCCCTGAAGGCTCGCTATTCAACCCTACTCCGCACTGTCATGATTCGTCGCGCCCTTCATGCTGAGCGAGATAGCGATTTTCTTGGGCGGCCCATCCTTGCCGCTGTTGATGCTCTTTTTCCGGCGGAGTATATTGCTGCTGTTGGAAGCGTTACTTGAAGCGGTACTGCCGGCGCTGCTGACGGATGAGCTGCGGCGTTTCGTGAGCGTCGACAGCTTGCCGAGCTCGTCTTCCTCGTCTTCCTCTCTCCGCCGCTTCTCCGCCAGGCGCTCTGGAGGCGGAGCTTGGGGTACCGGCGTCTGTTCTCGCTGCGGCGAGTCTGAGGGCTCGGCGGCCGGTTGCGATTCCTTAGCAGGGGTACGCTGTGGCAATGTTTCCATGGCGTCTTCCTCGTCGTCAGGGTAGTTCACGAGAGGGCGTACTGGGGAAGCGCCGTTTGCTGCAGGTTTGACGTCAGGGATTCTGTTTTCGTCCTCTTCGTCTTCGTTGTCGGAGCCGTTGAAGTAAGCTTCTTCCTCGGCGTCGGTATCTTTGAGGCCTTGCCACCTTTGCCCACCGTTGATTATCCCTCTGTTCGGTGTATCGGTCTCTTGGCTTGTGAAGGATTGGTCCGCATCCTGGGTGGGGAACGACTGCTCCTTGTATTGCTCGTACTTCGATATCAGGCCCTGGAACGTGTCGACGTAGGTGATATTCTCGAGCTGCGTTCTGTACTCCTCAACGATGTGAGTGACACAAGCTTTGACGTTCTCCTAGGTCCGGGTTAGCGTTGGTTTGTATACGACGAGCCTGAAGTAGCATGTACCCGCTTGATGAACTCGAAAAATTCGAGACAGACAGAGTTCAAGAGGTTGTCTCGAGGCATCGTATCGAAAAGTATCTTGAGAATCGGGTCGAATAGGCGATTCGTCGTGATTTGTCGATTGTGAAATTCGTCCTGGAGACCTATACAGTTGCGGAAGTATTTGAGTGCAGCTTCCCTAGTCGTCAGCGTTCGTGTTGGGTGTTAAGGGAGACTGTGCTCACTGAGTTTGAGGTGCTTCTCTGGACACGCCATGAGCTGCGCTACCCGCGAGTGAAGGCCTTCGGAGAGGATGAAAAATTTGCTTCTGAAGGCGTGGTTCTTGATGAAAAAGCACAGCATCTCAACGAGATGTGAGTATAGCGTAACCTCCTGGATGTTCAGATTCTCCACTAGAACGCGGGTCAGTGATGCGCTTCACATCCAGACTTTGTACACATACTAGACTCTCGACCCTCAAGATCCTTAAGGGGCTGGAAGAGCTTCTTCGCCGATTCATCGTAGAAGCTCTGAATGAAACTGTCTGTTTGCGGTCCAGTGGGCGGTCCGCCTCGCATCTTCATCAGGAAGTCGCTATTTGAGCGTCCCAGTGTCTCCATCGACGCAGAGTTTGCATTCGGGTCAAGCAGGACCCTGATAGCTTCCGCCATCTGATGTTTGACGCCAAGGTCAGTCTCAACCAGAAGCAGCTCGATAAGGGTGTCGGTCAACGGCTTCGTCTTCTCGTTGATGGCTTTGAAGATATGGCCCCGCATCATCAACGGATCGTAGTCGATCAACGCCACGAGAATTTCGGTGCCCGCTATTCGCACGGAGGCATCTTGATGGCGCAGTGCGAATGTGATTACAGTGAAAAGTCCACCGGATATGAAGTTAGTGTATAGTTGTGTCCGAGCATTTGCCTGGAGGCTTTTTGCAATCGAGCAGCATTGTTGAATGAACAGGACCGCATCCTTCTTCCGCTGTGCGTCCATAACCTGGGGACTGAAAATGCCGAACAACTCCCGCAAAAATGCTGCATTGCCTTGAAGATGCGTAACAATGTCGACTTGGTGGAAAAAGATCAAAGAATTCAGGACCCCAAATGTGGGATCGTCGAGTATGCGGGCAAGGACGACGTCTTTTAGGTACTGCAGCCGGTATGTATAGTGGATTTTCTTTCTTATGTTGGGGTCTTCTATGGGCACAACCTCCTTGAAGCGACTGTCGTCGGAGAGGTATTGGCGATGGTTTGCCTTGTGGCTGGGGAAGTCTGGGTCATCTGCGGTCATTGATGGTTAGCGTCTCATCTCTGGAGAGAATTCACTCCGCATTGGCTGCCCAGTCTTACATTCCAGAGCACCTACGACCCCTAGGATAACCTCGTCCGTAACAACGTATTCGATGATGGAAGTGTCGTTGAGCAGGATGAGCATCTTCATGATGTTGCAGAGACGGTGAAGGTCCGAAAGGCTCTCGAGGTCCTCTGCCAGCTCGACAAGCGGGACCAGCTTGGCGATATAGTCCATCCGCACAATGAATTTTGCCAGCGCGTCTCGGCCTGGTGGACTGCTGTTGGCTGCGCGCATCATGTTCTCGATGTCCGGTAACAGGCCAAGTTCCGGCGGGGGGAGCATTATCGGGTTGAGGTTGTCTATCGCGTCGTCGGAGATACCATCGTCTACATATCATGCAGTTAGTAGGGAAAGCTTGACGAGAGTACAAAAGGGAAGCCGCACCTGGTCCCCCCGGTCCTGCCGCTCCAAGACGCTGCTGTACATCACTGACGAAATCCCTGACACCGCTCAGTATGTTTCCACGACATGTCTCTCGACATCATCCACTCACCATATGGCACCACAACCTTCCGGCTCCTGGAAACTGAGCGCCATGTCGGTTCCATTCTGTTCCGTCCATACGATGAGAGTGTCTACGTCAAACCGTCAGCATCCCGCCCGAAAACCTGCTGGAGCGCTGCGTACCTTGCTGCTTCTGGTATCCATCATCCTTCGATATTTTGGTCTCGAGCAATGTGCGATCGGGTTCATCTTCGGATTGAACGCATATTCGCGCTTCGTCCTGTTGACGCGCAAGCGGTTAGCTGATGCGCAGGTACTGCGCCGGCAGTCAGGCCGAGCGCGCAAGTGTAGGAGGGTGGACAGAGGGAAGGTGTGCGCATGGAATCTGGAATGCGGGGAGTATGACTGACGTTGACGATGGATCCGACGCAGAAGCCTGTGCCTCTGTCGAACCAGTCGTTGCTCTTCAGCTCATAGACCTTTACGCGCTTGCGATCGTTTGCCGGCGGAGCGGCCAGGGCCATAATCGAGCTGCTGCGCACTCCCGTCACTCCGGCGTGGGTACCGAGACCCTTCGGAGTGAGAGATGCGGGTGTGTGAGATGGGCTCGATGGCAGGGTCTTGGTGTGCGCAAAGGCGGAGGCTTGGCTGGCTGCGTTCTAATTCGGGACTCGGTCGCTGGTGTTGGGACGGCGCAAGCAAGGCGACTGACAGGCGGAAGGAATGAATGCGCGGGTCAGGGCACACAACGCTTGTGCAGGGTCGCTCTCTGATGGAGAGGCTGCTGCGCGATGGGTTGGCGGCGTAGGGTAAGGTATGATGTAGTGGGATGGATCAGGTCCTGTGGCCGGCTGGTCGCGCGTCTGTCGTGTTTTGCAGCAGGCAGGCTGTGCCGCGGCCGGTGTCAGGGCGTTCTAGCGCCGAGCTACGGGTATGTAGTCAGGTAGTGTGCCAGCGTGCCAGGTATGAGGTAGCGCTCCACGTCGCTCTCTATCGATAGTGAAGTTCAGACCGGCAGTTCACGACATCGGGCCTCGTGGCCGCGCGGGTTACTTTGACAGGGACAGACATGGACAGCCGTGTAAGGCATTCAAAGTTCTCGAGTTGCGAGAGAAGTCACTCCAGATGCCGATGACGCGGTGCAGGACGTGACAAGCGGCTACGCATGATGCAATCCGGATCCCTAAACGGGACCGGCTGCTGGCGATGTCGGGCGTGTGAAGATCATCCGCCTCCCGCATTCCTCGAGCTCGAGGCAGCCTTAAGGCCGCCTGCAGTCAAGCACACTACAACCTAATTCTGTTGCTTGATGACCGAGCTCTCTATACCTATGCCTCTCACCGATGCCCGGTCCTTGCTGGCTTCTCGATCACTGGGCTCACAACGGCTCTTCAAAAGCCTGTTTATTGTTGGAAGTCAATTTAGTGTCGTGCGAGTCAACACCAGCAATCGCGGCAGCTGAAGCAACACCTAGCGTCACATCCCATCTTCTTCGATAATGGTCAAGACTTAAGGTTCACCCTTGCTAAGCTGAGATGCTCCGGACGCGGTCGTCGTTCGCTGGTACGGTAGCCACTATTGAACCAGACTTAAGCATCGGGTCCAGTCAAGCTTTCCCGACAAGCGCGCTACAAACCACGCGTTTGCGGGATCAAATTGAGCAGCCGGTCTGTCTCGAGGCGCTTGTGTATCTTCTAGTCTCCCCTACATTCAAAGCGGCCTGCGTTACGGCTTCTTCCCCGAATAGTGCCCGAAGACTAGATCCCGCTACGTCGCTGGAAGCGCGTGATCCTCAGTTAAGGTAGCCTTGAAACAGAAGCACAGACCAGGTCCATGACGGACAGCCCAAGAGCGAAACGTCTAGTAAGAGGAGACGGCCCGAATTTTTGACTGCCCAGGTGCTTTCTCCCTGCCAAGTCAGTCAGCGAGAGCTGCTCTATCTGGAGTTCGAGCCACAAGAACGGAGCCAGCTTTCTGTCCTCGCACCGAACCACGAAAGCCGATATTAATGACGAATGAGAAGTTCCTGGGCGTTAGGGTACCATCTCCTACCATTGGATCATCTTCCCGACCGTGGGCGATAGCTTTAGTAAAATCTCATCCGGATCAAAAGAAGTCGCTAAACCTAAAAAGCATAAACGGATACAGCACTGCGTTGACCATTGATTGCACACTTTATTGACAGATGTAGTAATCCGGATAGTTGGTCGTTCGGGCGAAAGGAGGCGCATAGAACTTTACGAGTCTATCGCAGCCATAAATGAAGGTGGAATAGTCGTGGCAAAGAATTTGGTAAATGTGATGGAATTGATGAAGTTCGGGGTCTTCCGTCACCAGCTTGGACTGCCAACGCATTGCGCGTGCCTCAACGGCCTTCCAATCCCAGGTCGTTCCGCGAACTCCTGTGGTGGGACCAGGAGGACCAGCGTTGCATGATGCAGTCCGATAAGGCCATCAACCGAGATGCCGGACTCTCTATCAAAAAACTGCGGAAGATTGATACCGTACCTACCCACCTAGGTAGGTACCTAGTAAATACACAACAAGGTGTCAGGCCAGAACACGCCAAAAACACTGCATAGCTGCATCGTAAGGTTTACTTCCATAGCGCAAGGTTGCAGGCACAGTGACAAATCCTCACACGGAGATATACCATGGCAACGGATGATGATATGATGATTCGCATTATCGCGGCATCTCAAACTCCATCAACCAGGGCCGATCTCTTCGCTTAAGACAACTTCCCGAAAGTGGCGCCCATTAACGTTTCGTGCAAGGGACGACCCGGCAAAAGCCACTGTCTCATCTCGAAGGGGGCACGCCAACCAGGATGAGCAAACCGGGGGCTGCTGAAAGTAGCTGACTTCGTGGCAGGGCTACGTTTATTAGGCCTAGTTCAGGGCCAACGGGGATCAGCCAAGTCGTTGAACTCGCTCTCGCCAGGTCCGACATTCAGGCTAAGATATCTTAGTTCCTTGAGCTTGGTGAAGAACAACGGCTGGTAGGTAGGTAGATAGTCTGCCATGGCCAACGCTACCGCAGCGGCCGGCTGCTTGAGAGAACCTTGCGCAAGACGGTCTGATCAGCGTCAGGGCTGGGACAAGCCCATGGATTCGCTCCCGGACAGGCTCTTTATCGCTGCGTCCAACAATAGTGGCGACACACGGTGCAGGTGACGATCCCCTCGATCCGCCACGAGCTGCCATGCCATGGACAAGGCCGTGGGCTGACCTGGTAAAAGTATTCCGCAAGGTACTTAACAAGAGGGGGTGCCGCCAGCCGTATTCCACATCGTCTCTTCCAGGAACCGTACCTAGCCTTCTGTTGCCCGCTTACTCACCATACTCTCGTTTGTTTGATCGTCGTGACCATCACCATTCAAATAGCCAACTGCTTATTGGCCAATTCCAAGACCTGCTCAAGAACAGTCGTTGTGTAAGACAAACCTCTGCCTGTGGATTCTCAGCCAGCACTAGACTTATCGCCACCTTTTTAATCCACTGCTCGCATACGCTCTCTTGGCCGTTTCCATATCAATTTCAAAACAGAGAGGCGGATTGGTATAAGGGATTGGGAACCCCTCAACCGTCCATAATAACCTCCACATAACGAGCTCCCGCTTTCCGTCGCTCAAGGCTTGCCGTCACAGCACATAGGGGTTCGGACACAGTGTCGCTCTTGACATTTGTCCTCGACTCTGAGCTTGCAGCACCCTTACACCCATAATACACAGCCATGTCTTTCTTCAAGAGGATGAAGAACGCCAAAGCGGCGGCGGATCAGCACAAAAGGTCCGCCTCGCAAACAGAGGCTGCAAAGCCCGTGCCATACAAGCATGTCCCTACACATGCTGCTCAGGACGCCATGGCTGGAGCCCCCTCCAACTGGAACTCTGCAGAAAACAAGGCCAGAATCATTGCCCAAAACAAGAGGAGGAGCGCTATGAGTCGGTCGAACAGCGAACAAACACTGAACTCGCGGCCGCTGACGTACGCGAGCAAGAATAGCGCCAGCGACCTGTCCATCGAGTCTGTCATGCATCGTCAGGAGCAGCACTCAGCTTACCATGCCTCGTCGCACTCTCGCGCCACATCACTTGCTCAAAGTGGCTACATGGCACATGGCGGCGCTGGGAAGAAGCAGCAGCACTACTTCAACCACTCTACCGCTTCGTCAGCGGCAATGAAGCGAAGTCCGCTGTCGACGCCTTTTACCGAACGTGAGGGTATGACACATGACAGCCACTGGTCTCCTATTCCGGGCTTTGGCGCTGACGCCTCCAACAGATGACTACCCAGTCGCGCATAGTTCGTCAGGCTCTACCAAGACCAGCTCCAGCGGTTCCGGCACAACATCATCCGGTAATGCCGTCTTTTCCCTGACGCGACAAGTAGGTTTTACTGACAATGCCGATAGACATTCTGGAAATACGACCGTCCCGAGAAAATCACGGCTATGCGGAGCCACTCGCGACCCATGGCCTCCCTGCGGTAACAACCCAGGCGCCGACCGTCTCAGCTTCTTTCGCGCCTGTCCCGATTGTATCGGTGACAGCACCTGTTGAGCCCGTGCCCACACACGAGCGGAAGAGGAGCAGGAGCTGGTTCGGAAAACGGAACTCGGCGGTCGCGGCGTTCTAAGTGTCACAGACACTAAATCTTGATGAAAGTAAAAAGGGGCGGGCTCTACGGCGCAGCTCTGCCAGCACACAGATACGGGCCGGCTCATCCATCTCCTTTGTATCACGACATCTCCCCGCGTAGTTCCTTTACGATTGGCATGTACACCCTGGGCTCTAGCTACATCATGTCAGCTCTGCTTCTCCTGTACGATTTGGTATACATGGATTGCTTTATTACTGGTTGGAGTAGATGGTAACAGCTCGACCGGCTGCGGAAGAGGACGGCAGAAGCGTTGGAGCCGGATGCAACACCATCCTCTAGATAGATTACTCCGAACTACGATACTCAACCCCGCTTGAAGTGTTTCAACGATCCCAGTCTTTTCAGGAACACACTCGGGGAACAGGGTTTGGATGCAGCCGTACACGGCACCAATGATCAAGTTACCAAAATTCCCGCTCTGCGAACAGATATTCTCCGATGGACCGGCACGGATGCTCCCACGCGCTCGGGATGACGAAAAGACTATGAATAGAGCACGGTAGTGCATTCTCCATACGATGCTCCAAGAGTTCGTCCGACAAGCTATCAGGATAACGCAAGGTGCTAGTCAACTCGGGTACCAAACGTGAGCGCCGTTAGATCACCACCATCCGTGCTTGCAGAGCGGTACGGTAAGTGCGCGAATTGTTCGACTCCATGGGCAAGCGCCGATTCAGGGCTGCCTGCAGTGTCGCTCGCGCATTCGAACAAACGATGATCAGGTATTGCGTAGATGCTGCACAGAACTCCACGTGACATATCCATCCATCCATCCATCCATCCCCACGCGAAGCTGCATGTCTCCTGCACCGTGCCGTTTCCGCGCCGCCCGCACACGCAGATCTGCTGGAGACGAGACCTGACGGGAACGTTGAACCAAGCCCAAGACAGCCCAAGCGCTTCCTTCCGGCGATCTAGCCCACCACCAGCACGAACCACCACGCGTAGAAAATCCTGCCAAGCGTGAAAAGTTCAAGATGGCCACTAACGGCGGGATAAGGATGCAGTGTCTTCCCGGGCCATGCAGCTTCCTTCCCTTCCTTCTGCAACCAACCCCCGCGGTCACCATCGACGGCGGCTTAAGTGAGCGACTTCTGGAGTTTTGCGCTCGCTGAATAGGTGGAAAGCTCCAATCGATCTGTATTATTAGCTAGCGATACAGCGCGTCATAGAAGAAACAGCCAGAATTCTTTGGACGACAACGACATCGAGTCAATAGCCGACGATGGCATCTACCAGCGCCCACCCCTTCCCGGCCAAAAGCGCCGCCATCGCGCCCATCGAAGTCGACACGGCGCCCCAGATCCGCCGCAGCTTCGCGGCCTCCCGCAGCGACGAAATCGGCGACGCTGGAAATGCGACGTCGGTTGCGCATGGAGCGCCGGAGCTGGTTGCGAGCGGGTATGGGAGCATGACGACGGAGGAGGCGCCGGTGGTGGAGGAGAGGCCGAAGAGGACGTGGTTTCGTTATATCAAGACGAGGGATTTTTGGATCGTGCTTGTGCTTGGGTGAGTGGGACGGCTCGGCTTTCTTTAGAGGAGGAGGGATGGGGCTGCATGGTGGTTGCGCTTGTGGGTGGAAGGGTCTCTTGGGATTCCCGAGCCCGGGGGATTGGGATTGGGCGTACTTATTGGAAGCCACGTCTCAAGAGAGGACGAGAGGATTGGACTTTGGGTGATGCACTAAGTCCTGGAGCACGGCCTGGATCATGTCCTGAGCTGTCCGCCGATTAGTTCTGACGGGACAGGAGCCGCGAAGGCGCGACTACCGTGCCCATCCTGGCTTTTGATTGCCTGGAGTACGCAGCTAGTGACCACGAAAGCTAATATTGTTTGTACCACAGGCAAATCCTCGCTCTGTGCATCACAAGCACCAACACCTTCTCTGCTCTGCTGGCCGGCAAGGGAACCAGCATTCCCGCTTTCCAAACGCTCTTTAACTACATTCTTCTCAACCTCGTCTACACGAGCATCACCATCTATCGCTACGGGCTCAAAGGCTGGATGCAGCTGCTGTACAAAGACGGCTGGAAATGTGAGCTCCAACTGAATCAAGTCACACGCATCACTAAAGCTAACTAACCCTCGCACCAAGATTTCATCCTCTCCTTCCTCGACGTCGAAGGAAACTACTTCTTCGTCCTCGGCTACCGCTACACCACCATCCTCTCCGCCCAACTCATCAACTTCTGGGCCATCGTAGTCGTCGTCGCCATCTCGCTCATCTTCCTCAAGGTGCGCTACCACCTAACCCAATACCTCGGGATCCTCGTCTGCTGCGCCGGCATGGGCATCCTGCTCGCCTCGGACCACATCACGGGCTCCAACGGCGGCGAAGCGGCCAACCAGCTCAAGGGAGATCTTTTTATTCTGCTCGGGGCCACGTTCTATGGACTTAGCAACTGCTTCGAGGAGTTTCTGGTTAGCAAACGGCATATGTATGAGGTTGTGGGCCAGATTGGGTTCTGGGGTACGATCATTATTGGCGTGCAGGCTGCTATCTTCGATCGTGGGTCGTTTCAGACCGCGGTCTGGGACGGGCAGGTGGGTGGGTACCTCGTTGGATACACACTCATCCTCTCGCTGTTCTATTCGCTTGCGCCGCTCGTTTTCCGCTTGGCGAGCGCGGCCTTCTTCAATATTAGCTTGCTCACGGGCAATTTCTGGGGCGTGGTCATTGGGACTGAGGTTTTTGGGCTGTCGGTCCATTGGATGTATCCCATTGCGTTTGTGCTGATTATTCTGGGGCTGTTTGTATACTTTATGAGCGAGACTGTGCTCGGGGAGGCGAAGAAGCCTTGGTTGGGAGTGAACCAGGAGGCAGGAGTTGCGGGCATTGGCACGGCGAAGAGGAGAGTTGAGAGGCCCGATGCGATTGTTTAGACATGGTAGAAAGGGAGTGTCAGGTTGGATGTGTTGGACCGGAGTGGGCCTGGCGGTGGGGGTGAGTGTAGATGACCAAGGGCTACGAGCAGCTTGCAGGCTGCAAGGAGGATGTGTGCTCGCGCTTATAGTATACTCCGGAAGCTATTAGGGACAAGAACCGTCTAGGTTGGTGAGTACGATCCAGAACGCTAAGTGTTTCCGAGTGATGGAATCCTTGATGCGTTTGGCTGTCCATTCCACCGCCTCCGCGTCCGTGAGCCTACTTCATCAGATTACGTTCACGGTCCCGTTCCCAAAGCGAGCTGCTTGCAGCTGCTCGTCTAATCTACAGTCGCTCCTACATCCCTCTTGGCGTCGAATTACATCTTCGAAAGATTTAGGAGGACCGCTCCAGCTCCAACGCGTTGCCCCTGCGCCTCTCCTTCGTGTTACGGAGCTCTTTCCAGATGCAGCTTTGGAACTCGCTACAACCAACCAACACTACTACAGGACGCTTCAGATCGCACAAGTCGATCCAACGGCGAACCGCATCCCGCCCACGCAGTCGCCGCCGCGGGAAAGCGTCGTCCCAGAGCTAGAGCGTGGCGGAGACGAGCCACAGTTGGTCTCGCGGCTGTCTAATGCCTACAACGGCCGCCATGTCAAGGACCGGCAACCCGTGGTCCCAGCATGCAGCCATCTGGCCCATCGCCAAAGTTCCAGAGGCCGGTCCGGCCTAGCAGTTCGCTCTGACCAGCTACAACATGCAGCCCACTGGCTCAGAGCTTGCTTTCCCTAGCTCCCCCAGGCAGCGCTCCACTCATCATGACCTCTTCTCTATCCCCTCTCCCACGCTCCACCATCTCCCTTCCACCCCTGCTCCCCCACCACGCCACACACCTCAGCGCGCTCTCCGGCCCCATCTCCCCGCTAACCATGACCTCCCAGAACCGTGCCCGGCACACCCGTCGCATCTCCTCGTCCGCAATCGCGTTGACCAGCTCCGCGGAAAGCGGGAGCCACTCGTCGAGGGCGTCCGGGGGCAGGAAAGGCAGTGCATCCAGCAGCGTAAGCGTCAAGACAGCCTGCTCCGAGAGCGGCGGCTGCGGCACCGCGTCCACCGGTTCAGCGGCCGCAGTCACCGGAGCCGTGTCCAGCTTGAGCGGCGCAGACGACGCCTGCAAAGCGCGATGCCGCACCAGCTCGAGCAGCGTCCCCGAGATGTCCGGCTGCGCAGCTGCAAGTTCCGACGGCGGCGCCGTGATCCTCAGGAGCGTCTTGAACGCCAGCCGGAACTGGCGCGGCGACAGGTTGTGCGGAAACACAGCGAACAGCGCGTCGACGTAAAATGGAAGGTAACGAGCAGCCAGTTCCGCGTTCTGCGGCGCGCAGAGCACGGCGAGCACGACGCTGTGCGCGGCTTCGAAGATGGGGAGGAGGGTGCCGTTGTCGGCCGCGGAGAGGTAGGGCGCCGCGGCTGCGAGGAGGAGGGATTCGTTTGTCTGCGGGGAGAGGGCCAGCGTGAAGTGCTCGGCTGTGTTGAGGAAGTAGAGGTCGAGGCAGCGGTCGAGCGGGCGGCTGGGGATGTGGCCGAGCTGGGTGGGCCGGATGGCTTGGAGGAAGGCGTCGGCTTGGGCGGGGTATCGGGTTAGGATGTCGAGGGCGGTTAGGTAGACGAATGTGTATTGTGAGAAGGAATTGGCGCCGAGGCGGGAAGAGATGAAGTAGAGGTTGCGCAGGGTGTGTAGTGCTTGCGTGACGATGATGGGCGCGACGCCGTCGCTTGCGAGGACGGGGTCTCCGAGGATGCGCCCTGTTGCGCTGCGGAGGACTATTACGGTCGCGAAGAGGGCGGTCTTGAGGAGCTTCCATAGTGACGGCAGGGTTTTCTCCCGCGCGTCGTGGTGCAAGACCCTGTCCTCTTCAGACGCATCTACCTCAGATAGCTTGTTGACCCGCCACTGAGTTGTCAAAGCCCTGGCAAAGCCGGCAAGATCGTCCATCAAAGTCTGGATCAACCAAGGATCCTTGACATTTTCCACGGCGTGCGACGTCAGCCTTGAAAGAGGACCCATAGACGACACCAAAGGCCGCGATAGGATCCTCTGGATTTGTTGGTAGGATGTCGCATGAGGCGGCCAGTTGAGCTTTCCCCCAGGCATATGCACAACGTCCAGGTCGACGGCTCCGAGGAAATAGCCGGACTGGAAGCCTTCAGAAGAGAAGAACGCCGTTCCGACCAGAACCGGTAGGAGTCTGTCATAGTCCAGCTGCGCGCGAACATGGTCCGAGAGCACTGGAAACGTGTGGTTCAGTACCAATGCGACACAGTGAGCCCCAAGCTCGTCGCCGTTCCTGGCCTCGTCCAACGCGAGGTTCGTCGCTTGTACTAAGCCCTCCTCCAGCTTCGCGTGTATGCTCTTGAATAGCCCCGGCTCGTCTTGAGTCTGCAATCCCAGCAGCAGACCACCGAGCACCGTCATATGTTTCCATCTTTGGGAGCGCTCGTCGGCGCCTTTGGCGATTGCTCTCACCCACTCCTCCGGTGACAGTCCTCCACTGAGTGGTACTTGTCCTGGTAAGGCAGGTTGCGCTTCTCCATTGAGCTTCGCGACCTCGTGGTTTAGGATGGTAAGGCCAGCGGAGTGGAAGACGCCCATGAAGCGGAGACATGTTCGCAGCCCGTCCGGTCGGTCCCATATAGCAGGCGCAGTTAACAGCTGTGTCGTGAGGAGAGTGACATTGAGAGGATTCGTAAGGGTAGTAAGGAGGGATGCGGCTGTCGCAAGAACCCTGCTCGGATTAGTATCATAAGTGCCGATGCCCGCGCTTGAGGCATTACCTAGGCGTGTCCTGCTGGTCTGTGTAGGTCTGTAGAGACCGTAGTAAAGTTCCCAAGAGCCTGTCGGCAGGCATGGTCACGGTTCGCGTGCTTGAAGCTCGATCTATGGTACATGGCCTATGGAGGGAAGATGTAGAGCATGCTGTCCATGCCTCGGCTCGTGATAGGTACTGTGGTCTGTGCGGTGGTGTTTTGGCAGTTTACCTGGACGTTAAACACCAACCTTCTATTCCAGCTGCTGAAGGCGTTGCGCAGCCCCTGGGATGCCTCAGAGCGCTCGATGAGGTCAGTCAGATAAATCTCGCACTTCCTCGAACCTCAACTGACACGTCTATCCTAGCTTCTTCGACCTCCGTCTCACGGATCCCGCCCCTGCCGACTATGTAGTCCCCTTGTTTCCCTCCCTCTACTGGCCCTTCCCGGTCGGAGGCGACCAGGCAAACTACCTCTACTGCGCCTCCGACATCTGGCGCTTCACCCTAATCTGGACTCTCATCTTTTTCGGGGCCGTCCACCTCGCAACGAGCGGCTACGCCGTCGCCGTCCAGTGGAGGAGCTGGAAGATAATATGGATCGTGCCGATCGTCTATGCTGTTGTGGGGGGAATTGTGGCGGTGATTGCTGGGAGCGTTGTTGGAGGGCTGTGCGTGTGTTTAAGGCTGGATTGGACCCGCACAAGTGCTGACGATTGCTAGGCTGGGCGGCGTGTATAATGCCGGCTACTTGAGGATGTCGACGTGGATACCGTTCGTCTGGGCCTTCATCTGCACACTGGTCCTCATCCTGTCTTCCTTCGCTATCCAAGGCGGGTTATGAGCAAACCAAATCAATTTCATCAGAAAACTGCGTAGCCATAGCACAGTTAGAGGTCGAGTTGATACGCCATGGCTCTCGGCTTCGAATTTAGCAGTCTGCTCAATGCTGTCGCGTATCCCCGTCAATCTGCCAGCCACAAAGGCCATAAACTGTTCGCCAACCCGCTTGATCGCCTACTGCCCATTCTAGAAAGTGGTCGTAGCCAACCTCGACGCCGCATTCCTGGCATCCACCCTATCGTCATCCTCCTCCGCCACCCCGCCTAAACTCCCCGCCCCGCTAACCGCCCTCTTCCTTCCCTTCGCACCTCCATCTCCCTCTCCTTCTTCTTCCTCAGGCAGCGTTGGGGCCACGAAACTGCCACTGATACTCCTATTCAGCCCATCCGGCCGCCTCGGAACCCCACTCCACGCATCGCCCTTCGGCCCCTGTGAGCTCGCCAGGCTAGCACGCCGCTGTGCGGGATGCGCCTCCCGTCCCAGCCTCGACAGGCCACCGCTCGCATCTATGGCGCGGATGTCCGGCCGCACGCTTTCCAAGATGGCAAGGGTGCGGCGCTCGGCCTCGATCTCACGGACCACATACTCGCGGATGGCGTTGCGCAGGTCGGCAGACGTCCGCGCGAACCACTTCCTGCGCTCCTGAACGAGGTTGGAGGTGACGCGCTCGGCTTTCTGCTTGAGGTACGTTTCGTGGGACTTTGCTTCGTCGAGGGCGGAGATGGCCTCGTTGACTTTGTCGTGCTTGACCGAGGAGGAAGCTTTTAGTCTATCGGCCGCAGAGAGCTTTGCGCGCGTTGCGGATTGGGCTTGTAGCAACTCGCGGAGGAGGATGTGTCGGTTCGTGAGGGTCTCTTTAACGATGAAGGCGTCGGAGGAGTGGTATTGGAGGGGGTCGCCGAGGGTGGTGGCTTCGGCTGTGCCTTGTGCCGCATGGTAGTCGCCGGTTGCTTGAATCACTTTGCCGAGCTTGCGGTATGCGGTGCTAAGGCCTGGGTGTGTTTCCTGAGCGTGCATGGTAGCAAGTTTGACGCCTAAGTCGGATTCGGCGAGACCGAGACCTGCGGCCAGGTTAGCTAGGGTTGCTCATGCACAGGTGATGTGTTGCTGGACCTCTCCTAGCCTTCACAACCTTGTCCACCTTCTGCCCTGCCTCCATTGTGCCCAGGTAGAAGCGCTTGACGATGGGCCGAGCTTCCTGTAACTCTGGAGTGTCGTCCGGCGGCGGCGCAAACTGCTTGATGACCTTCCGCCGTACGCCCGTTGCCGGCTGCTTACGTCTCACCACAGGACTGTACCCAAAATCACTCTCGACGAAAAAGACCATCTCCTCGTCCCGCATCAGGACCTCGTTCCCACAGACACTGTTCAACCAGCGCTGTATCGCCGCCTTCACCCTCGCCTCGTCCTCGTCGGTCCCGACACCCGCCGAAGTCACCGGTGGCGGCACAGCAGGCACAAAGGCTTCCGGATTAGCCGATATAAGATGGTCGGCGAGCTTGACGAACTCGGAGTGTAGCCGCCTGACGTCACGGAATTGGGTGGTTCGGAATTTGGGGAGGTTAGTCTGTTTAGTGGATGAGTTTCTCAGTATCATGTACTTCATCGACGCGATGTTCAGGTGCCGTACATATACATCAAATCTCAGGATCGGGTCCTTGCGCCCTGTCCGCTCCAGGCCGGTGACTTTGGCTGACAGCCGGTACTGCGGGATGTTCTGGCGCGGCCGTTGAGGGGGATGGTAGCGCTGCGGCTCATGGCGGTGGCTGTCTGAGCCGTATGGTGACTGTTGTTGTTGTTGGTACTGTTGCTGGTTGTACCGCTGCTGCAGGGGAGAGTCTGGCTGGTTGATTTGAGCGGTAGATTCTCGCTGCCTGTGCTCCGCGTCGCCGTTCTCTCCTACGCCTGCAGTCGTGCCGCTCTCCGATAGCGGTTCGCGCTCTTGCCTAGGTTCGCTTTCCGAGTACGGCGACTGAGGGGGTAGCGGAGACGGTGGTATATCGCTCGTTCGCGGACCATAGCTGGGTCGGTTGCGTTGAGGGGAGGTCGCCCAGGGCGATGAGCCGTCCTGGTGCTCTACAGCAGAGTAATCCATGTTGTTCGCTCAATGTGTGTACGGCTCTACGGAGACCGAAGTGGGCTGTTAGTAGACTGGAGGCTGGCTGTCATGCTGCGTGAACGGTTGCTTGCAACGGAGAGGGCAGCTTGAACCGTCGTGTTCGCTAAACATCACGATTTCCCTTTTGGGCAAGCTCCCAAGGTCCATCAGACTTCAGACGCCTCCTGCTTCTCAAACACCGCCGCCATTATTTCCACATCTGAGAGACGTCGGGGATGCGAGTTGGAGCGGCATGGCGAGCCTGTCATCTACGGTTCCACGTAGCAGCCGGTAAAAGGTCGATATCCGTTTCCGCACGCCTCAACAATGTCCCTGGAACCGGGGTCCCTCCTTCGCAAGGAGACCTATCGAGAACTCGCAATATCGGCATAATAGCGCATATCGATGCGGTGAGTAAAACACAAGTCACTCTCTGGCTAGCGTCTCATCTCGTCCAGGGCAAAACTACCACCACGGAGCGTATGCTCTACTACAGCGGATACACTCGCAGAATAGGAGGTAAGCGTAGTGTTTCTATCAGGTAGCTTCTCAAAATGTTCCGCCGTATCTTCTTTCGCACCGCAGTCTTTGTCTCCGTTCATAGTCACTTGTGTCAAGAGTCACACGATCTCTCAGCTTAGTTCCATCCTTCCATCGCAGTCCACTAATCTTATTCTAAAGATGTCGACGAAGGGTCTACTGTTACGGACTTCCTACCCGCAGAGAGGGCACGTGGCATTACAATACAGTCAGCAGCCATCACCTTCCATTGGCCTACACCAGTAGATCAGCCAGTCCCGCAGCAGATCTCCAAGCCGACGAAGAAATTCAATAATTCTGTAGAGGCTCCACCTCTGGCAAGGTCATCAATACCGCACAATATAAATCTCATAGACACTCCAGGCCATGCGGACTTCACCTTTGAGGTTGTGCGCTCGCTCCGGATCCTGGATGGCGCTGTGTGTATCCTTGATGGGGTTGCCGGTGTAGAAGCGCAGACAGAGAAGGTCTGGACGCAGGCTAACCATTATCGGATACCGAGGATCATCTACGTCAACAAGCTCGACCGCGATGGCGCAGCTTTCGGTCGTACGGTGAGGGAGATCGGAGTTCGCCTGCATTGCTGGCCTGCTGTCTGCCAAGTCCCTTGGTGGCAAGACGGTAACGGCAAGCTAGTTGGTGTAGGCGATGCCGTCGGGCTGAGGGCTTTAAGATGGCAGGAGGGCGGTGATGGTAAGACTGTGCAGGTTCTCTCCCGAAAGGAACTTTCCGCAGAGAACCCGAAGCTGGTAGGAGAAATCAAGAAGGCCAGAGTTGCCCTTGTCGAGCTTCTGAGCGAGCATGACGATGAAATGGTGGAGAAGTTCCTCGAATACGGCGAAGACCACCTAGCCATCCCTGCATCGGACATCACAGAATCTCTCCGCAAGTGCGTGCTACAGTATCCGCAGAGGATTGTACCAGTGTTTGCTGGAGCCAGTTTCCGTAACATCGGCGTGCAGCCCCTTCTTGATGCTGTAGTAGATCTCCTGCCGTCACCAGAGGAGCGTCCGGACCCTGAAGTACGTGTCGGATCCTCACATGGTGGACTCCAAGATCTTCTTTCAGGCAGGATCTCACTTGCGCAAGAAGTTGCTGAGACACCAGCGAAGGGTAAGAACGCTGTCGCAGGCCGGCCTGATAAGAGCACTGTCATGCTGCAAAATCTCGAGGCCTGTGCTCTCGCGTTCAAAGTCGTCAACGATGCCCGTCGAGGAGTCCTTGTTTATGTCAGAGTGTATTCGGGATCCCTTGCACGTAACGCGGCTTTGTACAACACGAACCTCCATGTAACTGAAAGGGCGCCTCGGTTGTTGAAGATGTACGCTTCCGATGCTGTTGAGATACCAGCTATACCTGCCGGCCAGATTGGTGTCATCGTTGGACTGAAGCACGCCAGGACGGGCGACACGCTGATCTCCTACACTGGGGTCAATCCGAAGGTTGGTCCGCCGGCGCCTATCAACAGCCTTCAGCTTCGACCTATCAACGTCCCACCACCAGTGTTCTTTACGAGTGTGGAACCGAACAGTCTTGCCGAGGAAAAGCACTTATCGGAGACGCTAGCCATTTTGTTGCGAGAAGACCCTAGCTTGAACGTGTCACTCGACCCAGAGAGCGGTCAGACACATCTGGCTGGTATGGGTGAGCTTCATCTGGAGATCGCTCGGGACAGACTCATCAACGACTTCAAAACCAAGGCTGCAACAGGTGCTATTGAGATCAGCTATCGCGAAGCGATACTCTCAGCCACTTCGCTACATACCGAGCTGGTGAACCGGGAAGTGGCGGGCAAACCATCCCATGCATCCTGTACCGCCTCCGTCTCGCCCACAGATGTGTCCGCCTCAGAGGCGAGCGATCATCCATACGAGACCATCGTGCAACTGGACACCAATCAGTTGATTATACATCATCCCACACTGACCCGGTCTGGATTGCCGGTTTCTTCGGAGCAGCCCCCGCTCCCTGTGACCCTACCGTTTACAGCAGTTATCGCGGCTTTGACCAGCGGCGTATCGGCAGCTCTAGCGCGTGGGCCAGCTCACCGTTATCCCATTCATTCTGCTCAGGTTAATATCTCCTTTGATCACACTAGAGACGTCTTCGCGGACACAACGCCAGCGGCACTGTCCAACGCAGCCCGCCTAGCCGTCCAAGCGGCGCTCAAAGCAGCTTCGGTAAATGGAGGTTCCGTGCTTATGGAGCCGGTAATGATGGTTACGATTGCTGTTCCAGAAGGCGACCTGGGAAGTGTGGTCCAAGACATCAGCTCTGCAAGAGGTGGTCAAGTACTGTCCCTCGACGGGGATACAGCTGCTGAGGACTCCGAGTCGGATGGCTCTAGTCCCCCAGGCGTGGAAGACTTCCGAATCGTCAACCCCAAGAACATATATGCTCCGCCTGATCCTTTTGAAGGAAACATGTCGGACGATCATGCATACCACGATTTTGGTGCGGGAGCGGGCAAGCAACGCCAGATCACCGCACGCGTACCGTTAAAGGAGATGATAGGGTACCTTAAGCACTTGCGGTCGCTGACTGGTGGACGTGGTACATTTGTTATGACGGTGGATAGGTTCGAGCGGATGAGCGCGCAGCGCCAGAAAGCAGTGCTAAATGAGATGAGCGGAGGTTTTGCATAACGTGTATGGTAACCCGGTAAATCCTACCCTTCTTTCGGTGCAGATGAATTCAGTTTCACGCGCTACCGTTGCCACGGGTTACGCTACGCCCGTTGCTTCACAGGCTGCTACAAGCTTGGTCTGATATCCCGGTGTGTCGCCAGTATATATTCTCTCACATTCTCTCGACACTACAGAGTTATCATCGCTTCGTCTGCTCTTTCCCTCAGCTCCATCGTTGTCCACGCTTTTCAGGTTGATTCAACACTCGACATACACAGCGAATCGAGTACAAGCACCACCAGCAAAATGTCTTCAGACAACTATGTCCAACCTCATGCCTGTCCCAAGCTAGCCCTGCTACTTACCGAATACGCTATTGCGACATCCATCGCATCACACCTTACTACCAAGGACTTGCTCAATCTCTCTCGCACCTCAAAGCACGTCCACCAGCACCTTGGCGAGGATATGAGGAACTTCCGTGTTATCGCGCAGTATACGCTCTGTGATGGCAAGGCTGTCCTCGATCGAAAGCAGGCACGTGGCCACTACATAAAGCATCCCGAAAACCTGCAATGCCAGGGCGCGGAGGGCAAGCTGTGCTCAAGCTGTGGCGTCAAGGTCTGCAATGTCAGTACAAAGCCCTTTCCGTTTCAAACTTCCATTCAACGTAGCCCGCCAGTAGTAACACAAAGACAAAGGAATGCCGGTTCCACATCCTCTACCGCACCAACTACGGTACACCGAACTCCGATGGCTCGGCCAGCGCAGCCGATGCCGACAACGATGATGATGACAGCGACGAAGTGACGGCCGAGTCGACTCTGGCGCAATACGAGCACGATGCCAATGGCGCGGCCTTCCGCTGCAACGAGCGGCGCCTACAGCCCGACATGGCAGACAGGAAGCAGTATCAATGCGAGAACTGTACTTCTCTTAGCGGAGAACGCAAGAGCCATCTCTGCAGGTGCACCCCAAAATCCCAGTTCCTCGACCGCTGGGTCTGCCGCCCCTGCCAGCTTGCTGAGCGGAAGAACGGTGTGGCCGGCAAGAAGATGTACAAACTCCCGCCGAACAAGTGGACCGTCAACGAATCCAATAGGTATAGGCTTGTAAGCTACGTCGACTCCTTGTTTCGGTTTGGGGTGTGGGATTGACAGACTGAATAACAGGCAAACCCGTGCACGTGCGGAAAGGAGCTTGGCACAGCCGGTTTTCACGTCTTCTGCGCGTGGTGCAAGAGCAAAGTCTACGATGCGCTTATCGACGGAGACAGATCTGCTCGTAACGACGGGCCGGAAGATGAGACGGGGTTCGCCTGGACGGAAGACGACCTTGCCGCTACAAAGTCACGGTGCGCAAAGCCTAACGATTTGGCTTAGGTATCTCGGTGGATTAGATCGTTCCTTTGCAATAGCGGCTCCGAGTTTTCACGTTCAACGGTTGTTTGTGCGTCACTCGCAATGGTGCTGTGGTCCAGGACAAAGCATACTTGTAAGATACAGATAACTTGATCAGATTGATGGGCGCGGTACAAGGCTATAGGAACGGAATTTCCTGAACTTACTTTCTCATCATCTATTCCACAATGGCACGCGGATGAAAAAGATTGCCGGACTCTAAAAACGATCAATTGCCTACTACAGGCCACACTGATGTAGCAGATGGATCTTCGGGCATGGGGCAGCGCAATAAGTGTGTTCAAGCTACAGCTAGAGACGGAATGGCGGCAGTAAATGTCTTTAGAAACGTGGTAAACTTAATCAACTTTGGTGATTTGGGAGTGAATCGGGAGTGCGGCGATTGGCAAGTCCGGCAATTTCTGTTACCCGCGTGAATAGGAACCGTTGCACATCTTATGTTGCCATTCTCGGAAGGTTTAAGGGTCGTTCAAAAGGCCGTTGCCGCATCGTAGACGCTATCGCTGTGAAGACCAAGTCACTACTGAGCTGGATCTGAGATCTTATTGAGGGTGGAAGACCAGATCAGTCCCATGCGACAGAGACTGTAAGCTGTTTAGCAGTGTAATACTCCCGCGCATCCATCACGTAAACACGTTTTGAGCTGGGAACTGCGTTTGGATCATCCACCGTAACGTTCGCAACCAAGGTAGCTTTCTATGCGGCAATGGCTTTTTTAACTGACCCCTGGTTGTTCCTTCAAGGGACTTCTCCCGGATAATCATCCGGCCCGTAAAGAGCACGTCATCCCTCGGCATCAGCGATGAATTTGGAAAGAGTCAACCGTGAGTCGTGCCTGTCAGGCTTGCAATGGCTCAAACACCTACTGGACATTGTCGCGAGAGAGGATGACCGTCGAAACGAATGGCGCAGACCATCTAGCTGAGCAGCCGTCCAACGGGGCGCAGCGTTACAGTACGTACACTGAGCAAAATGGCTCAAATCTGGTGGAACGTTGTGCAGAGCACGGCTAACTCTCTGGTGTAGGGAGATTAGCATCGCAGCCCGAGAACCCCTTTGCTCGCCTAATACCAGACCAAACTACCGCCGTTATCCCCTCCTTCACCCTCGAATCCGGTGTCACTCTCTACAATGTGCCTGTCGCCTACAAGACCTATGGCTCGCTTTCGCCTCAAGGAGACAATGCTATGGTTATATGCCATGCCTTGACCGGTAGCGCAGATGTGGGCGACTGGTGGGGTCCGCTGCTGGGAGGGCCTGGCAAGGCGTTCGATGTCTCGAGGTTCTTCGTCGTCTGCGTCAACAGCCTTGGAAGCCCGTACGGCAGCGCCAGTCCAGTGACGGCCAAAGATGGCGATCCAGCGAAGGGCCTGTACGGGCCGGAGTTCCCCTTGACCACCGTCCGGGATGATGTGAACATCTTCAAGCTGATTCTCGATGAACTGGGCGTCCGTCAAATCGCCGCAGTGATTGGAGGGTCTATGGGCGGCATGCTTGTCCTAGAGTTTGCATACTTTGGAACGGACTATGTTAGGTCCATCATCCCGATTGCAACTTCGGCACGCTACAGCGCCTGGGGCATTAGTTGGGGCGAGGCGCAAAGGCAGAGCATCTACAGCGACCCGAAGTACGACGACGGCTATTACTCCTTCGGCGATCCTCCATCGACCGGCTTAGGAGCGGCTCGCATGTCAGCACTCCTTACCTATCGCAGCCGGGACTCTTTCGAGAGCCGCTTTGGCCGGAACACACCCGATCCTTCGCGTCGACAGAATATTAACGGCATTCAACGCCCCTCCTCCGCTGGTCACGAACACTTTGCAATCCACAACGAAGGCCACAAGAACGCTGGCTCGCCGCGTAACTCCCGCACGAACAGCACGGCCGATCTTCAGAAGTCAGCCGCACAGAGCACCAAGCCAGCTTCACCATCCCTCAATACCGACCCCGAGTTTCACGGGTCCAATACACTCCCCGCAAGCTCTCCCTCCCTGGCACCGCCCATATCCAGAACAACGTCGACCCTGACGGGCGCAACCAAGCGCACGCCAACCTACTTCTCCGCGCAGTCCTACCTCCGTTACCAAGGCGAGAAATTCATCAAACGCTTCGACGCCAACTGCTACATCGCCATCACGCGCAAGCTCGACACGCACGACGTGTCCCGCGGACGGACCGACGGGGACGTTCCCGACTCCCCCTCATCCAGTTCGTCCGTACCTGCGCTAAAGTCGGCCTTGGCGCAGATAGAGCAGCCGTGCCTCATCCTCGGCATCCAGAGCGACGGGCTGTTCACGTTTGCCGAGCAGGAAGAGCTCGCGGCCGCGATCCCGAACAGCGTACTCAAGACCATCGATAGCCCCGAAGGCCACGACGCGTTCCTGCTTGAGTTCGAGCAGGTCAATGCGCATCTGCTGCAGTTCATGAACGAGGTGCTACCAGATTTGATGGCGAGGACGCCGACAGAGATAGGGAGCGCGGGGGAGCAGGATGGGGAGCTGGGCGTCACGAAGAGCAGCACGTTTGGGGAGGCGGAGGTGGAGGATATTACTGCTTGGTGAGTGCTGTGATGTGTTTGAATGTCATGGCACGCGCGTGAGTATAGATATCATCCGTTTCTCTTCTCTCGCAGGCACCGTTTGGCAAGAGCAGGACTCAGATCTGGGGTACTCGATCAGACGTTTTTGTTGACTGGCATAGGGGTTGAGGCCGGCGGAATGGCTTTGGTAACGGGCTGACGGAAGCTTGGAGGAGGGTTCGTCTGCACTCGTCAATGGCCGGCAGGATTTATGTGGCTTCGGCAGTGGGTGATGGCGCGCAGAATTAGCTAAGCATTTGTTGGGCGTTGTATAAGTTACGTATGGCTGCAAGTACAGTGGTCAGTCGTATATCATGCTGGAAGATGAGGATGGCGATGCTAAGGTGAACTTTTAGATACGTTGAGTACTTCACAAGACCAACAGTGATTGAACAGCATCTTACATAGCTGCGCAAAGGAATGGCGTGATCTGACGGAGATGTATCTCGAGCAGCACGATTCATCAACTTCTCACCGTTTCAGATGGTTTTGAGTGTAATGAATGTACACGTGACCCAAGCCGGAGTCGCATTGTGACTGTTCCGAGAAATCTCGAGATTGGCGGAGAGAAGCGGAATGTGGCGCCAAGCGCTTGCCCGTGTCAATCTTCCAACCCCGCGTCTTCGGCTCGTTCCCCACGTGCAAGAGCCTGATCTGCCATGTGCGACGTCATCCTCGGCAATCCTCAAAATATTCCTGCAGCACATGCAAAAACGCGTCGAGTTGGGATTGTGCTTTAACGACAACAATTGAGAGTACAACAACGAGCAGGCATGGTCACAGCCACCGGTGAGGCAGGGGCGATAAACATCCGGCACGACCAGACTCGGCAGCCGCATATCGGGTTCTCAGCAAAGGGCCCAGCGATGGCTCCCGGCTAACGCGCCCCGAACCAAAGGCCTCCGCTCGTCCAGCCCGCCAGCTAGCCATCTGGGCGAGTGCGAGGCCGCGATTCAGAGCCGCCAGCCTGATGGGCGAGAGGCCAATCCGGTCCTGCGTCAACTTTAATCCTTTCGAAGAGCTGTGGCCGGCTTTCGCTCCTCGTGCCCCTCGCCGATCCAGCCTTTACGCAATGCGCCGAGGTCTGGGGGAGCTGCCTCACTGCTCGGCCCCAGCTGGACAATATGACTAGCTGTGCGCCGGCACGTTTAGGGGTGTCCCTCACTTTCCTGTTTTCCTCTAACAGCTCAATTCCGTTTACTCTACTCTCACGTTTCTGGTTGCTTCAGTCTCTGCGCCCATTATAGCTATCCGTGTTGTCGTCTGATCACGCTCCCGCACCAACACCCTCGCCGCGGAGCCTGAAGCAGTCCGGCGCGTCGGTTTGGGCCTACGAGCGTGCTCTGGCTAGTGACGCCAGCCAAACAAACACAATGTCTGCAAAAAATGTAAAGGGACCTGGCGGCAAGCAGCCTGCGTCCGCGGCGACCAACCTCATCGGTATGCGTGGTGCCTGCTCCCTGTGAGAATAAAGCGCTGATAGTTACCGTACAGCTGGCGGTGGGGCAGGTATGATGGAAGCGCTCGTGTGCCATCCCCTGGGTAAGCAGCCCCCGTCATATCTTCTTCCCCGCTCGGAAAGATGCTAACTGGGCCCTCCAGATACGATCAAAGTCCGCATGCAGCTCTCCCGGAGAGCACGAATGCCAGGCGTCAGTTCTCCCCGCTCCCCCAAATGCTCCCTACAAGAACTCCCGCCCATCCAGAAGCCCCAGACCCACCTCCAGCAAACGTCACTCCTCTAACCGCCCTACAGGCCAAACGCCGCGGCTTCCTAACCACGGGCATCGAGATCGTCAAGCGCGAGACGCCCCTCGGCCTCTACAAAGGCCTGGGCGCGGTGATGACCGGCATCGTGCCCAAAATGGCGATCCGCTTCACATCCTACGAGTGGTACAAACAAGCCTTGGCAGCCCGGTCCGGCGAGATAACCGGCAAAGCCAACTTCCTCGCCGGACTCGCGGCCGGTGTCACCGAAGCCGTGGCCGTGGTGACGCCCATGGAGGTCGTGAAGATCAGGCTGCAGGCCCAGCACCACAGCATGGCGGACCCGCTCGATGTTCCAAAGTACAGGAATGCCGCGCACGCGCTGTACACCGTGGTGAAAGAAGAAGGCGTCGGCGCGCTGTACCGCGGCGTCAGTCTGACGGCCCTGCGCCAGGGCAGCAACCAGGCCGTCAACTTCACCGCGTACACGGAGTTCCGGGCCTGGCTGCAGGACTACCAGGGTAAGTCGGACCTGCCGGGCTACCAGACCATGTTCATCGGGCTGGTCTCCGGCGCCATGGGCCCGCTCAGTAACGCGCCCATCGACACGATCAAGACGCGCTTGCAGAAGACGCCGGCGGAGCCGGGCCAGACGGCTATTGGACGCATAGTGACGATCAGCAGAGACATGTGGAAGCAGGAGGGGAGTAGGAGCTTCTATAAGGGAATCACGCCAAGAATCATGAGGGTCGCGCCGGGTCAGGCGGTCACGTTCACGGTGTACGAATACCTGAAGACGATTCTGGAGAAAGGCAGGGAGATGTTGCCCGGTGGGCAGTATGAGGAGTAGAGCTGCGCGGCTTGCGAGTTTGTTGATGGTAAGATGAGGCATCCCTCTTTTGACGGGGTGGTGCCTTTTGTATGGGGCGGAAAATCGTTATTTGTTCCTGCATACGGTTCGGTTCTCGTGGGCCAGGCGCTTGGTGTGCTTCGTTATCAGGTAGTCTATGTCTTGTTCACTCTTTCTCTATGCCGCGCTTGGACTACGGCTGGGCGATTGGATTGCCAGAGTGCTGCTTCAATCCGGATGGTCAATAAACCAGCTGCCACTCCACGAGCCAGCCGCAAGCCAGCCGTCACATCATTATTTAGATGCGGCGATCCTACACCGACGAGCTCTCAACGTTCAATCCTCTCGTCAAGCCCCCCACCAGCCCTCAAAGCACGCCCCCAGCGCCTTCTCAGCGCCTCCCCGGCCTCTTCGGCCTCGCAAACCCACTCTTGACCTCCTCCTTCGGCCTAAACTCCGCCTCGATACTCTCCGCACTAATCTCCTCCGGCTCGCTCGCCTCTAGCTTCCGCGCGATCGGGAGACCCCAATCCCTCTCGGCTAGCACTGTCACGGCGTTCTTGGTCAAGGCGTAGATCATGCGGTCTTTGATCTTGAAGGAGGGCGGGCAGGTGTAGATGAAGAGGATGGGTTGGGTGGATGTGGAAGAGGAGGAGGAGGAGGGATCGGAGTGGCGGTAGAAGGAATAGCGGGGCTCGGTGGAGGAGATGGAGGAGCTGAGGGAGGAGGGGGAGGCGGTGGTGGTGGAGTCGAGATGGAGCGTTTCGGTTGGGATGTCGATTTTCTGTTCCGTCGCGTTAGCTGGAAGAACCACGACACCGTTCTCTTGCATCTCGTAGGCGCCCTAGGAGAAAGACCTACCAACACGACCAGATTATCCCCGTCCCCCTCTTCCCCAAGCCCCCTCACAGCCTCTTCAACCCCGTCCCCGACATTAACCGTCAAATGCCCGCCCCCAACCCTCTTCCTCCCGCCCGTGCCCCCCGCCTCCCGCGCCTCCGCCTCTTTAATCCCCTCCAGATTCCTCTCCTCCTCCGTCAACGGCCGCTCCGCATTCCCATGCGCCTCATGTCTCTTCCAGCCCGCCTCGCTCAGCTCCTCGGCCTCAGTAACGAAGAGGCTCTCGCCGAAGTTCTCGGAGCCGAGCTCGCGGAGGAGGGTTTGGCGCGTGGAAGCAAAGAGGGTTTTTTGGCGGACCGGCGCACGGTCGGGGATGTATGCTATGGCGACAAAGCCGCCTGTAGCTGAGGAGGAGGGAGACGAGGTGGTGCTGAGGGATCTGCGGAGCAGAATATAGAGCGCGGCGTCGGGTTTGAGATGCGGGGCGAGATTTGCCAGGTCGGCGGTAAAGTTGGAGGACGTGGAAGGAATGGTCCTAACGGGGACGAGGGCCTCGTCGGATATGCTTGCTAGGAGGCCGCGCTGGGTGGGCGTGGAGAGGAGGGTTTGGAAGGCGGTGTGGAGTTCTTGGGAGGCTGCAGTAGTGGTTATTTAATTGGGGATCTCATATTGAGGGACGAGATGGATGGAACAGACCTGTTATGCCGGACTGCATCTTGTTGTTGGGTGGTGTGTTGTTGGTATAGTGTGTTACGGAGATGCGTTGTATACGAAGTGGGGTGTTGTTGACAATGGTAGGGCATCCGCAGTTGCATGTGCCTGAGCTGCCAGATGAGGTTTGATATACTTTAAACAGCCGAACAAAGTATTGTACACCACGCACTTTCGGGCTGTATCACGCCGTTAGCAGTAGGGGGTGAATTGCCGACATCCATCGCTGTGCTTTTCGAACAGCTTAATTGCCGAGCACTTTAGCAGCTGAGAGCATTGGCTATTAAGCTCGTCTCGAAACAAACGAAGTCTCCCACCTCCGAGATCTTTGGCTGCCAGGTTCATTCTGAACCGAAGAGAACCTCCCGCGTCCGAGTCGACCCTGCTGGAGGTAAATCGCGGTTCGGAGGGCGTGGCACTACTTCGAAACGCGTAATGAAAGACGACGGTACACAAGGTGTTCTTTTTTAGCTACGCTCTTTCGGTTACTTACGCACACGTTGTTACAACCTCCAGCCATCACTTTTGTTCCTTCGACTTCCCAGAGCTCGCCCTGAGCCATCTATCTTATGTTACACATGCCAGTGGGTACTCGATGAGGGCACAAACGGCTCAAACTCCTGCCCTGCCGCGCTGAAATGCAAATAAGAGAAAGCCGCAAAAGAGAGCATGACAAATAACCAAGGCTGTTCGCCTTTGAAAGGATGATAGAGCTGTACGGGGTCCCGTTGCGCCGAGGGAAAGTAGAAACTGATAACGCCAAACCATTTTCTATGCTGTGACCATCCAACACCTTCTTTCCTGGTCCACACTTGCGCCGTGGAATGATAGATCGTCCGTTCCGGAAAAAACCATGACGTGTCTGGCTTGCTGATGATTGCTTTTGGTGAAATGTGTCCGTATTGGACCTTCTACTCTACGAAACTGGAGTTCCCTATTGTGCCGGTCGTGGCTGGTGTCGCCTCTATAGCCGCTGTCTTCTGATTCGCAGTCAGCTCGACGCCCGTCAGGCCTCGGCATACTCCCAGACCAGGGCGTAGTGCATTGGCGCTTTTGCCGTATTGGCCAAGACACGAGCTCGACACCACAATGATGCAGCTTCAACCCCGGACGATCCGAAGAGCTATTCAGCCGCCCTTGCGTTCAGCTTCGTTAGTTGGCATCGTCTGGCCCCGTGGCTTGATCTCTGCTGCACTCTTATTTGCCCCCGACGATGCGTGCTTCCGTCCACCTTTTCTGCCAGCCTTTGGTTTCTCCCAGCCATTGACATGCGAAGCTGCGGACGCGTTGTCTTTGCTCGGCTTGTCACCAGATAGAGGCCAACCTTTACTCGGCTGATTGGATTGCGAGGCGGCGTCTTGGTCTTTCAGCGGTATTGTCGGAAATGGCTTGGTTCCAATCCCGTTCGGCATGTTACTGTGTAGGTCAGGCCCGTTCATAGGACGTTCGGTGCTTGCTTCGAATTTCCTGTTCGCCGTAGGTGGTGGCGTTCGAGTTTCAATAACTGGTGAGAGCAGAGGCATGTTCGTTGACGGGCTGTCATGTGATGCTGTCACCGAGCTCTTCGAAAGGTCCAGGGGCTTTGGGTATGTTTCCCGCAATGAATCCGCCGGCCACCCAGGTTGGTGATGCGACTTAGGAGACAAATTCTCTTGGTATCGAGAGCTATCTTCCTCGGCTCCGGATGGAGCGCCTAGCGGGAGAGCCTCTGTCAAAGCCGGGAACCGATCGCGATGCCCAACGGAGGAAAGGATTTCCGGCTGGATTGCTTTGATTGGGCTGTAGCCAATAGCTTCATTCCTGACATCCAGGGTCGGTATCTGTCGAAACACGGAATCACCATTGACAGGAGGCTGCTGTGTTGACCCTACAAGGTTATGACTGTGCGAATCTTCTTGCAGGGAGGATTGAGATGCGTGATCACCCAAAGCCAGGGCATCAAAGCTCTCACTGATGCTGCCAATGTCTCGTGACTGCGCAGATACCCAAGGAGAGGAGCCATTAGCGATCGCAAGACCCTGTGGTTGCCTCGGCTGGACGGAGTCTGCTCGAACGCTTCGTGGTAACGCCGGTGGCGGCAACGGTGCAGAGGAATTGTCCGTCGAGTAGTATCGAGAATGTCCTAGTGGAGACGGAGATCTTGATATTCTCCTTGGAGACTCGCCCATCAAAGACTGTCCTCTGTCAGGACTGAGCCTATGCCGGCGTGCTGCATGTTCCCTATAAGGAGGGATTTGCGGCACTGCAAACTGATGGAACGGCGGACGAGCTCGAGAGGAGTTGTCAATTAAATAGCCAACATACTCCCGTGGCATACCATAGTCACCAACTGGGCTACCGACGGGGTAGTTGGAAGCCGCATTCTGTGCCATGTCTACGTTGCTCTGAACCGCATGAGCTTCCTGATAAGACCCTGCGGTAGGGTAACCAGCCATGACAGTCGAATCGTACACCGGTACCGATGGGTATCCCTCAGCAACGAGATGGCCGATGACCGTGCGCGCGGGCTGTGACTGAGATCTAACAGAGGCGGAGGGGGATTCAGTAGCCATTGACGGGCGATGCGGCACTCTTCGAAGAGGCACACTAGCGGCTATTGCCGGCGACGACGGATTTGTCCTAACACCTTCTCGAGATGATGACTCTGATGTTGACTGTGCTTGCTCGAAGACTGCCGGATAATGGTAAAGAAACCCAGGTACCAGTGGCGCGGTTGCAGGGGGATTGTCTAAAGCATGAAGGCCAGCGTGGCCGTTCAGGTACGGTGTCTTCTGCGGCGAGCCGTTTGTCGTGTTGCTATGCCATGCCAGTCCCTGTGAGGCAACTTGAGCATGAGCCTGTGTATGAGCGAGTAGCTGCGCCTTCTGCCTCTCCAAGAGCTGGTACTGCTGGTACAGTTGATTATGGATGTCCCCACGAGCAAAATACTCGGAGCCAAGTAGAGAAATGGGTGGGCTTTGTGGGTTCGAGTATGGAGGATTTGGATATCGAGGGTTCCCGAAAGAGGCTCCACTGGATGCTCGCCGGAAGCCATGATTGTGCTTCTGATTGAAATTGCTTTTGCCGCCTCTTGAACCGCCCCCCGAACGGCCCTCCCTTGTTGGCAAATCGCTTTGGAGCAACACTGGTTTCGCTGCTTGCACTGGTTTGATAAAGGTAACCTTTTCCTGTGGAGGAAATTGGTATTGCTCGCAGCAAGCGTCAAGTTGACCTCCGTCGGCTAACAGTGAGAACGCGCGCCGTATCTCAAGATGGATCCCACGAGAAGCAGTCTCATCAGCGGAGTTGCCGAGGTTTCTTGAGGTGTTAAAGGGCTCCTCAACGCAGATGCGGTTGCGAGCCTCCTTAGTCAGACTGTTGATGTCCCAACCTTTCTCTTGCCTTGTAAGCAGTCTACCGTGCCTGACAGACACCACTGAAGCACCATAGTCGATCTCGTGGCCGTACCTCCGGAAAAAGTGGAAAAGCAGCTGCCCCAAGGTCTCGGTGTTTGCGCTTCCGATACCACGCAAGGCATCTAGGTCGTCGGCAAAGTCCGAACTTTGTCCGGTTCCGTTTACGGATCGATGATCTAGTATCTGGTGGAGTGCAGGTAGGATTGGAGGTTCACGAGTCTGAAGAAAGTTCAAGATCATGCATATCCAGGTGTAAGAACTTAGCGTTCCGCCAAATGCTGCGGTGAACATTGATCAGCGGCGAGCGATTAAACTCTACTAGAGGCTGACATACCTGCATCATTCAGAATCCTCCGACTCGTCCAGTATTTGATGATCATAGCCAATGGCCGCACCCTCTCGTCTATCTGTACATATGTTTTAATCATACGCGTGTTTTCCAGTGCAAGTGTGTTGTTGACGTTCATATCGCATGCAAGCCTGAGCTCGGGGTCCCATATCCTCACTATTGGAACTTTGGCAGAGGGCACGCATACGACCTTCTCCATGCCATCTGTACCTGGGTCAGTACTGTTGACCGCCGGGTTCGAAGCGGCGTCCACTCACGTTTAGCGAGTGCCTCAGCTAGCATGTGCACGGTTTCAAGCTTCTTCATCGGCGTTTGAATGCAAACGTCGACTGGCAATGTGCGTCAGCATCCATTGTAGGCAGTATAGCCATGTGAAACCCACCATCAGAATCGCTTGTGCAGAGCATGTTGCCAGAAGATCCAAAAACGTGGACTTGGAAGTCGGTCCCTGGCCACTCTTCCCGCAGGATACGCTCCAGCTTTTTGACGAATTTCCTTCTTCTTACATCACTTTCAGGCGAAGGTAGCAGCCGATCGTACAGCTCTCGCATATCATCACTGAGCTTGCTCTCCTCGGCCGGTTCAAGTGCTGCCTTTGGTTCTTCCCCCTCTCTTTCCAGCATCTCCGTGCCAATATCGTATGGGATGCGCCGTCTGCCGAACGCTGCTGAAGTTTCAAATCTGCATCCACCACGTGGCCGTAACGAGGGCAGTACACCGTTGGCTTCGGATGATACAGAGCGTGGTGAGTGGCTTCCAAGGCCATTATGGGGTGAAGGTGACCTGGAGCGGTATTGAAAGTCTCTGGCAAGCTGGACTGGTGTGGATGGCACGGAGTTCGAGTGGTGAGAGACTAATACAGGTCGTGAAGAGAGCGGCTGCCCCAAGCGTTCATACTGCTTTCCTGCCATGTTCGCGATGTTCCTCAGCGTCACCGACGGCTTGTCATTCGTAACGCTTTGCGCAACTCGCCTATTCCCATCGAATGTTTGTCGCGTTTGTCGCCACTCGGTGTATGATTTCTTTGCGGGTTTAATATCCGGCTCGAACGCCTGTAACACGTCTCTCTGCTGTGAAGACACCGTGACGGCTGTTCCTAACGTATGCGAAATGTCTTCTGGGTGGCGCCAGTAGCCTTGAGAGGGTGGCAGAAGCGGTTGGTGGACTGTGGAATCCGTTGGAGTGAGTCTGCGGGCGGAGACTTGACAGCTGACTGTCGCTACAAGTTGCTGTGATGGCGCTGAGCTGCTGCACTGTCGCTTTAGACCCGGTCCGAACGAGCCTGTGAGTAGTCGGTAAGAATATGCTGAGGTCTTTTCAGGCCGTTGGGAATCGCTCATACGAGCCTCCAGCGGTCAAAGGTACTGCGGGATAGCGATGGTATGGGGGAGAACCACGGGCGGTAATCGCAGGAAATCGTCGTGTCTTTCGCAAGTCGGACCTATTCGTGCCTCCTACTGGTGAGAAGAGGCGTAATGGAACCGTTGGTTGTAGTGTGCTGTAAGAAATGTGCGCGGCGAATGCTGGTTCAGGTGCGAAGTGATCTCCCGCTCTCAGGAACAGGGACGGATTGACAACGGCCACATCCAGGTCAAGGCGGGGGACAAGCGCGAAACAATGCACTTCTGAATGATGCAACGACTTGCTTCTGCGACTACCGGACAGCAAGACATTGCTCGAATAGGAGACTACAACGGGCCAGCTGTGGTATGCGGCGAGGACACAGCAGATGGGCAGCGACGATCCTGTGGGCGTCTCCTACTCCCAGCACCAGCCCGACACAACAAAGCCGCGTCTCAAACAAGTCAAGAAATTCTGTATGGGGCTCAATCATTACCAAACTCAGACTAGCATCACAGGGGGAAGGCATAGTATTATCTCCTCACAGTCATCGATACACACGACCTTTTTCCTTCGAAGATGAATCCAAACAGGCCGGTGCGCCATAATTCCCTCAGAAATGGGGGATCACGACGCACCCCGAAAGCCCATCCCCAGCCGGGACTCCTCAAGCAGTACCCGAACGAGTCCGTCGCTTATACTGTTCCACAGAGTGGACCTGATTCCCTGAGGAGTAGCTGACATACGCCGCAGCTGGACAGACGGGGGGCTGAACCATCCATGCCAGCTGAGGTCGAGCACCGCCAGCACCCAAGAACAAGACGTTGAGTGGTCTCACTTTGCTGAGTGGCTTTGTACCGTCGTGCTCACCAACAGTTAGACTAAGGTTAAACTACGGTCAAACACTGCTGTCACTTGCTGTAGCCCTAGATACACAGCTTTCAAGATGCCGGCCTGGAGCACTCTCGTTCTAGGCATGCTCGTTAGAATCTGTTACTGCTGTTTTCTCGTATAGCCAGTCTCATACCCGGCTTAGGGTTAGCTTACTAGGTTTATGCCGGCAAGTGTCAAAAGGCTGTCGCCGGGTCTTGATTGAGCTGGCTACCTTTCTTTAGCTTGCTTTCTCTTACACTTGTCATCTTTCCCAATGCCTCGTGCGTCATGTGCGATGATTCTGCAGTCTAGTCTCATCACTCGAGCCAAGCGGACCGTTTTCTTAGCTTCGTTGAAATGCACAATACACAATGGGATTGTGCGCTGACCCGTCATTCAATGAGTACGAACTTTCCTATGGGCCTACTTCCAGTAATTCAGCACTACGACGCGCTATTCTCTACGAGCTGCGAGGCTCGACTTCCCTTAAGAGTTGTCCGAGATTTTGAAATGGCTCTACGGCAATCCTGCGGGGCCGCCACGGGTTCATGCAGGTAGGCACAGAAAGGCGGGCGGTAGGATTGCCGCCTACACAAAAATTGTGCCCTTTGCTATTCAATCATCGGACATGTTGTGCAGGCGTATGTAGATAGTCTATGTGGCTGTCGTTTGGAGGCTGAAAAAACGAGACATGGAAGCCCGCCCTACCCGCGTGCCAAGGACGATCGACCCCGCGGTCCAACGGCTCCATCCGAGGCTCTCGTCAACACCGGAGGGCCTGACAACGTTGAACCTCTCGAGTGTTGCATATATTTGAGATACATCAGTTCATAACTACTACAGTCACCATGGCGAAGCCGATGCGCCGACTCAGTGGGTCATTCTGATGTCTTAAATGTCCGCTTGCTCACCTATACATATAGTGAACCCCGCGCTCTTGTATGATGTCCTGCATACCTACCAACAGGGTGTTTAACAGACGCTCATACTGTAACAAGCATATGCGACTTGCAAGAAAAGTTTCGGCCCGCAATCTACGAATATCCCAAAGTCATAGCGACTACGCAGAAGATGCTCAAAGCCTGTATGTGAGCCTACCGATGCGCTTCGCGACCACACCGAACGCACCTGTAGAAGCATATACGGCCCAATTATCCATCCAAGCAGGGTCTAACTAATCTCGCACTCTAGGCAAGATCCTCAATATCCCTGTTTTTGCAACAACTCAGAACAAGTCCCGACTCGGCGAAACCTGCGAAGAGCTCGGCCTCGACAGCCCCGATGGCATTTCCACCAAAGTCCACGCCGACAAGACAGCGTTCTCCATGTGGTATGGCCGTTGATATGCCCTCCTCACAGCCAATAATCTGAGCAACCACCTGCCGGTCCGTTCGTTTCGCCTTGCAGCTACGCTGACCATTCCTCATTATACCAGGACACCCGAGGTCCGAAAAGCGTTCGCCGATCTCCCACCCACCACACCACCGACGGCGAAGCGCGAGTGCATAATCGTTGGCATCGAGTCCCACATCTGCGTCACACAAACAACACTGGACCTACTGCGTGAGGGTCACAAGGTCTACGTTCTAGCGGATGGTGTAAGCAGTTGCAACAGAGAAGAGGTGCCGATTGCGCTGGCTAGGCTGCGGGCGGAAGGCGCGGTCGTGACGACAAGCGAGAGCTGGATGTATGAGTGCATGGGAGACGCCGGGATTCAAGAGTACGTAACCTATAAACCCTCCTTAGAGGCGGAAGTTGGATTGCGGCTTTTGTATGGATGGAAGCTGGCGAACTAGCGCTAATGCTTCGATTGTCTAGATTCAAGGAGATCGCCAAGTTGGTAAAGGAGACGAAGGATAGTACGCAGCAGTCGCTGCAGACGCTGTGCAAAATATGAATGTAAATGCTTAGCAATGGAGCCGCGATCCTGCAGCAAAACTCAATCAAGCAAATGTAAACAGTGTCGCATCGCTAGCTGCAGGGGCCAAACCCTAATGATGAAGAAGGTGCTCTCGAACGTCAATAGGTTGAAGCCCTATGGCGTCCTGATCAACGAGCGCTTTTATCAATATTCCGTGTTCTATAATATTATTTGTTTATATACCCGTGAAAACAATCACAATTTCCCGGCGAATAAGCAAGCAAAGAAATGATTGTCTTCACGAATTCATAATTATGGCTGCTGTGTAAAACATGAAAGGCGAACGAATCCCCACGTTCAATACCGAAACCCCTTTGGCATGCGTAAATGAACCGGCGTCTGTATCTGCTGTCAGTGTGAGATTGTTCTCCAGCGCAATTATGGCGTGTTATAAATATTAAGGCCTTTCCTGCAGTGAGGCTAGATCTGTGGTGGCGCTCTTGGCCGCAATTGCTGACCTCGAAATACGATGTCTCCGCATTCAAATGTCAGCCGATACCAACCCGTCTGAGAATCGTGAGTTATTCAGCTGCGTATAGCAAGCCATTGAATCATGGATCCTATTACTGTACTAGGTCTCATCGCTACCATCGGGGACATCGTTACTATTATCTACGACTATGGCAGCGCCGTTAAAGGTGCAGGCAACGACATCGCTAGCCTGTCCAAGGAGCTATTCGCTCTGCGTGGAGTCCTGGAACACATTAAAGCGCAAGAAAAAGCCGTGATGAAGAGCTCCGATGGAGATTCTACGGGAGCGTCCGCTCAACTTTTCGGATCGAAAGAGTTCAAGAGCATGCTCCGGTATACCAATGACATCCTGCAGGAGCTGCTTTGCACCCTCGAGATCCCAAAAGGGAAACTCAAGAAGGCCATACACAAGCTGAGCTGGCCCTTCACAAAAGAAGATGTGGACACGCAAGTCGCCAGCCTCGAGCGGGTCAAGACATGGTTTATTCTGGCAATGATGACCGACAGCCTGTCAGTGACCCAGAAGATTTTCACGGAAGTCTCACAAATCGCCAAGGCCATCAAGGAAGAGCATAAAGATCGGCATCAGTCGAAAAACGATGCGGCCAAGCAGGAAGTGCTTCGCTGGTTGGCTCCTGTTAATCCAGAGGCGCTTCACCACAAGGCATGTAAAGCTCGGCAGCCTGGTACGGGCCAGTGGTTCCTTCAAGGACCGCTGGTTACTTGGCAGAATGCACCCGCCGGCCGTAACCCTCTTGTGTGGTTGAAGGGAAAGTCAGGGGCAGGCAAAACTACTCTCATGTGAGCCATTCTTCTCTGCCCGGGTGACTATGCTGGAATCGGCCGTGGGGAGCCGCTGACCGAGGTGACTGACCGACTGGGTACAGTGCCCATGCTATTGAGAACATCATATCTAAGAAAGGCGACGACCCATCAGCTGGTATTGCGTACTTCTACTGCGCCTTCGACAATGCGGATTCGCAACAGCCGGCAAGCGTTCTCGGTGCGCTGGCAGCGCAACTTGCAGCTAAGAACCCGGCTATGCTTGAGGAATTCCGGTTGCTGTATGAGAGAGAGAAGGGGCTGGACTCCTCCAAGAAGCCGGAGATGGCCGAGCTCGAGGCAGTGACCGTCAAGCATCTCGCCGCTTTCTCGTCCATTTTTCTGTTCATTGATGCGCTGAACGAGAGCGCGCACTGCAACACCTTGATCCATCTGCTATTGAGGTTGCTAAAATCAGTGAAGAACCTGCACATTCTAGTGTCGAGCACTGTAGTAGCCGAGACCACTCCAGCTGCGCATTATCCTGACATGACTGAAATAGACATGAAGTTTGATGCGGTCAAAGAAGACGTCAAAGTGTTTACGGAAGCAAGGTTGAAAGAAGATCCCATGCTGGCTGGCCTTAGCGACAAGCTGAAAGCTGACATCAGGAAAGTGATCATTGACCGGGCTTCTGGCTCGTAAGTCTACTCTATAGCGCCTGTCACTTCGAAAGGCAAGTTGACATTGAACAGGTTCCGCTTCGCTCGCATGCAAATAGACCACCTGAGTAGCCAAAGGACCGGCAGACTCATTCGGGAAGCACTACAGCAGATGCCTGTAGACCTCAACAGCACCTATGTAAGCATGCTGAAGAGAATCTCGCCGGCCGACCGTGTCATGGCCCGAAGAGCTCTGCTCTGGCTGTCCTTCTCATCGCGGCCCCTTTACCTGTCCGAGCTTTGTGAAGCGGTAGTGCTCGAAAAGGACGACACAACGCTTGACAGCGATAGCCGACTCCAGCAGCCTCATCTTGTACTCGAAATCTGCAAGGGCCTTGCGGATTACAACTTAGAGACTCGTCAAGTCACGCTTGCGCACTCATCCATCAAAACATTTCTCACGTCCGAAGCAATTCGCACCTCGGAGGCAAGTTTCTACACGCTCAACCCGCAATGGGAGAATCAAACCATTATGCGAAAATGTCTCGGATACCTCCTCTTTACAGACTTTAGGAACGGCGAGAGTCGAGCTGATCCCCGAACCGGTGTGTATTGGCATGAATTTCCTCTGCTTAGCTATGCGACAGTATACTGGCTCCGTCACGTCAGCCGCGAGAAGATCGGAGCGCGCGATTGGGAGCTCATCTCGCGCTTCTTCGACACCAGGAAGCTACCTAACGGCGGCAACTACGCCTGCTGGCTCCAACATCTACTCCAGAGCCATGATCCGAAAATTGCTGAGCGGACGGAACCGCTCTACTATGCTGCGTCATACGGCTGCCTGCCGCTCGTGAAGAAGCTGGTCGAAACGAATAGCAAGTTGGATATTAACGCGAGAGGCGGTCGGTTCGGTGATACGCCGCTACATATAGCCTTGTATCGCAAACACTACGATGTCGCCAAATTCCTCCAACAGGCTGGAGCGGATCCCCGACCGCCTGGGCCTATATTGTTAAGTCTGCTACAGAAGGGCAAGGGCGGAAAGACGGCATAGTTCTGCTGTAGCTTTCTGAAGAATGACGACAGTCAACTCTGTGTCATTGAGGTTAGCCAGCTAGCGATTCAGGCGCATCCGGACGTGTGGTGGAATGGGAGGAGAATATCGTCCTCGTCGTTACTCCAGCTGATGACGACTGCTCCACCTTTCTCTATCCAGCGTTCGATATCGACCAAGCGAACTGCCCGATGTCGGGACTGGCATGCAGAAAGTGTTTCCGGGATAATTTCCGGTTGGCTTAGACTTCCGGCCCAGTTCTCTTCATGGACAGAGAAGCGGAGGCTTTCCGAAACCTTGAACTTCGCGTCTTTCTGTAGGATCCACATCCATACATACGCGAGAAGGCATTTCATACGAACCAATCAATTACTTTAGGTTCACAAGCTGTGACTGTAGTTAAGCACATGCTGATTTTTCCATGTCTGTATACTTGCTTCAGGACGTTTCAGAACTGGAGAGACCTGTATAGTATGACACGTTTGGGTTCACAGCGGATACGCTAGAGCGAGAGAACATTCAAGATACCACATCATCCAGCAACAGACTGCTGCATCCCTCAACCATAACTACTGTGCATGACACAACCAGACCGTCATCGCGAGCCCGCAAAAGACACCTCATCAGAGACCACCACAGACAGCTGGGACCCCACAACAGCCTGCGTACTCTCCATCACCTCCTTAAGCGCAGGCGAGAAAGACTCGGCTGTACTCGACTGCGTATGCTCGGTCCAACCTAGTAGCACAATACCACACGGACCCGCAACTGGACTCTTGCTCTGACTGGAAGCCGGGCTAGCGGTCGGCATTTTCGGCAAAGCATTCTTCAAATCGAACTTCTCGACCAAGGTGGACTGTGTCGGATCGGAGGCGCGATACTTCGCCGACGCTATGTCTTGGTCGCGCTTTTCTGATGCTGCTGACGATCTGCACGCCTTGCTGGTGGCAGTTGAAGAGCTGCCACGGGGCGTAGAAGGTGCAGCGGTAGTGGGTTTGGCTACGTCATGGATGCTCTCTGCTTTGCTGGACGGCAGAGTCGAGGCGACAGTAGGCGGCGAAGCCTGAGGAGGGGCCATCATGAGAAGCTGCTTGACCTTCGAGGCAGGCAAGCTGCCATGATGCTTATCTGGCTCTGCTTGTGCATGTTCGGGTCCCTTAGCTGTTTCATTCGCGGGTCTGTAGAATCGTGAGTCCGTTGTTTTCCTTGCCAGATCGTAAGTTGTCCTCAAGCATTCAAACAGACTTACCTTGACATACGGCGCAGGTCATGGCTTCCAAGTTGAATCCGTCCCGGAAACGAGATGCCGTTCTCCTGATGTCCTACTCGGTTCGGAGCCGGTTCCTCGTACACCCAAGCGTGGCGATTGGGGTTGTGCTTCCTTGCTACAACGTTGCCAGGCTTCCGAGGTAGCGCATACGGCTGTCCTCGATTCACTGCTCTGTTCCAAAGGGCAGCTGTGTCTTGCGGACGTGGGCGGTTGCGACATTCTCCTTTCTGATACCCGTGGTCCGCTTGGTCTTCGTTCTGATGCATATGATCACCGAGCGGTGCGCGTGGACGAATGGGCGATGGCGCTGGGCCAGCAGGCAAGTCGGATCGGTTCGAGCTCTCGGATGACCGCTCACTGCTCTCACGTTCTTCATATCTCACCCTGTCCGACCTTTTCTGGATCAATACGTTGATGCGGGTTGGCTCTGGCCTTGGGGTATATCTTGGATGGTGGCCGCCGCCTCGCATGCCCACTGGATGTCGAGGAGGCTCGCATTGGCGCCTACGAATTGGTGCGATATAGCTGGGCCTGGGTAGTCCTTTCTCGTTGCCATGGTCCGTCTTCTGCCTCTTTCCGAAACCCCGACGAACGATCCAGATCAGGAGGACACATAAACCCAAAGCGCCAAGTACACCGGCCAGGGCAATCGCAACGGTAACGGTGCCAGACGTGCCTTCGTTGATCTCCTGCAGGTTGGTGGACATGGGTAAGGTACTACGTCGATATCCAGAACTGCGTCTAGAGAGCCAGTGGCGGCGACCTCAGCATTTTGTGTCTTCTTCTCCATTGTTACGTTAGTGGGATAGCACGCGCGGAGTGTGATGTTTGTCGACCCTTTATGTGTAGAAAGTGGGAAGCGCAAACAGTGGTGCCCGTGGTTGAGCAAACGGTTGTTTGCATATGACGGGTTCGCGTCAGGGCGGCCATTGGCTGGCTACAACGCGTTTGGTCTTGCTTTTCAACACAGCGGTGTAGTACATGAGGTCAATAATGGTAAAACGTCGTTTGTACAGAGCTTGAAGGCCACAGAAAGCAATCAGGTTCAAGGGCCCCACAGGAAGCCTGAGGAATGGCCCGGCATAACCTACTCACTGCCAACGGCGCTTGCTTGGTTGGATCTTCGTGCAGCTTCAATCCCATGAACTCGAGATCCTGTGCTGTTGAGGAAGAGCATGAGCAGCCATGCGTAAGCAATTGTCTTAGGACTAAGAATAGACAGGGCGGGAGCCAGTTTACTTTCGGGCAAGATAGAAGCTGAGACACTGAAGGAATCCGAGTCATACGCCGATTGAAGTCAACGGTTCGATTGGCCTTACAACGATCCTCGCGATCGCCAAGAAGGCTATAAGTACGGAGTGTCGTGAGGGGGTCAACGGTGCAAGGAAAGCTTCCTGGGGAAACTGGATACGAGGTTTAAACGTGCCTGACGATCGGCGCGACACGCGACGACAACGACAGGCGCATCTCCTTGGGACTCCTGATGTTCCATTAATCGTGATAAAACGTTACTCCGCACATGTGGCGTAAAGGTAGTGGTGTGCAGATGTTCTATTCATGATAGCCGGGTCGCGGAAAGGACACCCGGATGGATAAGTATTGGTTCGGTTACACGAGAGTAGTCTGGGGTAAATGGTGAGAGATCGCCCTTAACTACCACATGAGGCGCACCAATAGTGAAAAGTCACTAAGAAAGCCGTTGCGATGAAATGATGCCCAAGGGAGTAAGCCAGGAGCTGCAGATGGTTGTTTTGGAGACCGTTGTGGTGTAAGCCAGGCTGATGTGGCGTCTGATACGACAGCCTCTGACGACGACCATGTCTTTAGTCAGAGCGAGTTTCTTTCCGTGTGTATCTTGTTTTCTCTGCCGTTTTGAAGCCACTGCAATCTGAGGCAATACCCCCGTTGCTACGGTGGTATATCGCTCCTTTTCAAGATATGTTAGTGGGAGCCATTCCTGCCAGGCGGGATGCGCTAGAAATACCGATCAGCACTTCGAGAACGCCTGCGGCAGCCAAGGGACCTTTGATCCATGGGAACAACGAGATTAGTCAGGTTGTAGAGGCCCAAGGGGTGCTACTCATACAGCATGAGTTCTTGACACGTTAGAGGATGCTCGGGGCTGGTAGTCTGTTCTGTCAACCACGGCAATGGGTGGATTGGCGAGTGGTGCACCAGAACGACTCCTTGACCGTTCAAGGTTGCAGTGGGAGCACTCACATTGCCGGTCAGCACGAGGAGCGATCAGCAAGTGCCGGACAGCGTGGTGGTGGTGGGGGAACCTTGCGGGAGCGATCAGGATGGCATCATTTCGCACGAGGTCGAACGTGCCGGGCCCTGCCAACGCCATGCCATGTGCGAAAAGATCGTCGTCGCGCGAGAGATCATCGCAACCTTACTGCAACAGCAGCCGACGTCAAACAACCTCAAAGCCAAATCGACGCTGTTCCGCTCTTCATCGACAGGCTGAACGGCAGGCGTCCGCAAGCAGAAGCTGCTCCGCGACTCGACGACCAAAATTACGTATTCAAAAACAGTCAATTGCTTAAACCCGTGACTCGCGCTACGGCGAGGAGGCAGACCGTTGCGTGGGCTGGGCCGGGGAGCGGCCTGTATCGCAGATCTGCCAGGGGCTTCAACCGCCCCAGCAGCCTGTGGCGCGCACAATTCGCTCAGCGCTCCGGCAGTCAAGACATCTTACCTGGCTTTACACGCACTGTCTTCGGTGCAAAAGACCAGAAAGCGCAGGAGCAGGACTTCTGAACGTTGACCCTCAGCCAGGGCCGTCGCAGATCAGCATTCCTGGAGAACAAGATAGAGATGCACGATGACGCTGGGGATTGCCCGGCGGCGTGAAGATGCAGCTGCAGCTGCAGCTGGCCTGCCGGCGCCCTCCAGAGCCAAGGTTTCGGCCTGCTCGGTGCCATGGTGGTGCCCGCAGGGGACAAAAGGGACACAACGCCGGTAAAAGGGGAACCGGCTTTTGTGATTCGTGCGCCACAGCACGCTACGGGCTCGCCTCGAGATGGGAAAAGCAAAATGAAGCCCTCAAAAAACGCCATCCATCAAGCTTCTTCTTAGCTGCAGAAACGGCAGTTCGGTCCGGCCGCCTAGTGACAAGGAAGAGACACGAGCAAGCAGCCCTCTATCAGCCAGGCTTTTGGCATGCTACTCGCACCAAGCATGGCCGCCTTAGTGCACACTCTCTCCAGAAACCGAGCAGAGTTAATACATATCTCCTCCACCCCCTGAATATTCCCGCCCGTCAAATGTCCCAGGAGCCCTACTAGCCAGCATCACTGCACCAGCGTCACCACCGCCAAGAGGAGGCCAGACCGCCGACCAGCATTGATAGTGGCTGCTGCGCCGTGAACAGCCTCGCTCGAAGCCATTGCAAGACTACTGCATCTTGCTACCTTCCGAGGCTCCGCTGTTGTGCGCGAACACTCTTTAGCACATGCCCTGGCCTGGACTACGGTTTCCAGCCGTCCAGGGTTTTATCGACCTCCCTGGTGAATCGACCACCCTTGAGTCCGTGACCGAGCCCGAAACATCCTTGAGGAGCAGAATCTGGCCACTTGCAAATTGAGACCTTCCATGTCGCAGCCAGACCATCATCTCCCGGCCATTCGTCGAACTGTCGAAAAGCGTGAACAGGCACATCACGTCGCATTCAACCTACATGAGCTTGGGCAACGGGATTCTGAGGCCGCGAAGTCCCTGAAGCCTGCCAAGAAGTCTAAAGAGGTTGTCTTTGATACACCCGTGGCTGGACACAGTAATACTTCTCCCGTGTTCTTCGTTTTGTTTTACGCATCAACATGGCTCACCTATTGTCTCGGTTAGAGTCTTACCCTCGCCCTACCTCACGAGCCTCACACTACACGACCGATACAGTCAAAGCAAGCGGTCGTTATACACCTAAATTCGGTCCCTCGCATCCTTTGGAGAAGACATACCCCGCCAAAGGCATGGCGGGAGCGCATGACCTTGACCGATCTCGCACGCGGCGGGAACGTACGTTTGTTGGAGGGGAATGCGCCGTGTGCGACGAGCCGCTCGAACATACCCTACGAGGTGAACGCGTGCTACAGCTGTCATGTGGGCACGTCTCTCACGAGGCCTGCTTCTATGAGTATCTGAAGGAATTCGATTCACAGTACTGCCCCACATGTGAGGAGCCGTTGAGCCTGGACAGCAGAAGAGGGGGCAACGTAGTCAACCTTGGTCAGTGAAAGTTTGTTGCTAGTCATTTCTCCAAGTGCTAACCATTCATACAGAGAAGCTGAGCAGTATCGTGCGTGGAGCGCAAACCAACGATGGAGCTAGCATGCACCGGAGCGCGCAGAACACTCCCACGCCTTGGGACACGCAAACTGTGCGCGGGCAAGAGGAGAACAATCGATCGTACCAACCGCCAGAGAGCAGAAACACGCACCACCGGGACATGAGCAACGGGCAGGGCCAGCTCGATGGTGCCAGCTCCAATTCTCGAAGCCATGCTCGGAATGACAGCGGCACCACTGGTGTGGCGTCTTCCGGAGACTATGCGGAAAGCAACGTTCACAACCGAAGGCACGACTACGACGTTCAATCAATGGAGACTAGTCTTAGTAGTCCTCGTGGCATAATCAGGAACCCCATACCGGCGCCTTCTGTCACTGTCCGCAGCGAATTTCCAACCATCAGTCGATCACGCCAGCAACAAAGTCTTACTTGCTTGATAACAGTGGAAGTGATTGATGGGAAGTGGAAGCCCGATCCTGAGGATGTGGGTGCCGCCCCGGCAGTGCCCTCACTGCATTCTTCTGGAAAACACAATCGGACAAAGTCACCCGCTGGCATTAAACCGGCCGAACCTCCGCACGAGAGCGCAGCATTACTGGAGGAGATTACGCAAGATCTTCATTCCCGTGTGGATAACTGGCACGGCCTTGATTTCTCACAATTCGGCAAGCTTCGCCTACACGGCAACGTCCGCGTTGGCAAAGACCGTCAATCGTGGCAGCAGCTCGAATGCTACCTGTTCTCTGACATGCTAATTTGTGTCAAGGAGAAGAGGGTTGCTCAGTTACCGCAATGGGACGGCGTTAATGCGCCCACTCCGAAGAAAGGCAAATGCACGCTAAAAGGATCAATATTGATTAAGAAGCACTTGAAGCAGGTCGAGTGCTCGTCAGGTATGACGGCTCCACGGTATCCAATATCATTTGTCTAACCTGATCTACACAGATGAAGGCATTCTTACTCTCAATCTGTCCGTTGCTGAACTGCCTTCCTTCCACCTTCATTACGAGAACCACAACCAGCTTGACGCCTGGAGACGAGCTCTCAACGAAATAAATCGTCCCGAGCCACCAAGTATACCAGACTACGAACAGGATAGTTCCGGAACAGACGAAGAAGATGGCCAAAACAACCATGACAGGAGGGTCTCTTCCCTAATCTCCTCTTACGGTGCCGGTAGGTCGAATGCCACAGCGCCAACGGAGTACACCAATTCTCGCATCGGCGCACCGGAGTCAAGAATCGGCTCGTCGATTCATATTCCAATCGACATAGTCGTTGTCATTCCTGTGTCTTCGTCAATGCAAGGCCTCAAGATCAACCTACTTCGCGATGCGCTGCGATTTTTGGTCGCCAACCTCGGTGACAGGGATCGGATGGGGCTGGTCACTTTTGGCTCAAGCGGGGGCGGGGTGCCTCTGGTAGGGATGACCAGCAAGACCTGGAAGGGTTGGCCTAAGATACTCGACTCGATACGCCCAGTTGGACAAAAGAGCTTGCGAGCAGACGTGGTCGAGGGTGCCAATGTGGCAATGGACTTGCTCATGCAGCGCAAGTCCAACAACCCTCTCTCCAGCATACTGCTCATCAGCGACTCCTCCATTTCTGATGCGGAAAGTGTGGATTTTGTGGTGTCGCGCGCAGAGGCGGCCAAGTACGTAGTCTTGTTTCAACCTAATAAGCTCCGCATATATACTAACTTCAACACAGAGTCGCTATTCATTCTTTCGGTCTTGGCTTGACGCACAAGCCGGACACTATGATTGAGCTCTCCACTCGGACTAAGGCATCGTACACCTACGTCAAGGACTGGATGATGCTCCGAGAGTGCGTGGCCGGCTGTCTAGGATCCTTGCAGACGACGTCGCATCAGAATGTGAAGCTGAAGCTGAGGCTTCCGGAAGGGTCTCCTGCCAAATTCGTCAAGATCAGCGGAGCGCTGCAGATCACGAAGCGGGCGACTGGGCGAGATGCCGAGGCAGCGCTCGGTGATCTTCGCTTTGGCGATAAGAGAGGTAAGCTTATGTTCTTGCACGTGAGAGCGCATTGCTGACACGCTGCGCAGATATCCTCGTGCAGCTCGCGATTACCCCAGATTCTGGATCGCCCGAACAGCTGCCACAAGACCCCTGGGAGACGATTGTTTCGGGGCTCGAAGCCCTCGGAGGCCCTCTAGATCAAGAGGATCACCCGAGCACGAGCGTCGAAGAGGTGCCTCTCATCCAGGCGGACCTAAGCTACGGGGACATCCTCCGCGAAGGCGCGATTGCGCATTCACCGCGGCCATCTTTACTAGCCATAACGATGCTTCCTGCAGCCTTCAAACCGAAATCCGGACCTCCAACCACTCCACCAATACCACCACACCCTTCGGTCGTCCAGCGCAGGATGGAGCTCCTGACCTCCGACATGCTCTCCCGAGCCCTCACCCTCGTCTCCCGCGGCCAACAAGAACGCGCACACCACCTCCTTAGCGAAACTCGCAGCATCCTCCGCGGCCTCGGAAAAGGCGGTCTGCCTCCACTACCCCCGCCTCCGGGCACAGCGCTGCGCTCGCCACCATCAAGCGCGCACAGCGCCGGCGCGGGGAACACCTCGCCTACCACGACCGATGCCTCGTCTTCCTCATTCATGGGCGCCGGCGGAGAAGGAGCAGGCAAGGCGCGTACGCCGTCGCCGCATGCTTCGGAAACGCGCTTCGTGCCCGCTGCCGGCATCGATGTCCATACCGTGCATGCCCTCGATGCGGAGCTCGAGTCCAGTCTGGAGTGGATCAACCATCCCGCGGTGTTTGGCCGAGACTCCCGGAAGGCGGTCTTGCAGGCCATCGGGGTTATCAGCAGCCAGCGCGCGTACACCTTCAGGACGCCTATTGAAGGCCTGTGGGCGGGCAGGATTGCGGGGGTGAGGAGGTTGGCAGATGCAAGCAGGGTATGGCGCGAGGGCGGGGATGAGGCGCTGATGGAGGAGAGTTGAAGGGCTGTTACGCCATGGGAGATGGTTGGACAACAACGAACGGCGGGCGACGCACGCGATCACGACGATTCTGTACAGGTGTAAGATTACGAACACGACCACGACGGGGAGAGGTGGGCGGCGGCTATATCCTTGCCATCTACGGGGTGTATCTGAAGATACTGGACATATTTGGGTATCTGGCGCTGGTATCTTTCTGGGTATGCTTTTCTTATTTATTCACTTTGGGAGGGGCTTCTGCTTTGGGATCATAGAGGCCTGTTGTTTGGGAGATACCACTTTGAGTTGGCAGGGTTTGATAGCGTGCGGGCTTTGGATTCATTGATTCTCTGATTCATTCAAGCTATCTATGTTGCATCTACCTGGTGCATTGCTGCCAAGTCACTCAAGTTGCACATACGTTTGAGTGCTTTGCCTGTATCATAGGTGATGGTAGAGCACAGTTCAAAGATGGCAAAGAAGTTACCTCACACAAGCGTATACATTGTCAACGCACCACCCGTAGAGATTGACAACCTCTCCAGATCTTGCACTCCACTCTCTTCCTCCCCATGACTAGGCGTCATCTGCACTCAACTGACTCTGCTTATCCGACATCACACGCCAGTCACAAAAATCAGTCCCAGCATAACGGCCCAAGGTTCCTCACTCCTCACACTCCGCCCACATACCTCCCATTCCTTCCGACAAGCATCACCGCCTGCATCCGCCAACCGCGGAAAGGGAACACAGTGATAGTGGCGTGACGGCAGGCTGGAACAGCGGGAGGATCTCGTCCCTGCTATGCCAGCCGTCCATCCGCGCCGAGTCGACCCGTTGGACGGGCTTGACGGGCCTGGCGGCCCGGTGGAGTGGCTTGCTGCATGCGGGTGTGCAGGGCAGGGTGTGATGGGATAAGAGAGCAGTGATACTGTACGAGACTCAGACAGATAATCGTCGAGTCAGTTGCCCAATAAGTCCTCCCTCTCAGCAAGGGCCGGATTGCATGGGGACGCGGCACGATAGACTGCCCTGCTCGTGTCATGGGCGCGGTGTTTTGACGCCCTAATCTGGGGGCTTTAGAAAAGAGCGGAGCAGAGTAGTGCAGAGCGAGGGAAGATGAGGAAGGCGGCAACGGAACAGATGAATTGTTACAGAAGGTGGTGAATACACCTCCTCCTGCTTGCAACTACGAAGGATCGACGAAGCGAGGGACAAGTAGACAGCCCCGTTCTCATGCGCGATATGAAGTCCACAGAACTCCAATACAATCTTTGGAAGAGGAGATACGGCAGCAATCGACGATCCGCGATCCTCGATCCACGAGCCGCTCCGTCCTGACCGTCAAGATCGCTTCTGCTGTCCCGCGCTCTCGCCTCTGTCCAGCTGCCGCCCAACCCAACGTGTTCATGTCCCCTCCCCTCCCGGGCCAGGACAACCGCATGCACTTTCGATCACCTGATTCCGGCGTCTAATCTTCTTCTTGCCTAAGCTTGCCAGTGCCGGTAGCTTGGTGGCTGCTCGAATGCACCTCGCTAATAGAATCACACGCGGCGCCTTGGACAGCATGTCTCAAACGGGCCAGACCAACGGCACGAGCTTGTGCCTGGTGCCAGCGTGTCGGGTCGATGGGCAGAGACCATGGAACCGCCGGTCTCTCGGGGCTAAGCAGGGTCGTGATGCCGCCGGCCCAGAGGGTCTAGAGGCTTGGGGCGCGGTTCCACGAGGGAGCCGTTGATCAGCATCAGACTATTAGTGATCGTCAGGTCGGGGCTCTGGATGCTGAGTCTGACAGGTGATGGTTCAATCTACTCCAAACACGTGTTTGTAAACAACATCGCCTCTTAGAGATGGCGGTCTTCACTTAGGCAGCCTCGATGCAGACAAGGGAGGCTTCGTTCATTTCAAGATGAGTTCAACAGGCAACAACTTCAGACACCTGTTAGAGAGCTTGAGAACTCCAATGACTGAAGCGGCGCCTTGATCGTCCTTGGAGACATCTATCTTCATGGATCTATTGTACATACGGCAGCAGGGGCTCCCGTGCAACCAGCTAGTTGAACAAGAGTGATTCAAAGCAAATTCATGTACGCATAACGCTCGCAGTTTAATACACCCAGTTGATCCATCCGAAAGCTGCAGAACGACTATCGACACTTTTGGTCGTAGAGGTACGGTTACCAAGTATATTCGCCGCCAAATGCTCGTTTAAAGGCATGCGCTGAGGAGTCACGTCAGTCGCTAATTTGGCACTTTGAAAGGGACAACCTACCGTAGTCTAAAGTGGACGCGCAGTCGGACAGCGCTTGCTTCTCTTTGGCTTCAGGGAGCCTGCGAGAGAGTCAGACAGGTTACTTTGGCAGTGCGAAATGCTTCCAACTCACCATTCTCGGATCTTCTCCTGTCGGTTGTGGCTCGAGGGGTGCGTGGATAGATACTGAGGCGGAGCTCCCCCCTGTTTCTCTTCCACCTGAGCCATCCTGCCCCAAAGAGCAGCTGCCTCTTCCGGGTTGTAACAGCTTTGGGCCATCATCATCAGACCGATATAATCCGCTTCGCTCTCTTGGCCCCTACTGCCTGGTCTCGTGAATACGAGGTCCAGCAGAAGCTGGCTGATCTGTCCCGGAGCGCCCACAAAGAGCTCCAGCCCGAATATCAACGCGTAGATGATGATCGCCTTGCTCAAACGCTCCGCGCTGTGATGAGCGAAATTATGCGCGATCTCATGACCGAGCACCGCCGCGAGACCGTCGTCATTTGCACAGACAGGCAGGATGCCAGAGAACACAAACACCTTGCCGCCCGGGATGACGAAGGCATTGCGCTGCTCGTCCTCGATGACGTGGACCTCCCAGTTCGAGTCCTCCAAGCCCGTGGCGGGTATCAGCCGGTCCAGCACTCGGCGCACCATCCGTGACCGTTTGTCCCAATCCGGCAGTATTCGGTCGCGATACTCCTGCATGATCTGGCTGTAGAACGCCTTTGACATTTCCTGCTCCGTCTCCGGCCCGAAAATGTTGAAGCGCCGTCGTCCGGAGACGGGGACAACCTCGAGATTGTAGACGTAGAAGCCTCCAGCAGCAGCGCCGAGACCCCCGGCTTCGTACTTGAAGGTCGGTCTGTTCACCCATCGTCTGAAGAGGTTCTTGCTTGCTTGAAACCGCTGGTATCTTTGGTTGTATCTGTAGTACTGGTGGCGGACTTGAGTTCGCGGTTGGACGATTGGCTTGGGCTTGAGCACTGGACGAGGACGGAGGAGCTGTGATGGAGCTGAGCTCGGGAAAGCCCGCAGGGGGCGCGCGGCGAACATGCTGCGTGGCTCAAGATGAGAGTCGTGGTTTCATAGTGCGGTGCTGATGCTCATGAGAGGCCTCTCCGACTGTCCTCAGAGCAGCGGCGCTGGGGATTGAGGGGCGCATACATACAGCAGTCGTTACACCATTACGGAGCAATGATGTCCTCACGGGCTTGCCAAGCCATGCGGTCTGTGCGGCCCGCCCTTCCGCCTCCCCGTGCGGCTTTCCGCCTGTGCTTCGACATCGAAGTGCTGAGGTGATGGCGGTACTACAACTGTCTATCTCAGGTTACATAACCGGAACCATGGGCGACGGGGCGGAAAGCTCCAGAGTTGACAACAAGCGGGCGCGCCCACCACAGGTCAAGCTTGAACATTGCACATCGGGTATCTCGAAGAAAGTCTGTCTTAACGGCTATTCATGACTGCGCAAGAAGCAACCGGCCTTCCGCTCCTTTCATATAGGGAGTTTAGTCATTTCGAGAAGGGCGGAGCAAGCAGTAAAAGCGTCTTAAAGAATTCGCATCCCTGCGATAGCCTAAGGCTCTGCTTAAGCGGCGTGTTCTAAATACCTTATTGTTAGGTACCTCACGGTCTCCAACGAGGCGCTGGTAGAGGCGAAGTATGTTCCGGCTTCGTCTTGAGGAACAAGCAATACTCCCTGGAGGAGAAGAGCTTCTTGACAAAGCCGCGCCAAAACTGGAGCCGGAGGATTCTGGTAAATTGCTAATGATGTAAAATACGTATGCTATTCAAAAAAAAACCCCCCCAGCTCGTTTACATGCTACTCGCCGATATCTACTCTCGAGGCTCTGCCAACATTGAGTTACGAGACCAGCCGGACGAGCTGAGATTCGAGGCGTGGTCGAAAAAGTTAGGCAAGGTACGTAGGGCAAAAATGAGCGAACCTATCTTGGATCGCTTTTTCGACCGCGCCTTGGTTCAAGTTCACGTCGATGTTAGGGTGCGCTAGTAGTAGCTTGACCACTACCTCTTCCCTTACCGCTACCCCCCATTGCAGCGGTGTCAGTCGATGATTATCCTTCAAGTTCACGTCGATGTCGGAGCGCGCCAGCAGCAGCTCGGCCACCGCCTTATGCCCTGCCCTTACCACACTCGACAGTGGCGTTCGTCCATGGTTGTCCTTCGAGTTCACGTCGATGTCGGGCTGCGCCAGCAGCAGCCTGACCATCGCCTCACGCCCTTCCGCTGCCGTCCAGTGCAGCGGTGTCAGTCCATAGTTGTTCTTCGAATTCAC